ATTTTCGATAATTTTAGATTTTTTACCAAAGAGTCGAGACAATATAATAAGTAAAGTATTTTCCAAAAGCACAAAAATAATAAAGCTAAATCCCATAAAAGAGAGGATAGAATGTTAAATTTTAAGAAATTCGGATTTTTGAATTTTTGATAATTTTCGATAATTTTAGATTTTTTACCAAAGAGTCGAGACAATATAATAAGTAATGTATTATCCAAAAGCACAAAAATAATGAAGCTAAATCCCATAAAAGAAAAAAAAAAATATTGAATTTTAAGAAAATCGGATTTTTCAATTTTTGATAATTTTCGATAATTTTAGATTTTTTACTAAAGAGTCGATACAATTTAATAAGTAAAGTATTTTCCAAAAGCACAAAAATAATAAAGCTAAATCCTATAAAAGAGAAGAAAAAATGTTGAATTTTAAGAAAATCAAATTTTTGAATTTTTTTGAAATTTTGATAATTTTAGATTTTTTATTAACGAGTCGAGACAATTTAATAAGTAAAGTATTTTTCAAAAGCACAAAAATAATAAAGCTAAATCCTATAAAAGAGAGGAAAAAATGTTGAATTTTAAGAAAATCGGATTTTTGAATTTTTTCGAATTTTTGATAATTTTAGACTTTTTACCAAAGAGTCGAGACTATTAAATATGTAAAGTATTTTCCAAAAGCACAAAAATAATGAAGCTAAATCCCATAAAAGAGAAGAAAAAATGTTGAATTTTAAGAAAATCGGATTTTTGAATTTTTTCGAATTTATGATAATTTTAGATTTTTTACCAAAGAGTCGAGACAATTTAATAAGTAAAGTATTTTTTAAAAGCACAAAAATAATAAAGCTAAATCCCATAAAAAAGAAGAAAAAATGTTGAATTTTAAGAAAATCGGATTTTTGAATTTTTTCGAATTTTTGATTTTTGACTAAAGAGTCGAGACAATTTAATAAGTAAAGTATTTTTCAAAAGCACAAAAATAATAAAGCTAAATCCTATAAAAGAGAGGAAAAAATGTTGAATTTTAAGAAAATCGGATTTTTGAATTTTTTCGAATTTTTGATAATTTTAGACTTTTTACCAAAGAGTCGAGACTATTAAATATGTAAAGTATTTTCCAAAAGCACAAAAATAATGAAGCTAAATCCCATAAAAGAGAAGAAAAAATGTTGAATTTTAAGAAAATCGGATTTTTGAATTTTTTCGAATTTTTGATAATTTTAGATTTTTTACCAAAGAGTCGAGACTATTAAATATGTAAAGTATTTTCCAAAAGCACAAAAATAATAAAGCTAAATCCCATAAAAGAGAAGAAAAAATGTTGAATTTTAAGAAAATCGGATTTCTGAATTTTTTTGAATTTTTGATAATTTTAGATTTTTTACCAAAGAGTCGAGACTATTAAATATGTAAAGTATTTTCCAAAAGCACAAAAATAATAAAGCTAAATCCCATAAAAGAGTAGAAAAAATGTTGAATTATAAGAAAATCGGATTTTTGAATTTTTTCGAATTTTTGATAATTTTAGATTTTTTACCAAAGAGTCGAGACAATTTAATAAGTAAAGTATTTTCTAAAAGCACAAAAATATAAAAGCTAAATCCCATAAAACAGAAGAAAAAATGTTGAATTGTCAGAAAATCGGATTTTTGAATTTTTTCGAATTTTTGATAATTTTAGATTTTTTACCAAAGAGTCGAGACTATTAAATATGTAAAGTATTTTCCAAAAGCACAAAAATAATAAAGCTAAATCCCATAAAAGAGAAGAAAAAATGTTGAATTTTAAGAAAATCGGATTTTTGAATTTTTTCGAATTTTTGATAATTTTAGATTTTTTACCAAAGAGTCGAGAGTATTAAATAAGTAAAGTATTTTCCAAAAGCACAAAAATAATGAAGCTAAATCCTATAAAAGAGAAGAAAAAATGTTGAATTTTAAGAAAATCGGATTTTTGAATTTTTTCGAATTTTTGATTTTTGACTAAAGAGTCGAGACAATTTAATAAGTAAAGTATTTTTCAAAAGCACAAAAATAATAAAGCTAAATCCTATAAAAGAGAGGAAAAAATGTTGAATTTTAAGAAAATCGGATTTTTGAATTTTTTCGAATTTTTGATAATTTTAAATTTTTTACTAAAGAGTCGAGACTAATAAATATGTAAAGTATTTTCCAAAAGCACAAAAATAATGAAGCTAAATCCCATAAAAAAGAAGAAAAAATGTTGAATTTTAAGAAAATCGGATTTTTGAATTTTTTCGCATTTTTGATAATTTTAGATTTTTTACCAAAGAGTCGAGGCAATTTAATAAGTAAAGTATTTTCCAAAAGCACAAAAATAATAAAGCTAAATCCCATAAAAGAGAAGAAAAAATGTTGAATTTTAAGAAATTTGGATTTTTGAATTTTTGATAATTTTCGATAATTTTAGATTTTTTACCAAAGAGTCGAGAGTATTAAATAAGTAAAGTATTTTCCAAAAGCACAAAAATAATGAAGCTAAATCCTATAAAAGAGAAGAAAAAATGTTGAATTTTAAGAAAATCGGATTTTTGAATTTTTTCGAATTTTTGATTTTTGACTAAAGAGTCGAGACAATTTAATAAGTAAAGTATTTTTCAAAAGCACAAAAATAATAAAGCTAAATCCTATAAAAGAGAGGAAAAAATGTTGAATTTTAAGAAAATCGGATTTTTGAATTTTTTCGAATTTTTGATAATTTTAAATTTTTTACTAAAGAGTCGAGACTAATAAATATGTAAAGTATTTTCCAAAAGCACAAAAATAATGAAGCTAAATCCCATAAAAAAGAAGAAAAAATGTTGAATTTTAAGAAAATCGGATTTTTGAATTTTTTCGCATTTTTGATAATTTTAGATTTTTTACCAAAGAGTCGAGGCAATTTAATAAGTAAAGTATTTTCCAAAAGCACAAAAATAATAAAGCTAAATCCCATAAAAGAGAAGAAAAAATGTTGAATTTTAAGAAATTCGGATTTTTGAATTTTTGATAATTTTCGATAATTTTAGATTTTTTACCAAAAAGTCGAGACAATATAATAAGTAAAGTATTTTCCAAAAGCACAAAAATAATAAAGCTAAATCCCATAAAAGAGAGGATAGAATGTTAAATTTTAAGAAATTCGGATTTTTGAATTTTTGATAATTTTCGATAATTTTAGATTTTTTACCAAAGAGTCGATACAATTTAATAAGTAAAGTATTTTCCAAAAGCACAAAAATAATAAAGCTAAATCCCATAAAAGAGAAGAAAAAATATTGAATTTTAAGAAAATCGGATTTTTCAATTTTTGATAATTTTCGATAATTTTAGATTTTTTACTAAAGAGTCGAGACAATTTAATAAGTAAAGTATTTTCCAAAAGCACAAAAATAATGAAGCTAAATCTCATAAAAGAGAAGAAAAAAAATTGAATTTTAAGAAAAACGGATTTTTGAATTTTTTCGAATTTTTGATAATTTTAGATTTTTTACCAAAGAGTCGAGACAATTTAATAAGTAAAGTATTTTCTAAAAGCACAAAAATAATTAAGCTAAATCCCATAAAACAGAAGAAAAAATTTTGAATTTTAAGAAAAACGGATTTTTGAAATTTTTCGAATTTTTAATAATTTTAGATTTTTTACCAAAGAGTGGAGACAATTTAATAAGTAAAGTATTTTCCAAAAGCACAAAAATAATAAAGCTAAATCCCATAAAAAAGAAGAAAAAATGTTGAATTTTAAGAAAATCGGATTTTTGAATTTTTTCGAATTTTTGATAATTTTAGATTTTTTACCAAAGAGTCGAGACTATTAAATATGTAAAGTATTTTCCAAAAGCACAAAAATAATGAAGCTAAATCCCATAAAAGAGAAGAAAAAATGTTGAATTTTAAGAAAATCGGATTTTTGAATTTTTTCGAATTTTTGATAATTTTAGATTTTTTACCAAAGAGTCAAGACTATTAAATATGTAAAGTATTTTCTAAAAGCACAAAAATAATGAAGCTAAATCCTATAAAGGAGAGGAAAAAATGTTGAATTTTAAGAAAATCGGATTTTTGAATTTTTTCGAATTTTTGATAATTTTAGATTTTTTACCAAAGAGTCGAGACAATTTAATAAGTAAAGTATTTTCTAAAAGCACAAAAATAATAAAGCTAAATTCAAAAAGATTTTTATTATAGAGTATATTTGAAAAATTTAATTATGTTAAAAAATAATTCAAAAACAATTCTCGATAGATTTGTTTATAGTTATTTTTTTGCATTATAAAAATCAAAATAAGTTGCACTTTTCTTTGACTAAAAATTGTTGTAATTTGTAGCAATGTTTGGAAGAAAAGTCGCAATTTTTGATAATAAGTCGACAAAAGTCTCAATTTTTTGAAATTCCCTGACTTTACTGACAAAAAATTGATTCTTTCCCTGACTTTTTTGACTTTGTAATAAACAATTTAATTTTAATGTAACATTTTTTTAAACTTTTATATCTCAAAAATGTATTGCAGGATTTTGGTGAAACTTTTTGCACACTAATGAAGATTTGAGCTTTTTAAAAAAAATTATTTCATTGTTGAAAAAAATTATTAATTGTAAAAAATAAAATTGTAAATAATAAACAAAAATGAATAATTAAAATTGTATTCTGGAACTTTTTCGTAAAATTTTTTTCAGAATTTTAAACTATATCAATCAAGGGTTAAATATTTGAAAAAGTTGGTAGATCCAAATAATTTATTAACTGTGAATTTTTTTTGTGAACGCGGTTGCGTTGATTCGTCCGTCGCCGGTTCTCCATAAGTTCATTGCTCGCTCATCATGAATACCGTGTAATCTTCAAAACTGGAATACCAGAATAAGTATTGAAGTGTGTAAATATAATTTTTTATTATTATTCTTTTGTTGGACTTTCTGAAGAGAAAATTATTTAGATTTCGAAACGTTGAAGTAAACAATCATTGTTCGAATGTTTTTGTTTTAATACGTAAAAGTAAAAAAATTCAAATTCAATTTTGTATTTACAAATATTTCAGGTACGTTTTCGATAAATAAAAACGTATAATACATGTTTATGTACAGTTTTTCAACAGATTGCAGAGATGTTTAATAAAATCAATTGCTATCATCTTCACTACCCGAATAGGCACCTAATAATGAAAGTCCGCTTGGTTTTGGTGCATCTTCAACAACTGATTTCCTCTCTTCTTTGTTATCATCATTTTTCGTTATATTTGTGACCTTCACGAGATCAACTTTTCTCTTCACGAGCGTTGATAAATTCACTTTACTTAAAGATCCCTTTTTTTCTAAATTCCTCCCAACATTCGACGTGGACGCATCACTGTCGTTTTTAAATAATTTCCCCGGCGGTTCGTAATTCTCCTCTAAATCGACAATTTCCTCCTCGACAACAGTGACATTTTGCTTCTTCTTAAAAACAGATTGCACATATTCCTCGTCGAGTTCCTCCTGTTCTTTCTCTGTCTTCAAATTATCTGCTTTTGTATCATATTGTCCCAGCATTTGCTCATAATCAATTGTCTGCTGTCGACGATTTAAATCCTTGAGTTCCTCCAATGATTCGAGAACTTCTAATTCGTGTTTTGATTGTTGTGTTCGTTTCTCGAGTAGTTTCATTGGATTTGTCGCCTCCTCTTCACGTTCCTCGTCCTCTTCTCTTTGCGCCTGTTCCTCGGCCAATTTTAATGCCATAAAATTTCTCGACGCTCCCGCCTCTATTTCATAATCCGTATTTCTTGGATCTGTTTTAAAGGAAATCTCCTGCAGGCAACGTGTACATTTTATGTAGAAACGATAAATTCTTATTCCCAAATAATCCTCGCCCTCGACATCTTCTTTTCGTGCATTAAATTTTTTACCCTTGTATATATATTCACCGCATGTTTTGCATCGCATATTGAATGGCGCCATTAATCGAACTGTATATTGTCGATTGCGAGCCAATTTCATGCGAGGGATCTTTGATGGATCAAAGTCCGGTGGATAATATTTCTATAAAAAAGAAAATTATTTTAAAAATCATTAAAATAACTAAATAATTAAAATTTTTAAATTCATCCAAACTTTATGGACTTGTCTTATTTGTTTATTTCGAATTTTATTAATTAATAATTATTAATAAAAAGACAAAAATTGGAATTAATATATTTTAGAAAATAAACGATTTTTTGCATAAAAATAAAGAAAAATTATTATTAATCATTTTCTAAAATTTTTAACTTCAACTTCACCTCTAAATTGATTAATTTTAATAATTTTCCGAATGTTCTTCGAGAATTTAATTATTTAAATACAAAAATTCAATTTTTTATAATAATTATAACTGTTCACGTTTTGTTTAAAAGTTATTAATGAATAATATTTTCAAAAAATTATAATAAAAAAATTCTTCAACAGTAATTTATAAAAATATTTTTAAATAATTTTCGAAAGATAAAATTTATCTAATTTATATAAAAATGAAAAATTTCCAAACAATATAATTAAAACTGAAAAATTCAATTTTTATAATAATTCTAACTGTCCAGGTTTTTTTTTAAAGTTATTAAGGAATTAATACTTTCAAAAAATAATAAAAAAATTCTTCAAAATCAAACTATAAAAATGTTTTAAAATAGTTTTTTAATTATTATGCAATTGAAAAATTTCCAAACAATTGAAATGTGGTAAAATCTTTAAAAAAAAAACTTAAATTTGATAAAGTATTTAGAAATAACTGAATTTTTGAAAAATATGAAAAAAATAATCAAATTTAAAAAAAATTTAATTATAAATATGAACACAATGATTTCATTAAAATTTTAATAAAATCTATACCGAATAGTAAATTTTTAAAAATTTTAATTTACATTGTTCGAAGATAATTGAAGCTTAAAAATTTATGATAAAACAAATCTAAGAATTAGTTTTTTGAAAATATTGTAATGCAATTTTTGGAAAATAATTGAAATTAAAGGGATTTTTGTATAATAATTATACAAAAATTCCTTTAAGAAAATTTATAAGTTTTTTTAAATTATTTAAAAAGAAATTAAACATTTTTTTGAAGATTTTTAATTAAAAATTTTAAACATGATTAATTTTTCCAAAATGTTAAAAATAATTGTGAAAAAGTTTAATGTTATTATTTTTTTTTCTTTGTAAATAATTAAATTTTCGGAAATATGTAATAAGAAAATATTGAAAATAATTGAATTTTAAAAAATTAGAATAAAAAAAATGCTAAGAATGATATTTTTTTTAAATATTTTAATATAATTTTCGAAAGTTATTTTTTACTTTATTTTTTACTTCTGAAAGATTTTTCTTTAAAATTCTTAAGAATTCAATTTTATTATTTTCAAAAATTTGCAATTAAACTTCTTCAAAAAGTATATTAAATGAAATATTATTATTTGAAAAAAGTCAATTATTGTTAATTAAAAAAATTTCAAATTATTCAAAATCTTTTTAATTTGATATTTCGAAAATTTAATTAGAAAGATTATTTTAAAAAACAGCGTTTAAAAAATTTGAAAAATTAACAAAAAAATATGGTATTTTGTTTATATTTGGATGAAAAGTTAAAAAGTTACAATTTTTGAAAATAAGTCGAAAAAAGACGTTTTTTTAATAGTCGAAAAACATTTTTAAAAAATCATAATTATCGGAGGTTTGAAAATTATTAAAATAATTTTTTCAAAAAGTTTGGAAATTATTTACGTTTTGTATATGACAAGAAAGTTTGGAATTAAAATAATATTTACAATTTTTCTAAGACTATCGTTATTTAAAATAAAAAATTATACTTACGTTTAAAACTTTTCGTTCAGACATTTTGTTGGTGTTTTAACAATTTAACAATAAATAAAAAGTTAAATATAAACGAAATTTGAGGTTAGCTGCAAAGAGTATTGAATTATTCAGAAGAACGTTGATCACTTGGGAAATACACTAAACTATCCACATTTCCAATAAGTACAGTAATTATTTATGTTAACATTGTAAATTATTATTAATCTCTTTTTATGACAGAAATGTAAATATAAATCAAAAATAATATGTTGCACGTTTGGAGCAAGATATAGTAAACAACAGGGTTGCAAACCAGATGTCAACGATGTCAACTCAAGGCGCTCGCACAGCTCTACTGCCTGCCTGCCTGCCTGCAGGTCGTCATGGTAACACATAAGAGTAAGAGAGTCAGAAAATTCAAATTAAATGTTTTTTCTCCCTTACTCTCATTGCGCCTGCCTGTGCAGGCAGGCAGGCAGTAGAGGTGAGAGAGCGCCTTCATGTCAACTATATTCTGAAACTGCAGTATTTGGAGAGTCGTCCACACATTGTAACGTATGTTTCTTGAATTGTCCGTGTCAAGAGAGCGCTATGATCGTTATATTTACATGAGAAAGAAAAGGAGAGAAGATATCGTTTACCTTTTTCTAAATAAGGCTAAAAGATATTTCTCTTCTTTTCTTTCCCATATGGGAAAAATATTTTAAAAATTCATTTATTTACTGAAAATAAAATTCCATATTAACTATAAAAATTAATTTAAAATGTATACGCATTCTAAATAAAAAAATAAATAAATCAACAAGTTTTATAATTAACTTTGTAAAATTATATATTTTTTTAATGCAATATTATATTTTTAAACAATACTATTTTTATTTTCAACAATTTGCTTAAATTGTTAATAATATGGACCTATTTTATTTAACCCTTTCGTGCCACCGGAGAATCCAGCTGTTGGATTTTGTTGAAAATTTGTTTGACTTTTGGAGTCAATGATCACGAATCAGTTTGTCAGATTGTTGAAATTTTTAAAATTCGAAATGGCGGATCCAATATGGCGGACAAGATTTTCAAAAATTGCTTCGATTTGCTTCAAAATTGGTACTCAGGGGCTTTTGGTGTCGCTGATTACGAATCCGATGTCAGATTTTCAAAATTCAAAATGGCGGACTCGATTTTTAAAAAATTGCTTTAATTTACTTTGAAATTGCTATTTGCAGTTTTCAGGGTCGCTGATTACAAATTTGATGTCAGATTTTCAAAAATTTATAAAATTCAAAATGTCGAATCTAATATGGCGGTCGTTTTTTTTTAAATTACTTCGATTCGTTTCAAAACTGATACTCGGGGGATTTTTGGGGTCGCTGATTATGAATCCAATTTCAGTTTTTAAAAATTCAAAATGGCGAATCTAATATACTGAAGTTTATGAGGTTATTATTTTTTTTAAGCAGCGTTCATTCGGTTGATTTTTTTTTAGAAACATATACGTATATTTGCATACTTTTAACATAAAAAACTACTACTTTCATTAAACGCAAATTTCATTCTCAACCCTGATTTATTCCCATATTTTAGTTTTGTTTTTCACCTGTTTATGTATACAAAGATTATAAATGTGGTTATAATAATACTGAGACAGGCAACTTTGATAAAAGTCGCATAAAAGAGAAAAATTTTGCGATTCTCGCAACTTTATCTGGTTTCGTTCTAAAATTTAGAATTTCTAAGAAGAATCTAAAAGGAATAATGATGGAAAATAAATTCTATATTTCTTTTCTTCTATTTCTCATTTCCTCTACATATCGAAGCACGTGTACGGAAACTATTTCAAAAGAAAAGGCGCCGAATTTCGGTAAGTTAAATAAATAAATATACTGCATTTTATTTTTTCTCATAAAAAATGAATTCCAATATTTAATATTCATTACTGTACTGTCATTATCTCGTTATTTGTAAAATTAATTAATTTTTAAATAAATTTTTATATTTTATTAAAAAAATTTAAAAATTTTTAAAAATGAATTCAATTAAACATTTTTTTAATTAATTTAATTTATAAAAAAATATTTAATTTACTAATATTTTTATCAACTTTTATCACAGTTACTACTCGTGCATGATTTCGTACCGCATATATTTTTCTCTCCCGATAAGAATATATGTCTGTATTTTGTTTTCTATCTCGTATACATAACAAAAGAACTCTCCATTACAATTTATATCTTAAAATTTCCTTGAAATGTAAATAAAAATAAAATATATCGAATGCTTATTTTGTATTATTAAAATTTAATAAAAGTGACTGATATTATTTATGTTCTGATTTTTTCAAAAAAATTATTTTTATTTTCTAAAAATTAAAAATTTTTCTTATTTTGAATTAAAATTTTTTTTATATATTTTAAAAATTTTAATTATGAATGTAATTTAATTGAAAGTTTGTTTCTTTTTCTCTAACCAAAATAATTAAAAATTATAATGTCATTATTTTTTTATGTTAATAAAATTATAAATCTCCTTACTAGAGATTATCTCTATATAATTTTTTAAATTAAAATTTTCTAATTTAATTGTATTTTTAATATTTAAAATGATTTATGTCCTTTTGAAAACTGACATCAGATTTGTTATCACTGACTCCAAAAATCCCTGAGTAACAATTTTCATATAAATGTGTTAAATTTTTAAAAATTTGTCCGCCATTTTGAATTGTTAAATACTGACATCGTATTCATAATCATTGACCCCAAAAATCTGCCAGTATAACTAATTTTTAAACGAATTGGTTCAATTCTTAAAAATGCGTCCGCCATATTAAATCCGCCATTTTGAATTAAAATAAAACCAGTAAGAGATAAAATTGCAAAAATTTGATTTGATAATTTACATTAATGATTATTATTTATATATATATTGTTTATAAGTATTATACATATATTTTATAATCAATTATAATTGATTGATTATAATTGAATATATATATATATATATATATATATATATATTCATAAATTAAATTTATATAAATTATAAAATTGTTTTCGTCTTTTTAAAATATTTTTTTAAAAAAATTCATTTAGACAGCATGGAATACTATTTTTTGGTAATTTTTTTTTGTAGATGACTATAGAATTTCTTTGAAGAATTATGACAATGAAGACAGGAATCCTCAGGAATTCAGCCATCAGGGTTTCATTCCTGGAATGAGCAATATTACATTTGCAATTACGGACATTCCTAATAATGTCTCCTTTATTATTTTTCAAATTCACGCATTTCAGCGTAATGTCACTATTTCTTATAGTGAAAAATTTGTATTACATACAAAGGATAGTGTAACTGGTTCAAATATTGGCTTATTTTACGATACAAATGGAAATTCTTCGATTAATACGTACGTGATGAATGGAAATAACGATAGTGTTGATGCACTTTTTGTTGTTTTGTCTTACACAAGTGACGGTAATTTCTGTTGATTATTTTCTTAATTATATTTTTAGGGCTCGAACCATGTGAAAGTATTTAAAAATACGAAAATTGGAAATTTTCAAAATATACTTAAATTTTATAAAGAATTTCTTTCAAGTTTTTAAAATAATCGTATTTTTCTAATAATTAAATTTCTCTAAGAATTTTTGTTACAATTTTTAAAAATAATTTAATTGATTCAAAGAATTTTACTAAAATATTGAATTAAAATGATATTAATTAATAATTTAATTAAAATTAATTAGTTAATTAATTTTATTACAATTTTTTTAAATATTTTAATTGATTCAAAGAATTTTACTAATAAAATATTGAAAATAATGGAATTCTTTTGTAGAATAGATACTTAAATTCTTTTAAACAATTTTATTCGAGTTTTTCTAAATAAATAAATTCTTTAATGAAGAATTTCTTCAAGTTTTTTGGAAATAATGTAGTTTTTTTTTAAATTTTAATTGAAAACTTTGAAAATAATTAAATTAAACTAACAATGTACTTCAACTTTTTAAAATAATCGTGTCTATCAATAATTATAATTTAAAATTTGATTATTGCATTTTATTGAGATTCTATTGAAAATAATTGTTTGAATCCCTAAGAAGAATTTAAAAATTTTTGAACATAATTGAATTTTTACGAAGAATTTTATTAATTTTGAAAATAATTGAATTTTTGCAATTAATTCGTAACTTCTCTAAAATTCAATTTTTTTTTTAGTTTTTTTTAACTAAAATTCTTCTATAAATCCATAACTTTTAAGAATTTTCGAAAAAGTTCTTTGAGAATTTTCAAATTCATTTATTTATAATTCAATTTTAGAAAATTTTAATTAATCAGAAATTCTTCAATATTAAATATTATATGAGAAAATAAAAACTCGAAATAATTTAAAAAATAATGCAATTAAATTTTCTCAAAAAAAAATTTCCACGGAATTGTTATACATATAGTTAAAAGTATGAAAAATTAAAATTTCCAAAGATTTTAATTTGAAACCTTTTAAAAATTAAAATTTCGTAAGATTTTAACTGAGAAATTCATTTTTAAATCTATTTTTAATATAGAAAATTCTACGAAAATTCAATTAGTTAAATACAAAATTAAATAATTTATTGAATAATTGAGTGTTTCTTGAAATCAATTTCATTCTTATAAAGAATTTTATCAATAAATTTTTAAATCATTGAATTCTTTGGACCTTGTAAAAAATTTTATTATTTATGAAAATAATTGAATTATTGCGAATAAAATTCTAAGAAATTTGTAAATAATTGAATTCCTGTGAAGTTTTTATTATTTTCTAAAAATGCGATTAAATGTTTGCGTAGAATTTTATTAAAATTTTTTTAAATAATTGAATTCTTTTGGAAATTTTTTTTTAAAACAGTACCTAGATATTGAAAATCGATTTTCCCAAGAATTGTATTAAAATTTTTGAAAATAATTGAATTTCATAGAAGAATTTTATTATTTATAAAGATAATTGAAATTTTGACAAGAATTTAAAAAAATTTTTGAACATATAATTGAATTTGTGCGAAAAATTTTATTACTTTTGAATTTAATTGAATTTATGGCATTAGTTCGAGCCCTGATATTTATATACGTTTATTTATCCATAATTAATAATAATAGTAATAAATAATAATATTATAGTCGTTTTCCGGTGAAAGGGTTAAAAAAAACAAAAAATATAGGTTATGTTTGTCAACGTTTATGAAAATTTATTTTTAATTTTCTCAAGTAAAAAAACAATTTCTATTAATTATTTAGTATAAAAAATTAGTTAAAAAAATTGTTTTTGACTTGAAATAATTAAAAATTAATGTTAATAAATCCATCAAAAAATTTCGTTAACATAACCTATCATTCTATAAATAAATCAAATAAATAATTTCTCGATCGCATTAGGGTTCCCCTATACACCGGAAAGCGTCACATAAATTGCTAATTATTAAGTAATAAAAATAAGAGTAATAATATTAGAATAGGGGCCGTTCAAAAAATACGTAACGCTTTAGGGGGGAGGGGGGGTCAAGCTGTTTGTTACGGTCAGCTGTCAGCGGAAAAAATGGCGTTAATGTATACAACATTGCGTTACATGGGGGGAGGGGGGGTCCAAATTTCCGAAAAATAGCGTTACGTATTTTTTTAACGGCCCCATATAACAATAGTAATAATAATAAAAATAATAATCATAAAACACAATAATTAAATACACTATACAACAGCTCCAATTCCCGGAGGATGTAACATGGAATTCAATATCGAAATTTCACCATTTCAAAAAGTGTTTGTTTCAAATTCAATGATTTTTGTTGATGCACAACCTTCGTCTAAGCCTGGCAAACAAAAAGTGGCTTGCGACAAGAATTTAGTTCAACATGACGCTTATCAATTGTACCTGCCTGGTCAAGATTTTACAAATGAAACATATTTCACCTTTATCAAGAAATTTTTAACACCCGAAAATATTCTGCGAAACGGTGTAAAAGTGAGTTTAGAAATTTTAGAAGTGTTTATTTTTTGTTTTTGTTATTTTTAGCAGCAATGCTTATTGCGGCAACCTTACAGCGCAATTTGCTATTACTTTTTTTTTATTTTACTGTTTTTTTACTTCGTAAGAAATACTTAATTATGTTTAGATTCCAAAATCATTGATTGGATCTTCAATGAGAAGAGTTTATAATGCGTATCCAGGAGTTGGATCAGTTTATGCGATGATAGCAACATACAAAAATCAGTCTTCAGCATATGTTCCATCCTTTACATACGCTTGCGATGATGTTTCGTTTGACGATTGTGGATTCATGTTGAGTAAGATTGATTTTTTTTGAAAATTTTATATTATTTAATAAATGTGAATAAGTATTGATAACGTTAATATATATAATGATAATATTATGAAATTTCATCATGGGGGTCAAAATTGAAAAAGTTCCGCTCGGTAAGACAACTGTCATGATTGTGGCTCTTTCGCCTATGCGCTCAGCTTTTATACACGAAGAATGGGGTGGAGTGGGGGGCGCATGCGCTGTGAATAGTTACTAATTTCTCCACGTGGGGAAAATATATTCAAATTGTGATAATTATTTATTTATTTTTATGTTTTCAGCTAATGGTGTTTCAAAGACACTATGTGTAGCGATGATCTTTCTTGGTGTATATCTAATGATTTTTGGTCACAAAACACCAACAGGTGCACTTTTCATTTTTGCTTCTTTGCAAGGCGGTTTAATTGGCTACACAATTGCCATAAATGCAGGAACACAAAGTGAATCAAGTAAGAAAGAAGTCGTGAATCAAGTATAAGCCATGCATTTTGCTATCTGGGTATACTATCCAAATAAAATAACTATTTTTGTAAACTAAAACCTTACCATTTTTTTTTATTTTTTACAAAACTTTTTTCAAAGTTTTCAATATTTTTTATTCCCTTAAGACACAATGTGGATTGCGATTGGCAGTGGGCTTTTATTTGCAATTATTTGGAACGTACTTTCCTGCTGCCTTTGCGGAAGAGCATCGAGAATTTTTTCCAGCGTCTTTTTAGCATTCTTCTTCTCCTGCCTGATCTACTATAAATTACCAGGTGGGGATAAAATTTTAATATCCTCGTACGGATATTTTATACAAATTAATATATTTAACAAAAATTCTTTTAAATTTTAGATAAAGCATTGCCATTTGAAAACGACTACTACTTTTGGGCATTCTTCGCCGCATTTACATTGTTGCTATTTATTATGATATCAATAACAGCTTGTCTGTCGAGTGTATTTTGTTGTTCAATTATTGGTTCGTACCTTTTTATCGTCGCTATTGACTTTTACATTGGATCGAGTTTCAAGTACATTATTATAAACTTTATACGACGAGTTACTATTTCCGGCTTTGATGTTGCTATTATAAATCCACCATTTGGCTCCCAAGGTTAGTCATCCTTCAGTCTATATACAAATATGATGTATTTAGAGGAACTTTAATATTTAATTTGACAAACATTTTTTTAAAGTCATGTGATCGAAATTTGCATTCAACAATTTCTTTTTTCTAGAAACTTCATTAACTGTATTTTGGGTTATATTTGCTGTGGCATCGTTTTTAATACAAGTACAAGTTTGTTGTCGACTTTGCTGTTGTCGACCAAATAGTGGATATGATGAAATAACCATACCTGTTGCTCATAGAAGTAGTGATGGAAATGTTGAGTTTCTGCCATGGCGTGACAATTTTCGAGCTCATCGAAGTCTTCGAAAAATGTACAGTTAAATCGGTTCAGAATTTAAAATTTATTACTTGCATTATTCATTTATGTTTAATTAGTTTTTAAAACATATGATTATTATTACTTACAAATTTTGTCTTGAAAAACAATTCGAAAGAAAGAATCTTTGAACGGTAAGGCTGAAAACAGGCTGAAAACATATTTGTTAACTACTAGAATTATAAATAAATATTTTTATAAGACGGAATAGTGGGGTTATACTTTATTTACTCTTCTTTGGTCAAAAGAGGGCTCTTGGATCAAATTACAATCCATATATGATATAATTGTAAAAAAGACCACTCCTTAAAAATAAGTTCCCAATTAAATCGTTTAAATTTCAAATTACTAATAAAATTTTTACTTCTAGAAGAAATCCCTAATCCTTAATAGAAAAACAGCTATTTTTTTTGGCTGGAGTTTGAGAGTTACGGTCGTGATTGGTTGTGAAAATGACATGACGGTCGCGAGTGGTTGAAAATACGATGATGACGATACATGATGAATATTACAGAATATCACAGATTACAAAGAGAAGAACACGTGTTTTTTCTTAAATATTCTTCATCATTCTTAATAATATTCTTAATATATGGGATGATAAAAAGTGAAAAGTGACAAAACAAAAAAATATATGGGCATATCTCTAGAACTTTTAAACTTTTAGGTATTGGAAAACTTAATTTTTTTCAATGTACATTCATTAACAAAATTCTAAACTATTGATAATTATACTTGCGTCCTCTTCATTATTTACTTAAACTTCTGCCAAAAACTCTAAATCCTTTGCAAACGCTTATGTACAAATCAAAGATTTCAGAAATGAAAAGTCAATTTTCTATCTTGTTAATTTAATTTATTAAATATTAAACACATTTAAATTCCTCATCCGTAGGTAAAACACTTTTTGTTTGATGGAGAAAACACTCTAATGGACACAATATCGGACAATTTGGAATTTGCATTTGTTTCATTTCTGATGGAACTCCCAAAAAATACCAAATCTGTTGAGAATTAATATTATTCAAAATTCTGTTATTGAAATTAAAATCATAAAATTTGTTACTTACTTTAACATAGTAGTTTGTCTCCTGCTGATGTAATTCAACAATTATTGCACTTGAGAATTCCGATATGTGCGATTTACCTAAATTTAATGCTGAATACAATGCTAAAATATTCATATCATGACCGCTGTATAAATTAATTTTAGAAGTAGCTTTCGATGTTTGATTCTTTACAGCCAACATATTCTCAGTAAAAATCTTTACAAATCCTCCTGAAAAATAAAATTTTTATGTTTTAATATCTAATCTAAAATTTTTAAATTATTGCCCACACACTTTACCTCCGTTAATTTTTTTTAATTCATTATTGTAACTCATTAGATCAAAGCTGGCAATTGCAGCACTAAGAAGATCATTTTGAAGATGATTATTCTTTGCCCACTGTGGTAATTTAAATCCCATTGCTTTCAAACACACTAAATTGCAATAAAAAATTCGTAAATGTGCAACATCTGTTAAATTTTTCTTTGTTTCATTCGTCATATTTTTTATCAAGTAATTAAATCTCGACAATCTTTTTGTCACTTCTGACAAATTAAGTATTCTCTTCTCCTCCTCAAGATATCTGCGAAAATGAAAGTATCGAATAAATAAAATTTCTGCAGCATAGGATTTTTAAAATTAAATTTTTAATTTCTTACCTTTGACAGACATCAAATCGACGGAATATGTAATCTTTTGTGATTGGATAAATACTTCTAAATGGAATCGGTTGCCAATTAAGATCATTTTTCCATGTTTGTAATCCATCAGGAGGATATAGACCAGCCAAAACAAGTTGTAGAGTCATTTTTGTACGTTCAAAATCAGAGCTTTGTGCTACTACATCTCTTGTTATGTAAGTACTTCCAAGAAAATCATTATATCTTTGCCTAAGTGTTTCGCCAAATTTAAATGCTCTTAATTTACCGTGCTAAAAATAATTAATAAGTTTTATTAAGAAAAAAGTAGTTATCATTAATATAATATTAATATTATATTTACAGGGCTCGAATTAGATCCGTAAATCCCATAAAAGTCCGTAAATTTGTTTTAATAACATTTTTCGAAAGAATTCAATTACTTTCTAAAATTTTAAAAAATCCTTCGAAACAATTCAATTATTTTTGTAGATATAGTAAAATTCATCGTAAAAATTAAATTATTTTTCATAAATTAATAAAATTCTTCTCTGGAATTCAATTATTTTCAATACAATTATTTAACAGTATTGTTATATTGTTATTCAATAAATTAAAGAAATTTTTCGAAAGAATTCAATTATTTTCTAAAAATTTTCATAAAATTCAAGAATTAAATGTTTAATTTCAATTATTATATTTAAGAAACACGATTATTGTACAGACTTAAAAGAAATTGTTCATATATAAGATTCAATTACTTTGAAAACTTTCATTTTAAATAATTAAAGAAACTGCATTATTTTAAAGAAACTCAAAGAAATTCTTCAAAAGAATAATGATTATCAAATTTTTTGATTAAAATTCTTTGCCAGAATTCAATATGATTTGTAAATTTTTTTTATAAATTTTTTACCAATAATTCAATTATTTTCATAAATAATATAAAATTTTTACAGAGATTCAATTATTTTCGTAAATAATAAAATTCTTTTTATGAATTCAATTATTTTCATAAATAATAAAATTTTTAGAGGAATTTAATTATTTTCAAATACAATTTTCAAACACAATTTTTCGAAAAAAATCAATTATTTAAAATGATTTTTATAAAATTCTTCGCTGGAATTAAATTATTTTAAAAAAAAATTAATAAAGTTCTTCGTAAGAATTCAATTATTTTTGAAAATTTTAATAAAAATTCGTTGCAAGAATTCAATTATTTAAAAATTTTTTTATAAAATTCTTCGAATCAATTCAATTATATAAAAAAAATTTTTGATAAAATTCTCGGCAAAAATTTCAATTATTTTCAATAATTTTCCAAAAGAATTTCAATTATTTTTAATACAATTTTAATCGAATTCCTCGAAAAATGTAATTATTCTTAAAAATTTTATTACAATTTTCAAAAATTTTAATAAAATTTAATTATTTTCAAAAATTTTTATAAAATTCAATATTATTTTCCAAAATTTAAATAAAATTCAATTAATTTCAAAAATTTTAATAAAATTCAATTATTTACAAAAATTTTAGTACAATTCTTTGCAAAATTCAATTATTTAAAGAAAATACCCACATAGCACAATAGTATGAGGTAAGGTTATGTTGAGTACTAATCGTAAGGCACATAAGGTTACACAATATTGCTGCGGTAGACCTGAGGTGAACTAAAAACTTCCGCCATGGAGGTAAGGTTACATGTTAGGGTGTGGTGAGTATATATGATAAGGCCATGGTAACCTTACACGTTAAGGTTAAGGTAACCTTACACGTTAAGGTTGATGTAACCTTACACGTTAAGGTTGAGGTAACGTTACATGTTAAGGTTGAGGTAAGGTTACATGTCAAGGTTGAGGTAAGGTAATTATTAAGTTGTAAGGTTGAGGTAAGGTTAAGGTAAGGTTGTGATAAATTTACCAGTTATGGAAAATATTGAAAAAATAATTAATAAATAAATATTCAATTAAAAAGTTAGTTTGTTGCTCCTCTCTATTTTGGAAACCTGATATGAAGCAGAAAATTTTGAAAACAAATTTGGGGGGACTGGGATTTGAACCCGGGATCGACGCGCATAAACCTATCATTCTAACTAACTGAGCTAAGTAGAGAACTGGTAGAAGGAAAATTAATATTGCCTTTAAGGAGTTAATCATCTTCTTGGTTCACCTTAAAGGCAACATTAATTTTCCTTCTGCCAGTTCTCTACTTAGCTCAGTTAGTTAGAATGATAGGTTTATGCGCGTCGATCCCGGGTTCGAATCCCAGTCCCCCCAAATTTGTTTTCAAAATTTTCTGCTTCATGTCAGGTTTCCAAAATAGAGAAGAGCAACAAACTAACTTTTTAATTGAATATTTATTTATTAATTATTTTTTTAATATTTTCCATAACTGGTAAATTTATCACAACCTTACCTTAACCTTACCTCAACCTTACAACTTAATAATTACCTTACCTCAACCTTGACATGTAACCTTACCTCAACCTTAACATGTAACGTTACCTCAACCTTAACGTGTAAGGTTACATCAACCTTAACGTGTAAGGTTACCTTAACCTTAACGTGTAAGGTTACCATGGCCTTATCATATATACTCACCACACCCTAACATGTAACCTTACCTCCATGGCGGAAGTTTTTAGTTCACCTTAGGTCTACCGCAGCAATATTGTGTAACCTTATGTGCCTTACGATTAGTACTCAACATAACCTTACCTCATACTATGGTGCTATGTGGGTAGTATTCATAACAAGAATTCAATTATTTTTAAAAGTAATAAAATTCAATTATTTTTCAAAAATTTTAATAAAATTCATGGCATAATTTCAATTATTTTCAAAAAGTTTTCTTAATTCAATAATTTGTACCTATATTTTTATTTTAATAAAATTTCCGAAAGGAAGTCAATTATTTAAAAACAATTTTGACAAAATTCGACATGAATATTCAATTATTTTCTAAAATAATGAAAATTTCACAGGAATTCAATTATTAATAATATTGAATTTGCATAAATTTTTTTAAAAAGAAATCAATTGTTTGAAACTTTTTTTTTATAAAATTCTTCGCAATAATTCAATTATTTTCATAAATAATAAAACTCAAATTGCAAAATTTCAATTATTTTTAATTCAAAATTTTAATCGTATTCCTCGAAAAATGTAATTATTCTTAAAAATTTTATTAAAATTCGTCGAAAAAAATTCAATTATTTAAATTGATAAAATTATATATGTATAAGAATTCAATTTTAAGAAACATTTAATTATTCAATAAATTGTCTATGTTTATATTCAAATATTTTAATTCTCGTGGAATTTTCGAATAAAAATTGATTTAAAAATTAATTTCATTTAAAGTTTTAGATAATAATTAAATTTTGGAGAAATTACATATTAATAATTGCAATTTTTCAGAAATAATTGAATTCTGAAAAGGTTTTAAATTATAAAATCTTAGAAAATTAAAATCTTTAAAAATTAAAATTCTAACAATTCTGTGAAATTAATTTTTTTCAAAAGGTTTAATTGAATTTTTTTTTTTTGGAATTTTTTTGAAAGTTGTTATTTTCTAATATATATTGAATAATTTACGAATAATTGAAATTTTGTAAAATTAAATATTGTAAACAAATGAATTTGAAAATTGTCAAAGAAATTTTTCGAAAATTATTAAAAATATTTGATTTAGAGAAGAATTTTAGTTTAAAATTCTAGAAAATAATAATTTGAATTTAAATGATGGAAATAATTTTTAAATAGTTACAGTAAGAAAATATTCATTATAATATAAATTAATGATTTTATCACTCGGTCATCTTTATAATTATTATAAAACATAAAGAAAGCGATTAGTCTATGTCGAAGACTCGGAGTTATCGATATCTATTCATGTTTTATAGTTATGAAAAATTTAATTTATAGTTTTAAGTAAAATATTCTCTTATTTGATTCGGACTAATATTTTTGTCAGTAATTTTTAATTTTTGGTCCGTAAAGCAGGGCCGGATTTACTTATCAGGGGGCCCTAGGCAATCCTGATGGGTGCCCCATAATGTTCGTATTTTTAAATATTTCCACTGGTTCGAGCCTTGTATTTATTAATTTATATTTTATTCATTATTTTTTTTAATTAATTCAATGCTTTACATTTGTTAGTCCTCCAATGCCGGCAGGAAAATAATCTTCATTTGTATACGGAATTCCTGGATATAAAGTATCTGGTGTACGATCACCATGTCTAAATAACTAAATATAAATAATTTTTCCATAAATAATTTCCAAAGTATCACAATAAAGATAAAACAATAGAAATAGTTTAGCAAAATCAATTTTTGAGTATGTAATTTTTCAAAAAGCTTACCACATTCACTTGTTTCAGCTGTAAATTACTTTGCGCACACAACATGAGATTATAAGAAATAATTATAATGGTAAAACTAGTAGAAAATTTCCAAAACACAATCATTTTTGCAAATTAGTCTATACAATATAAAATGTAATTATAGAGACTTTTTAATTTTATGATGTGGCGCATTTAATTAAAATATTAATTTAATTTAATTTAATAATAAATTTAATAAACGTTATTTGAATTATTTAAAATTTGAATGGAATACGATTACATAAAACAGGACTATTAATTTTTATTGCTGAATAATAATTCAGGTACTGTTCTGTAAAAGATTTAGTGGATCACTGTCAGATCTTATTACTGATTGGAAAAATAAAAACATGTGTTCATATTTGATTAAGAAGCTTTGATGATAATAAAATAACAAGACTGATTATAGTATTTACAACGATATGTATGTCCAGTAACATTCATCTATATGAAATTTTTAATTTTAATTAATTAGAAAGCAACATATTATTGTTTTCAATATTATGTATAATAAAAAGTATTTTTAAATATATTGTTTCATGTGAAACTGATCGATGATTTTTCTATCTTTTCAGCAATTTTCTTGAATTTTTTTTTCTTGTAGCTATAAGGGTAAGAAATAATAAAGTGAAGTCGATTTTGAAAATTTCATAATATTTTTGAAAATATTTAATTAAATTTGAAAAATGTACTATTTTTTTTAACTTTCTACAGAAAAGGTTAAATTATACCTACATTCAATTAATATGTATTTTATTTGAAAAATATTGGAATAGTTTTAATGAAACTACACGTGCGTGTTATTCTAGCTATTTCAGAAAAATATTTGCTTATAGGTCTATTTATTTTAAAAAATATATTCAAAAATTAGGATTAAACTGATTATTTAATGATTTTCAGATTACGAAGAACCTCTTTTTAAACTTCTATCAAAATCAAGAGACATCATCATCTATTACACACAGTATTAATGAAAATGGACAATCCGAATTTGTATGTATATTTCATTTGTTTCTCATTCTCGCCAATTCAATATTTTAAAAAATAAACTTTTTTACATTTTAAAGAATGGAATTATTAATATGGAAACATGGTAATAAGTCCAATGTCAACTCACCTACGGAAACGTCGTGAGTTAAAAAAATATACTCATCCATCATTTGAAAAGGCAGAAAATGGTTTTATAAATGCTAATGAACATATAATTTATAAACATACTCCTATTAATGCTACCCGTAAGTATTTTTCGCTTTTTTCACATTTGAACAATATTAGAAAATATCAAAAATTTCATTTTAGTTAAGTGTATTACATTCGTATAGTTATAAATACAAACATTTTGTGAAATAAAGGATGGGAGATGCAAAAATTTTATTGTCCAAAAAGCCAGAAATACCAATTATTCTATATAGATGACGAATTCTCTGAAAAAATGAATATTTTTTAAAAGTTTGACAATTAGATACACTTAAATTCCTCTTCTGTTGGGGTGACGATTTTTGCAGCACTGATGAAAAAGTTCAGTGAACAGGGCGATGCACAATTAGATATATTTAATTCAGTCAAGTTAGATGGAGTGCCTTTATAATACCATATCTAAAAAGAGAGAATTAGCAATACAATAATTAATATTACAAAATTTTTGAAGAAACGATAAATTTTGCGCTAATTAGGTATCCAATAGATTTGAATTCATATTATACCTTAACATAGTACTTGCTTTCTAAGGACAATAATTCAACAATGACTGCACTTGTAAATTCTGGTAGATGTGGTTCTACTAAATTGAGTGAGGACAAAAATGCTAAAATATTTATATCATGTCCACTGTATAGATTTATTTTTGGATAAACAGTGTCTGATTGAATTTTTACCGATTTCATGTTCTCTATTACTGTTCGCACAAATCCACCTAGAATTAAAATTATATTTTACAAATTATGTACATACATAAGTATGAACCAGTGAAAGTATTTAAAAATATGAAATTTACGGCAGGGACGGATTTATAAAGAGGCAAACTAGGCAACTGCCTATAGGCCCCCATCATCTAAAATATTTTTTACAAAAAGTGTAAAAAAATTTTTTTTTTAAAAGTATTTTACAAAATAATTTTAAGTGTTTAGAAATTTAAGCGCTTAATTCATATATATAAAATATTACTTAAAATTTTAATCTTGGTAAATTTTTGAAAAACCCTTTCCTTACATGGGGCCCCCACCAGGATTGCCTAGGGCTCCCTGTCAAGTAAATCCGGCCCTGCTTTACGGATTGCAATTATTAATAAAACTTCTCCAAAATTCAATTATTATCAAAAACTTTAAATGAAATTAATTTTTAAATCAATTTTTATTAAAAAAAATTCTACGAGAATTACATTATTTAAATATAAACATAGACAATTTATTGAATAATTATGTAAATGTTTCTTACAATTGAATTCTTATACATAATTTTTTTTTAATTTTTTAAAAATTTATTTTTTTTTTTAATTTTTTTTACTTTTTTCTAATTTTTTTTTTTAATTGAATTTTTTCGACGAATTTTAATAACAATTTTAAGAATAATTACATTTTTCGAAGGAATACGTTTAAAATTGATTTAAAAATAATTGAAATTCTGCAATTTGAGTTTTATTATTTATTAAAATAATTAAATTATTGCGAAGAATTTTATAAAAAAAAGTTTCAAACAATTGATTTCTTTTTAAAAAAAATTTATGCAAATTCTATTATTATTATTAATATTTGAATTCCTGTGAAATTTTCAATATTTTTAGAAAATAATTGAATATTCATGTCGAATTTTGTCAAAAATTGTTTTTAAATAATTAAATTTTTTTCAGAAATTTTATTAAATTAAAAATATACAAATTATTGAATTAAGAAAAATTTTTTAAAATAATTTAAATTTTGCCATGAATTTTATTAAAATTTTCAAAAAATAATTGAATTTTATTAAAATTTTTGAAAATTGTAATAAATAAATTGTAATAAAATTTTTAAGAATAATTAAATTGTATTATTAAAATAATTGAAATTCTGCAATGAGTTTTATTATTTATGGAAATAATTTGACTCTTCTAAAAATTTTATTATTTATGAAAATAATTGAATCTTTGTGAAAAATTTTATTATTTATGAAAACAATAAAATTATTGTGAAAAAATTTATAAAAAATTTGTAAATGATTGATCTCCTTGTGAAATTTTTATTATTTTATATATGAATATAATTAAATGTTTGCGCAGAATTGCATTAAATATTTTTTTAAATAATTGAATTCATTTGGAAAATTTTTAAAAATAATTGAAATTTTTGCCGAGAATTTTTTCAAAATTTTTTTTAAATAATTGAATTGATTCGAAGAATTTTATAAAAAAAAAATTGTTTAATAATTGAATTCTCGCAACGAATTTTTATTAAAATTTTCAAAAATAATTGAATTCTTACAAAGAACTTTATTAATTTTTTTTTTAAATAATTCATTCCAGCGAAGAATTTTATAAAAATCATTTTAAATAATTGATTTTTTTCGAAAAATTGTGTTTGAAAATTGTATTTGAAAATAATTAAATTCCTCTAAAAATTTTATTATTTATGAAAATAATTGAATTCATAAAAAGAATTTTATTATTTACGAAAATAATTGAATCTCTGTAAAAACTTTATATTATTTATGAAAATAATTCAATTATTGCGAAAAAATTTATTAAAAAAATTAGCAAATCATTGAATTTGGGCAAAGAATTTTAGCAAAAAATTTGATAATCATTATTTTTTTAAAGAATTTCTTTGAGTTTCTTTAAAATAATGCAGTTTCTTTAATAATATAAATTGAAAGTTTTCAAAGTAATTGAATCTTATATGAACAATTTCTTTTAAGTCTGTACAATAATCGTGTTTCTTAAATATAATAATTGAAATTAAACATTTAATTCTTGAATTTTATGAAAATTTTTAGAAAATAATTGAATTCTTTCGAAAAATTTCTTTAATTTATTGAATAACAATATAACAATATTGTTAAATAATTGTATTGAAAATAATTGAATTCCAGAAAAGAATTTTATTAAATGAAAAATAATTTAATTTTTCGATTAATTTTACTATAATTACAAAAATAATTGAATTGTTTCGAAAAATTTATTAAAACTTTAGAAAATAATTGTATTCTTTCGAAAAATGTTATTAAAATTGTATTCAAAAATATTTGAATTTTTGCAAAGAATTTTACTACATATAATTATAAAAGTAATTGGATGCCTTTTAAAAATTTTCTTATTGAATTTTTTCAAGAATTTTATTACAATTTTTGAAAATAATTGAATGTTTGCAATTATTTGTAGCTTCTAAAAAATTCTCCAAATTATATCATCGTTTTTACGAACTTTGCTTGTTTTTTTAGTTAAATTACGGAGTTATTATGGACCTTTTTTTTAAAAAAACAACTGACTTTTACGGACTTTAAAAAAATTTACGGACTTTTACGGGATTTACGGACCTAGTTCGAGCCGTACAGAGCCGTCACTCTGTTTGACTTTTTTACTTGGGGTATATTTGCATAATTATGTATTTGTATTTAAAAATGTTACCTCCATGTAATCTTTTGATCAGATTGTTATAATTCTGAAGCTTTAGATTTAAAATCATCGCATCGTACAGTTTCCCTTTGGGATAAATATTCTCTGTCCAATTTGGTAGAGTAAAGCCCATTTTCTCTAGGGCAACAAAGTTCGCGTATAAGGAATACAAATCTTCTAAATCAGTCATATTTCTTCCAGTTAACATTGTCAGGTTGTTCATGAAATTTTGATAAGATGACACTATTGGAGCTAATTTTGGTGATTGTAATACTTTCCTTCTTTCCTCAAGGTACCTGGTGATGACAATTCTTTTTACTATCAGGACTATACTGTCAGTTACTAATTACTATCAGGTCATTGAAGTACAAAACACCTAAAGAATCAAAAAAATGGTTTTACAGATAACTAACTTGGAACAAATGTGTCTTCGTTGAAACATATTGTCCTTTGATCTATCATTGTAATTTGTTGGAATTGGTTGCCAATTTAAATCTTTCTTCCACTTTTGATTTGTATTCGGTGGATATAAACCTGCTAAGACAAGTTGTAATGTCATTTTCGTACGTTCAAAGTTTGAACTGATACTTTGCACATCATCAGAGACGTATGTTGTTCCCAAGAAGGAATCATATTTTTTACGAAGGAATTCACCAAATTGGAATGCTCTAGCTTTGCCATCCTTAGAAATATTTTTCGTTAGGTAATAATAAAATAACTATTAATAACTATTAAATATTTAAAAAATTTATTTCTATAAATTTACAAAAATAGAAGATAATAAACTTACGTTCGTTAATCCTCCTACGCCAAATGGATAGAAATCTTTAGCTCCATAGGGTAGTTGAGGATACAAAATATCTGGAGTCCGATCTCCATGTCGAAATATCTGTTGACGTTCAAAAAAAAAAGAATTAAAGATGCACTTTACTTATCAGTTAATTTTTAATTTTACACAATAATTATTTAATAATTAATAATTAATAATTATAATACTTGCCACATTTATTTGTTTAATTTCATATTTACAATTGACATCGACTGCCACAGCACTTAATATAAAAATAAGAAGCAATTCCATAATTACTTATCAATCTTAATATACAGATCATTTGAACATTGATGACAATTTTATCGGACAATTGTATTAAGTAACAATAATCACTTTAAATAATTTTTATCAACGTATATATGAATTTCAAATATTTCAATTTTATCTCTTCTGATTAGAAATTTTTTCTCATAAATATATTCTTCAAAAATTTTATTAACTCTAATTTTTAATAGTATATATATACAAAAATGGTAATGCGCAGAACACGAGTGATAAAATTATGAATAAATAAAGTGCACACTTTTCTACTAAACTTTTATTTCTGCCTGTTTATAATAACACACCCCCACCTATATCGAGTGGAAAATAAATAAGTTGACACGTGTTCAGAAACATGTGTAGATAGTCGTTCAAAGAAAATAATTCTTCATTGTTATCTTATTGTCAGGTCTCTGCTACCATTTACCTTATTTCCAAATATAAATCTTTTTCTACCTCTATATGTTGCTTGTGATTAATATTTTATAAATAGACAAAGAGAGAGAATTCTCTAAAATACGGTGGACTTTTTTTTTTATGAATTTATAAAAATTTATCTCAATGACCCGAAATCATAATTTCTATCATACATAGATTTTCTTGATTTTTTTATTTAAAAAATATATAAAGAATATATAAATAATATATATTCTACCTGATATAATGAAATAAACAAAATAATAATTATATAAATTAATATCAATTTGCTCTTTTTTACAATTTTAAAAAATTTCCATTGAACAATATGTTTAAAAGAAAAATTTAAAAATTAAGTTTCTACCCACGTCGAAAAATTCAATGGAAGTACCCCCTGAAAATTCCATGGAATTCCCGTGCGGAGTTTCCATGGAAATTTTGTAAGTTTTTTATTTTAAAAAAAATATTTTAATATTTCCAGGGTTGTCATAGATTAGGGAAAAGTCAGGGATTTTTATTAAAGTATACTAATGGAAAAAATTGAATTTAGAAAAAGTTACAAATAATTGCAGAAATTCAATTTATATTCAAAATGTAATAAAATTCTTCGCAGATATTCAATTATATTCAAAAATTTTTAAAAATGCCACGTCAAAATTATTCAATTGTCTTTAAAAATAATCAAATTTTTTACCGAGAATATCAATTATTTTCACAAATAATTTAATTTTTACCGGAATTTAATTATTTTCATACACAATTTTTTATAAAATTTTTTGAAAAACATCCATTATTTGAAATGCTTTTTATAAAATTCTTCGCTAGAATTCAATTATTTAAAAAAATTTTAATAAAGTTCTTCGTAAGAATTCAATTATTTTTGAAAATTTTAATAAAAATTCGTTTCAAGAATTCAATTATTAAAAAAAAATTTTAATAAAGTTCTTCGTGAGAATTCAATTATTTTTGAAAATTTTAATAAAAATTCGTTTCAAGAATTCAATTATTTAAAAAAAAAAATAAATAAAAAAGTTCTTCGTAAAAATTCAATTATTTTTGAAAATTTTAATAAAAATTCGTTTCAAGAATCTAATTATTTTAAAAAAAATTTTATAAAATTCTTCGAATCAATTCAATTATTTAAAAAAATTTTTGATAAATTTCTCGGTAAAAATTTCAATTATTTTCAAAAATTTTTATGAAATTCTGCGCAAACATTTAATTATATTCATATAAAATAATAAAAATTTCACAAGGAGTTCAATTATTTTTATAAAATTTTTATAAATTTCTTTGCAATAATTTCATTATTTTCATACCTAAATAATAAATTTTTTTTCACAAATATTCAATTATTTTCAGAAATAATAAAATTCTTTCTCTAGGAATAAAATTATTATCATCTATTTTTTTTCGAAAAATGTAATTATTCTTGAAAATTTTATTAAAATTCGTCAAAAAAAAAAAAATTCATTTATTTAAAAATTTTTTGATAAAGTTCTTTATGAGGATTTAATTTTGAAAAACATTCATTTATTCAATAAATTATTTATTTTTCATTTTATTTGTATTTAAATAATTGAATTCTAGTAGAATTCTTTATGAGGATTCAATTTTGAAAAACATTCATTTATTCAATAAATTATTTACTTTTCATTTTATTTGTATTTAAATAATTGAATTCTAGTAGAATTTTCTAATAAAATAATTGATTTAAAAATGAATTTCAGTTAAAATTTTACATAATAATTGAATATTAAAAGCATTATAGCATGAATTTTAAAAAAATAATTAATTTTTGAATATTTTTGAAAATAATTACATTCTTTGAAGAATTTACTTAAAATTCTAATAAAAGAAATTATTTTTAATTATTTTAATTTTATTTTTTTAATTATTTATTTATTTTTTTTAATTATACTTGAAATCCTGCGAAGAGTTTTATTATTTAGGAAAATAATTGAATTCTTGTAAGGATTTTTTATTACATGTGTTTTAAGTAATTGAAGTCTTGTGAAGAATTTTATTATTTATGAAAATAATTAAAAAATATTATTTATGGAAATTTTTTTTTTTTTTTTTTTTTATAAAAATTTTATTATTTATGAAAAAGTAATTGAATTCAAGTGAAAAATTTTATTACTTGTAAAAAATAATTGAATGCTTGGGAATCTTCATGGAAATTCCATGGAATTTCCAGGGGGTATTTCCATGGAATTTTTCGACGTGGGATATTTTTAAAAATTTTCTTTCTACTGCTTTATACACAATGACAATTGTTTTTTTTTTAAAGTAAACGGTAACTTTTATTTACAACAAAAATAGAAACTATTGTCTAAATTTATAAAAGACTTTGCCTTCTAATCTCAATGAATTTATTAAAAAGAGCCACGCGTCAACATCAGATAAGATTTGTATTCATATGAAAAGAAGAGGATTAATAAATATGAATACACTTATGAATGATGCATAGAATTTAGACTTTTTCCTCTTTGTCTTTGTGAATGAAAATGAAAGATCCGGTTTAATTTATTTTTGTCTAAATATATCCGTTACTATATTGTAATATTTATTTGGTAAATGGACAATTTCTATATTTATTCTAATAATAGGACTAGAATTAGTGTTTTAAATTTTTTTAAGAATAAAAATTTGTCAGTTTCTTCTTATCCAAACAATTTAAATTGTTTCTTAACTTTTTCTTTAAAATTGATCGAAAGAAATTAATTTTTATAAATACAATTTTAACTAAAATTTTTTTTTGTTGAAATAATTCAATTTACATTACATTTACATTTTTATTTACATATTACAAATAATTCTTCGAAAGAATTCAATTATGTCGATAAAGAAACAAAATTATTTCTGAAAATTAAATTATTTTGAGGCATTTTGATAAAATTCTTTTCAAAATTCAATTATTTTCATAAATAACAATATTCATCACAAGAATTTAATTATTTTTAAAAGTAATAAATTTCTTTTCGGAAATTCAATTATTTTAAAATATTCTAATAAAATCGTTTGCAAGAATTCAATTATTTCCATAAATAAAAAAATTCTTTTTAGAAATTCAATTATTTTCAAAAATTTTCCAAATGAATTCAATTATTTAAAAAAATGTTTTTTTAAAATTTCTTTTGGAAGAAATCAATTATTTACATAAATATGTAATTTTTCGATAGAATTCAATTATGTCGATAAATAATAAAATTATTCATGAAAATTCAATTATTTAACGGTATTTTAATAAAATTCTTTGTAAAATTCAATTATTTTCATAAATAATAATATTCATCACAAGAATTCAATTATTTTTTAAATTTATAAATTTTTTACTTGGAAATTCAAGAATTTTGGAAAAATCTAATAAAATCGTTTGCAAGAATTCAATTATTTCCATAAATAAAAAAATTCTTTTTAGAAATTCAATTATTTTCAAAAAAAAATGTAATAAAATGCCACACAGAAATTCAATTATTCTGAAAAATTTTAATAGAATTTGTTATAAAATTAATTATTTTTAAAAAATTTTCGTAATTCAATGATTATTTCAATATCTACTATTTTCAGAAAATTTCCAAACATAATTCAATTATTTAAAAAAATTTTTTTGTAAAAATCTTAGTAAGAATTCAATTCTTTTCAAGAATAATGAAAATTTCTCTGGAATTCAATTATTTAAATATTAGAATTTGCATAAAATTAGTCAAAAGAATAGAATTTTTTAAAAAATTTTATAAATTATTCTTTCTCAAGAATTAATTGTTATTGTTTTAATAAAATATTTAAATTCTTTCATGAATAATATGAAATACGTTGCAGGAATTCAATTTATTAGCGTATAGGATAAGAAAGAAGTTAAATATTTTTGATGAACATTAGGAAAAAGTCAGGAAAATAAAAAATATGGAACTAAATTTTTGTCAGTTTTGTGAAGGTGTCTAAAATGATTTTTTTTTTGGTCGTTAAATTTAATTTTTTTAAAGCTAAGTTTGAAAACTATACTTTTTGCTACTTTTTAAAAATTAATTATCGAGTGTGAAGTCTGCGAAAGTGAATTTCATTCTAAGATATTTATAGAATAGGATTTAAATAGGATTTAAAAAAAAAAAAAAAAATTAAAAAAAAAATTTTTTTTAATTTTAAAAGATAAAAAAGTGTAAGAGAAATACATAATTTATTTATCATATTGTAAATTACAATAAGTTTGTAGTAAAGCATAATAATTTCACAGGTTGGTAAAATTCGCTAGCACTTCAATTCTTCATCAGAGGGAATGACGTCTTTTATAATATGAAAGAATGTCGACAATGGACACGGAGATCCACAATTCGGTATTTCTAGTGTCTTAATTACTGATGGAATACCCAAATAGTGTAGAACCTGAAATAATTATTGAAATAATCGGTTTATAATTAATTTAATTCCTCAAAAATTATTATAGAAATCTGCTAGTGTCTAAAGTAAAAACCTATATTTAACCGCATTTTTCTTATAAGATCGACATTATATAAGTATAAACTTCGACCTTAAAAAATTTGGTTACTAGGTTTTTACTTTGGACAGTAGCAGAAATACAGAATACAGATTCTTATAGATACGAGTGTTTAAAATTTAAATTTACCTCAACGTAATAGACTTCGTTAATTGTGTACAATTCTATAATAACAGCGCTGGTGAATTCTGGTAGATGTGGCTGAACAACATTTAGAGATGCTAGCATTGCGTATACATTGAGATCATGGCTACTGTATAGAAATACTTTATGTTTATGCCGATCGCCATCTGCAACTAATTTCATGTCCTCGGCAACTTTTCGTAAAAGGGCTCCTGTAAAGTAATTTTTTTTTTTATTAGAGCAAGTATCCTAAATAATTATAGTATTATGCTTTTGATGACTTTTTGTATTAATAAAAAAAATTATTTACAATTGTAAATAATTCCTACCTCCATTCAGTTTTTTTAGAAGATTGTTGTAATTCATTAAATTGAATGTTGTCACAGTTGAATCATTGAGAATGGATGATAATGTACTGACCCAATTTGGTAAATGTTTGTCCATGTAATTTAAACACACGAGGTTACAATGTAGAGTGTAGAGATCGTAGATGTCATTCATCTTCCATCCTGTTATGTTTGTCAATTCCTCTTTTGCATTTTCGAACCTCTCCAGTTTCTCGGAGATATAGGCCTCCTTTTTTAAGTTCTCGTAATTCTCCAAAAATCTGGTAATTAATGAAAACTGTTACTTATTTTTTAATCATTTAATTTTTTTATATGTCAATTCGACGAATGTGAAAATCATCTTATTTTCTCATTTTCATAAATAATAAAATTTTTACAGGAATTTAATTATTTTCAAACACAATTTTCATATAATTTTTCGAAAAAAAATCAATTAATCATTAAATGATTAATTAAATCATTTGAATTAAAAAAAAAATGATTTAAAAAAATAATTTAAAAAAAAAATGATTTTAAATAAAATGATTGATAAAAATGATTTTTATAAAATTCTTCGCTAGAATTCAATTATTTAAAAAAAAATTAATAAAGTTCTTCGTAAGAATATTCAATTATTTTTGAGAACTTTAATAAAATTCGTTGCAAGAATTCAAATTATTTAAAAAAAATTTTAATACAATTCTCGGCAAAAATTTCAATTATTTTCAAAAATTCTCCAAATGAATTCAATTATTTAAAAAAATATTTAATGCAATTAAATATAATAATAAAATAAAAAAAAAAGTTTTTGAACGATTTTAAAAATTTCTGAAAAATAAAAATTGGTCGATAATTTTGTTTTTTTTTCTACAGAAAATTTAAAAATCTTGATTTTCGACTAAATTCATGAAATTCTTTCATTTTCCATCTAAATTATACTCGAAAAACAAGTTTTTAAAAGAAATTAAAATTTTTTCAAAATTTAAAAATCGTCGTTTTTCTCGTTTTTTTTTTTGATAGGAAATTTAAAAATTGTGATTTTCGTCAATTTCTTCAAATTTTTTGTTTCAGAAAATTTTTGCAATCGTAAATTTCGACTGAATTCGATATTTGTTTGGATTTTCAAACAAAATTATACTCAAAAAATAAGTTTTTGAACAATTTTAAAAATTTCTGAAAAATAAAAATTGGTCGATTTTTTCTTTTTTTTTTCTACAATTTTCGACTAAATTCATGAAATCTTTTCAATTTAATTATATTCATAAAAAATAATAGAAATTTCACAATGAGTTCAATTATTTACAAATTCTTTATAAATTTCTTCGCAATAATTTCATTATTTTCATAAAATTCATCTCACAGGATTTCAATTATTTTTAATACAATTTTTCAGGAATTGCTCAAAAATAATGGAATTATTTTAAAAAATTTAATTTTAATTTCTCGAAAAAATCAATTATTTAAAAAAATGTTTTTTTAAAATTTCTTTTGGAAGAAATCAATTATTTACATAAATATGTAATTTTTCGATAGAATTCAATTATGTCGATAAATAATAAAATTATTCATGAAAATTCAATTATTTTACGGTATTTTAATAAAATTCTGTGTAAAATTCAATTATTTACATAAATAATAATATTTATCACAGGAATTCAATTATTTTTAAAATTTATAAATTTTTTACTTGGAAATTTAAGAATTTTGAAAAAATCTAATAAAATCGTTTGCAAGAATTTAATTATTTTCATAAATAATAAATGGTTTCAATAGAAATTCAATTCTTTTTAAACATTTTAATAGAATTTTTTGGCAATAATTCAATTATTTTTATAAATAATAAAATTCTTCTCTGGAATTCAATTATTTTTGAAAATTTTTAATAAAATTTTTAGCAACTATTCAATTATTTTTATAAATAAAAAAATTCATCGCAGAATTTCAATTATTTTTAATACAATTTTTTAGGAATTGCTCTAAAAATGTAATTATTATGAAAAATTTAATTTCAGTTTCTCGAAAAAATCAATTATTCAAAAAAAAATGTTTTTTTCAAAATTCCTCAGAAGAATTCAATTATTTACAAAAATGTTAGAATTTTTTACCGGAATTCAATTATATTCAATTATTTTAATAAAATTGATCGAAAAAAATTAATTATTTTAAATACAATTTTAATTAAATTTTTTTTTTTGAAATATAATTCAATTATTCTTTTAGATTTTAATAAAATTCTTCCCAAGAATTAAATTATTTACATATAAATAATTCTTCGGAAGAATTCAATTATGTCGATAATAACAAAATTATTCCAAAAAATTCAATTATTTTCAGACATTTTAATAAAATTTTTTTCAAAATTCAATTATTTTAATAAATAATAATATTCATAACAAGAATTCAATTATTTTTAAAAAGTAATAAATTTCTTTTTGGAAATTCAATTATTTTAAAATATTCTAATAAAATCGTTCGCCAAGAATTCAATTATTTTCATAAATAATAAAATGCTTTTCACAATTCAATGATTTTCAATATCTTCTATTTTCAGAAAGTTTCCAAACAGAATTCAATTCTTTTTATGAATAATAAACATCTTGGAAATTCAATTATTTAAATTAAAATTTGCATTAAATTAGTCTAAAGAAATCAATTATTTTAAAAATTTTTATATAATTCTTCGCAAGAATTAAATTTTTTTGATAAATATTTAAATTCTTTTATAAATAATAAAATTCGTTGCAGAAATTTAATTTATTAGCGTAGAATAAGAAAGAAGTAAATGGTTTTGATGAAAATTGGAAAAAAAAAAAAAAAAAAAATTGGAGAAAAGTCATGAAAGTATAGAATGAAATTTTTCTCAGTTTTCTGAAGTGTCTAAAACGAGTTTTTTTGGTCGTAAAGTTTAATTTTTCGATAGCTACTTTTTTATTCTTTTTTTTTTTTTTAGTTTGAAAAAGCTACTTTTTGCTAAATTTTTAAAATTAATTATTAAGTGCAAAGTCTGTTTATATATAAAATCCAACATTAGGTTTAATTCTGTAACATAATTTTAAAACGAAGAACATAGGGATGATATTTAAAAAGATTTCAGTATTTTTATCATTGTTTTCAATATGGTTTTCCTTTTTTCCCATATCCCAAATGGGGGATATTTTTATAAAATTATTTTAAAAATTAAAGCTCTAATGCGTGCATTTTTATGGTCATAATTAGAAATACTTACGAATTACAATAGTATGTTCTCAAAAGTAATTTATCATTCTGCTCAGGAACATAAACTGTTGGTATTGGTTGCCAATCTAAATGAGAGTTCCATCTTTGCAATTCCGATGGGGGATACATTGCTGCTAAAACAAGTTGTAATGTCATTTTTGTTCTTACATAATCCGTACTCTGAGCATAAACATTATCTGGATAGTAAATTGGACCCAGAAATTGATTGTACTTTTCCCTCAATACTTCTCCAAGTTGATAAGCCCTTTTTTTACCATTCTAAAATAGAAAATTAATATTCGACTTCAGCTTTAAAAAGTAAAAAAAAAAAAAAAAAAAAAAAAAAAAAAAAAAAAAAAATTAAAATTAAAATTAAAATTTACTATTTAGAATAAAATAAATAAATTTTGAAAAAATTTCGAATCATACATTCGTCAATCCTCCAACACCATTGGGAAAATAATTATCATTCGTGTAAGGCATCTTAGGGTATACAATATCTGGAGTACGATCTCCATGTCTAAAAACCTGTGGGCATGGAAATTAATTATGAGTAGATAGTAAAGAAAAATTATCACATATATCAATTTAAGAATGAGGTTTATCTGGAAAAAAACTCAAACTGTGCCAAGATCAAAGCTAATTTGACCTTATTTAGTTTTTCAAACGATTTAATAATTTATCAGGTTGCTTTTAAATAATAATAATCTTCAATATTGATTTTTTAATGAAATATTTAATAAAAAAAAAACTATATATTAGCAACGAAACAATTTATGAAAATATAATAATTAAATTCATAATCTTACCACACTGACTAATTTAACGTGTCTTTTTGGTTCACTGGCAATTGTTAATATATTTAATACTGCTATAATTACAAAAGTAGTTAGAGTATTAACAGACATTTCAAAATGTATATGAAAATTTTCTACTCTTACTGTAAAATATATTTTCTATAAAATACTATCCTGTTTTTTAGATTTACAATAATTCTACTCCACCTGAAATAGTTCCAAAAGTAATTTTAATTTTAAAAAATGAACATTCAGGGAAATATTTTTAAAAATATTTTTCAATTTTATAAATAAAATTTATAAACTAAAGATAATTAAAAATAAAAAAAAATTAGAATTTACAAAATAAAATAATTCAAAATAATACAAAATAATTTTTAAAATATTTAAATTGATTTATAGCAATAAACTTGCTGTGTCGAAAGAGATGATACTATTAATTTCAGAAATGATCTTATATGCGAAAAAATATACGGGTTGTATATCAGGTGAGATATAGAATTTTTTTTTTATTTCTGTCTTAATAGAAAAAAAAATAACTCGAATGGAATTTTTTTTACAATCAACTTTTTTTTTGTTAAAAATAATAATTCATAATTAATGAATTGTAAAATATTTAATTTTAATTAATATAAAAAAAATGTCTTACCTACAATATTATTGTAGTCACAAATATATTAATATATTTGAAAGAATAAGGTAGGTATACTGGAAAAAATATAAAGTGCGTAAAAAAAGATTCCGATGTCCCTTAAATAAGCAGTTTGTCGTAAAGAAAATTTATTAAAAAACAAATAATTTCTTTATTTACTTATTTTAAAATGTTTTATTAATAATTTTTTTAAGTGAATTAAAATAAATTATTATTCATCATCAAATAATATCGTATTGCCCCGTTTATTAAAATAAATTGCGCGTGTCTTATTTATGTAAATTTAATATTTATATTAAAATTCATGAAAAAAATGTATATGTAAACTTTATCAAACTGTTAACACACTATTTTTTTGTTTACAATATCAATAAAGTATATTTTACAATTGTGCAATAAATTTATTGTTACAATAAATGACAAACATTTCATTGTATAATCACGAGAATTAATTTGATAAAAATAATTGAATTATTTACTTTATTTGTTTGATTTTAGTTTATGTTTGCGAAATATAATTGACAGCTTATATTAAAAATTATAGGGTTAATAATTCCATGTGTAGTTTTTAATAAGTGGAAAATTTTTTTTATGAATCTAAGAATATTTATATTATATATGAATAATTATATTTTATAAACAAATAACTTTTTTTTCCGGTTCAGTAAATAATTATAATATTAAAAAAAAATTTCGAATTTCTGAAATCTGACTTTATATTCATGATTAGTAGCGAGTACAAAAGAATTTGGATTCGATATATGTGAATTTTAAAAAACTGACATCAGATTCGTAATCAGCGACCCCGAAAACATCCCGATTAATAAGTTTTTAGCCTTTTTAGCTAATCCGATGGATTTTTAATTTTCTCGACCGACATATTGGATCCGCCATTTTGAATTTAGAAAATCTGACATCAGATTCGTAATCAGCGACCCCGAAAACCTCAAAAAAATTAATTTCGATCGAAATGCATCAATTTTAAAAATATCCACCATATTGAATCGGCCATTTTGAATTTTAAAAAACTGACCTCAAATTCGAATTCAGCGACCCCAAAAACCTTATAAATGATGAAATTATTATTTAAATAATCTTTAACGTCTGAGATGTTTTATAAAATAAGGCAAATAATACGAAAACATTCGGACAATGAATAAAAATATATTTACTAATTAGTTAATTTTTCCACGTCAATTGTTTTGAACAAAATTTATATATATATATATATATATATATATATATATATATATATATATATATATATATATATATATATATATATATATATATATATATATATATATATATATATAAATTTTGTTCAAAACAATTGTAGTGAATGCACAATTTTTACAGCATTATTTTCTAGACTCATAGATATTTTAGTTTATCGTGAACTTTGTCCAATATGAGTAAATTAGAGATTAGATTTATATTAGGAAATTCTATTGGGAAATAATTGATACAATAAATTGCTATTATTTCTAAAATAATCAGTTTTCCATTAATGTTTGTTGAATAAGGAAAATATAATGTGATTTTTATGAAAGAAATTTTAACACTTTTTTTATTTGCTTATAGAAAAATTTACCAAACAATTAATTATGGAAAATAGTTATTTTTAATTGTATATGTTAAATTAATTAAATGTATTAATTATATTAACTAAAAGTAACTAATTAACTAAAAATCAGTGTTGTTACTGAACATACATATTAAAAGATTTTAATAAAGTTCCCAATTTTTTTGCCAATTACTATTAAAATCATGATGACATTTAGAAATTTTGTTACAAAGTTTTTAATAATTGTTTTCATTACATGTTCATTGTGTTTCAAAGAGAATTTTTCCTATGAAATTAAATTAGTTAATGTGGTAAGTATTTTTACATTATTACCTTGGTATGTATAGAATATTTTCCAAACATTAGAAATGTCATGTAAAATTTTCTATTTTTTTTAATTAATGAAAATGTTATAAATTAGAATTTATTGATGCCGATGACTGTTATAGAAAAGAAAATAATGAAAAATTATTTGTTCTTAATGTAAAGATAGAAGAGAATATATTACCTATAGTTGACAAACAAAAAACACACGACGTTAGGAACTTTTAAAATATTTTTAAAAATTTATCGCATAACTACTGTTTGCGTTAAAGAAAATTGCAGGATAAATTATTCAATTTATTGTTAAAACGTGACAGAGAAAAACTTTTAGCATGTATTTTTGTAAATTCATGCCAAGGTGATTATAAACCTAATAATGTTTTTTTTTATTTTTCAAAATAAAATAGGTATTCAGGCATGGAGATCGAACACCGGAATTTATATACCCAAATTTTATTGATGTCGATCAAAATTATTATCCTGAGGGTTTGGCAGGTTTGACTAATGTAAGTATAGAGATAGTTTTGATTCTTTATCAGCATTTTTTTTTCCAACATCTAATTACAAACAATTTTTTCAGAAAGGCAAATTACGAGCACACCAGTTTGGAGAGTTACTTCGGTTAATGTATAACGACTTTCTGGGAACCACTTATATTCCAGAAGAAATTTATACACGAAGCACTGATTTCCTCAGGACAAGAATGACTCTCCAACTTGTTCTAGCTGGATTATATCCTCCAAATTCACTACAAAAATGGAATAGTCATTTGAATTGGCAACCAATTGTTACGGACTACGTTCCACAAGAACAAGACATTCTTCTTAATCGTGTATATATCTGCAAATCGTAAGTTACCTTCTCAAGGGGGTCGATTCTGACACTTTTCCACATTCCACCTTCCACTTTCACTTTCCACATTCACATCCCACAATCCACTAGCACTTTCAACTTCCCACTCTGACTTTCCACATTCCACTCACAAACCCACCTTCCACTCCCCACTCTCACTTTCCACATTTATTTTCTACCTTCCCACTCCTTACTTCCCACATTAACATCCCACCTTCCACTACCACTTTCAACTTCCCACCTTCCACTTAACACTCTCACTTCCCACATTCACTTCCCACCTTCCACTTTCTAATTACCACTTTAAACTTCCCACATTCCATTTTCCCTATCCACTCACAAACCCACCTTCCACTCCCCACTCTCACTTTCCACATTTATTTTCTACCTTCCCACTCCTTACTTCCCACATTAACATCCCACCTTCCACTACCACTTTCAACTTCCCATCTTCCACTCCCACTTTACACTCTCATATCCCACTTTCCATTTCCCACATTCACATCCCACCTTCCACTTTTAACTACCACTTTCAACTTCCCACCTTCCACTCCCACTTTACACTCTCAGTTCGGAACTTTCCACTTCCCACATTCACATCCCTCCTTCCACTTTTACTACCACTTTCAACTTCCCACTTTTCACTCACACTTTCCACATTTACTTCTCACCTTCCACTTACCATTCCCACTCTCACTTCCCACAATAACATACCACCACCTTCCACTATCACTTTCAACTTCTTACCTTCCACTTAACACTCTCACTTTTTACATTCACATCCCACCTTCAACTTTCTAATTACCACTTTCAACTTCCCACCTTCCATTTTCCCTATCCACTTACAATTCACTCTTCCCACCCTTACTTCCCAGTTTCACTTTCCACTTCCCTTCTGTCACTTTCCACTTACCATACCCACTTTCACTTTCCATTGTCCACATTCACATCCCACAATCCACTAACACTTTGAACTTCCCACCTTCCACTCCCACAGTACACTCTCATTTCCCACTTTCCACATTCACATCCCACTTTCCACTCACACTTTCCACATTTACCTCTCACCTTCCACTTACCATTACCACTTCCCACTTTTACTTTCCACATTAACATATTACCTTCCATTACCACTTTAAACTTCCCACCTTCCACTTAACACTCTCACATTCCACTTTCCACATTCACATCCTACCTTCCGCTTTTCACATCCCACTCTCACTTTTCACGCTCACTTCCCACATTTACTTCCCACTCTCACTTCCCACATTTACATCCCGCCTTCCTTTTTCTATTGCAACTTTCCACTCTTACTTCCCGCATTAACATCCCACTTTCCACTCTCACTTTCCACATTTACTTCCTACCTTTCACTTTCTACTCCCACTTTTCACTTTTACTTTCCATATTCACATCCCACCCTTCACTGTCTACTACCATCATCAACTTCCTCTCTCACTTCCTACCTTACACTTATCACTTTTCACTCGCACTTCCCACTTTCCCCGCATTAACATCCCATTTTCCACATTCACTTCCAGCCTTTCACTTTCTACTCCCACTTTCCACTCTCACTTTTCACTTTTACTTTCCACTTTCCACTTTCCACATCCCACCCTTCACTGTCAACTACCATCTTCAACTTCCTCTCTCACTTCCCACCTTACACTGGGGCGCATGATTATTCCCCAAATGTCATTTTTCCGAAATGTCATTTTACCGAACTGCACTTTTGCGAATAGTCAATTTTGCGAAATGTCACTTTTGCGAATTGTTATTTTTTCGAAAAGCTATTTTTGCGAATTGTCATTTTTGCGAATCGCAATTTTTACGAATTGTCAATTTTTTCGAAAAGTTATTTTTGCGAATCGCCATTTTTACGAATTGTCAATTTTCCGAAAAGTCATTTTTGCGAATTGTCATTTTTACGAAAAGACATTTTTGTCAAATGTCATTTTTGCGAAAAGAGATTTTTCTGAAATGTCATTTTTACGATTAGTCAATTTTTCGAAAAGTCATTTTTGCGAATTGACATTTTTGAGAAATGTCATTTTTGCGAATTATTACTTTTGCGATTTGTCAATTTTTCGAAAACTCATTTTTGCGAATTGTCATTTTTACGAAAAGACATTTTTGTGAAATGTCATTTTTGCGAAAAGCTATTTTTACGAATAGTCATTTTTACGAATTGCCATTTTTACGAATTGTCAATTTTCCGAAAAGTCATTTTTGCGAATAGTCATTTTTACGAATTGCCATTTTTGCGAATTGTCAATTTTCCGAAAAGTCATTTTTGCGAATAGCCATTTTTACGATTTGTCAAATTTCCGCGAAGTTAATTTTGCGAATTGTCATTTTTGCGAAAAATACAATAGAAACTTGTAGGTATCTATAAATTCACTATTGTATTTTTCGCAAAAATGACAATTCGCAAAAATGACTTTTCGGAAAATTGATAATTTGTAAAAATGGCGATTCGCAAAAATGACTTTTCGGAAAATTGACAATTCGTAAAAATATCGATTCGCAAAAATGACAATTCGCAAAAATAGCTTTTCGCAAAAATAACAATTCGTAAAAGTGACATTTCGCAAAATTGGCTTTTCGCAAAAATGACTATTCGCAAAAGTGCAGTTCGGTAAAATGACATTTGGGGAATAATCATGCGTCCCCCTTACACTTATCACTTTCCCCTCCAAATAGTAGAAATGTGAAGAGTAGAAATGGGAAGTAGAAGGAGGGAAGTGATAGTGTAAAGTGGGAGTAGAAATTGGAAGGTAGGAAGCAAGAGTGGAAGGTGGGATGTGAATGTGGGAAGTAGAAAGTGAATGTAGGCAGTGTAAAGTAGAAGGTGGTAAAGGAGAATGGAAAGTGAGAGTTTGAAGTAGAAAGTGGGAAGTGAATGTAGGAAATTATAATGGAATGTGTGAGTGGGAAGTGAGAGTGGAAAGTAGGAATTGAAAGTGAGTGTAAGAAGTGCAAATGGAAAGTGAGAGTGGAAGGTGTGAAATTAAAGTGGGAAGTGAGAGTGGTAGGTGGAAAGTTGAAGGTGAATGTGGGCAGACGAAAGTAAGAGTTAAAGAGGGAAGTGAATGTGGGAAATGAGAATGGAAAGTGAGAGTGGAAAGTTGGAAGTAAACTGAGATGTGAATGTGTGGCAGTGGGAAGGGAGATTGGTAATTGGAATGTGGGAATGGGAAGTGGAAGGAGGAAAGTGATAGTGTAAAGTGGGAGTGGAAATTGGAAGGTGGGAAGTGAGAGTGGGAATTGGTAAGGTAGGAAGTAAGAGTGGGAATGGAAGTGAAAGGAGGGAAGTTACAGTATAAAGTGGAAGTGGAAATTGGAAGGTGGGATGTGAAAGTAGGCAGTGGGAAGTAAGAGTGAAAGGTGGGATGTGAATGTGGAAATGGGAAGAGTAAGGAGGGAATTGATATTGTAAAGTGAGATGTAAATGTGTGACAGTGGTGAGATTGGTAATTGGAATGTGGGAATGGGAAGGTGGGAAGTGATAGTGGGAATTGGCAAGGTAGGAAGTAAGAGTGGGAATGAAAGTGGAAGGAGGGAAGTGATATTGTAAAGTGAGATGTAAATGTGTGGGAAGTGAGAGTGGTAATTGGAATGTGGGAATGGGAAGTGGAAGGGGGGAAGTGATAGTGTAAAGTGGAAGTGGAAATTGGAAGGTGGGAAGTGAATGTGGGCAGTGGAAAGTGAGAATGTAAAGTTGAAGGTGGGAAGTAAGAGTGTGAATGGAAGAGGAAAGAGGGAAGTTACAGTGTAAAGTGGGAGTGGAAATTGAAAGGTGGGATGTGAATGTGGAAATGGGAAGTGTAAGGAGGGAAGTGATATTGTAAATTGAGATTTGAATGTGTGGCAGTGGGAAGTGCGATTGGTAATTGGAATGTGGGAATGAAAAGTGGAAGGGGTAAGTGACAGTGTAATGTGGGAGTGGAAATTTGAAGGTGGGATGTGAATGTGGGAAGTGGAAAGTGAATGTGGGCAGTGGAAAGTGAGAATGTAAAGTTGAAGGTGGGAAGTGAATGTGGGAAATGAGAATGAAAAGTGGGAGAAGGAAGTGAAAGTGAGAGTGAGTAGTGGAAAGTGAAAGTGTGATTCATTCAGTCGATTATCTTTAATTCAAACATTAAAACTGATTTACTACTTATTTTCATATCAAGGGTTGAAGAGGAGCATAATAGAATACTAAATCATCCCAATGTGATAAAAAGAATAAAAAGCTACAAGAATTTAACCAAAGAATTGACGTCCTTGTCTGGAATAAACATAACAACACCTAGAGATATTTTCACACTTTACTGCGATCTTTTATCTTTAAAACACCTGGAACATGATTTACCCTCATGGATAGATAAATATTTACAAAACAAACAATTTTTAGAAGCAGGACTAAAAAGATTAGAATTTGTCAACTACAATAAAATTATACAACGGTTAAATTCAGGTAAATTTTAACTAATTCGCAATTAAACTAATTGAAATTAATTCTATAAAACTTTATCATCACAGGACCCTTAGTTCGAAAAATTATAGAAGACATGAAAGTTACAATCAGTGGTACAATGGAAAAGAGACAAAAAATATTTTTATACAGCAGTCACGATATAAATGTATACTCTTTGTTAGCTGCACTTAATGTTGTGGTACCGCATGTACCAGAATTCACTAGTGCTGTAATTATAGAACTTCTTCATATGGATAAGAAATACTTTGTCAAAGTAAGTATTCCAGTTTTGTTTTATAACCAAAGTGCAGAAGATTAAAAATTTACTTTTTCTTAACAGATTTTACACTATTTGGGAGAACCATCTGAAGTACAAGAATTGACTATTCCAAACTGTACATCACCTTGTTTGTTTGAAAAATTTTTAGAGTTGACGAAAAATATTATTCCATCTGACGAGGAAATTAATTGCATGTAGATTTATTAATTAGATATTAATTGTATGTATAAATAAAAATAACAATTGTCATTTTGTAATATAATTTTCTTTATTCTAAATATTACATGATTATAAATATTTTGAAACTGCTAATTACTAATTTGCTGGTTCACTGTAATAGTGTATAACAATATTCTAATATACTAATAATCTTTGAGTGGAAAAAAATCAAGTTGTCCTAAAAAAATCCATGTCCCATTAAAATTGACTACCACACAAATTACATATAATAATCTTCGTATTTTCATTCATTCATTCATTCATTCTGTCCGCAGTTTGAAGTTAGTTTTTGTGTATGCTTTTGTTTTTTCTTTTTAAAAACACTTTGCCTGAAAGATCGAAATTATACAGTTTTTCGATTTGTCAATCTCAATTTTTATTGTTTACGAAGAAAAAAGGTTAAAAGATAGTTATTTTTTTAAGGTAAGAAATTTTCGTAATGTTGATTTATCAATAATATTTTTGTTTATTTTTTAAAATTTTTAGTTTCTTTTGGAAAAAAATTTGTGTAATTTATGTTCTTTAATCACAATTTTTATTCTTTTTTAAATTAATGAAAAAAATTTGTAGGTAGAATTTGTGAATTTCATAATTACAATTTTTATTTTTCTATGTGTATAAAGATTATTTTATATTTTACATAGCTAAAAAGCGCGCGTGTAGTTTCTCTTTCTAATGTTAATAAATATTTAACAATCATGGCTATTAACAATTCACATTTTTTAGTAAAAAAAAGCAAAATTTAATTTCATTTGAAGAATTTCTTTAATAAGATTTAATTTTTGAAACTTCTAAAAATGAATTAATTTCAGTTTCTTTCAGAAATTAATGGAAAAACTTGAATAATTTCTTTCTCTTTATTTAAAATCGAAGAAAAAAATAATTAAATTTGGACTATTTATATTTATCATCATCAACTTTTTTTTAAAAACTTCTATTTTGTAATTAATTTTGCCAATCATATTGTTTTAACAATATTTGTATAGTATTTTTTTTGCATAATTTCTATGTATTTATCACAATTTTTTTAACAAAATCAAAATATTATTTTTTTAACAAAGCAAATTTTTTCATTCTTTTCTATTTTAAAAAATAAGTGTTGTTAAAAAATTCTGTCTGACAAAACGAATTTTTATATTTTCTTTTATTTATTTCTAAAAAAAGTCGAAAATAATTTAACAAAATTTTAAAGGTTATTAAAAAAAAATTTTTAAATTTGAGTAATTTCTTAATTTTTTAAACATAATTTTTAATAAAATTTTGATTTTTTTAGAAATAGATGAAAAAAATTATCATAATTTCTATAAAATGACCAAGAATTTTTTACAACGCCCCTAACAAAAACTACACTTTTAATTGTTATAAACAATATTAATTAACAAATAGTTAGCTTTGATTCCTCTCCACTAAAGAATTTTTTTCACATTTTTTTTAATTTAAATTTATTTGAAGATTATATTTGTCCTTTTTGTTTAAAAAATATTTTATTTAAATTGTTATAAACAATATTAATTAATATCAAATAGTGAATTTTGCATCCTCTTCACAAAAATTTTTTTTATGTTTACTTTTAAATTTATGTTCATTCAAAGAATATAAGAATATAAAAAATATAATTACTTTCCTTAAATAGGCTGTGAAATTTTTTAATATATTTGACAAAAATTCAAAAAAGTTATTTTTTAAACAAAAAGCATATAATTAAATTCTTTATAATTTAGGTTCCCTGACTACTAAAAACATCCCCATTAATTTTTAGCAAACCTGTTTTGAGTTAATAATTTTTTCTTAAATGATGCATAAATTTGTTATTATAAAAAATGTATAAAAAGTATAAAAGTATAAATGTTTTGTCACAATTAACTAATTTTTTCTGTAATTTCTTTTTTAAATTTAATGCATATCTCCCATTGTATTATATTAATTTTTATTTTCTAATCATTCTAAAAAATGTTTATTACATTTAAAAATAGAAAATAAAATAAAATAGAAAATCAGCAAACTTTTTTTTTTCTCTATTTTTAAAGAAAAATTTGAATATTTTCAAAAAATTGTTATTGAGAAAGAGAAATTAAACAATTTTCTTTTCTTTTAAAAAAAATAATATATAATAATATAATCTTGTAATAATAATAATTGACAAATCAAGATCACGCAACTTTTTTCCAATTTTAATACAAAAAAATTAAAGCTTTTAACCAAATTTTGTTTATAACAATTAATCAAAATTATAAATTTTTTTCATTTATTTCTGAAAGAATTTCAAAAAATATTTAACGGAATGTTAAATATTATTCAGAAAAAGGTAAACAAACTTGAATATGGTCAGTTGGGGTAAATATAGAAACAGATTTGTTAAGTTTCACCAATAACATAAGTTTTTTCTTTTAAATTGGAATACTTTCGGTTTTCTTGTGTATTGAGTTATTATTTCACTTCCGTGGAACAATTTTATGGCGAAGAAAAAAATATGGGTATCATCGCAATAATCAACTGTTTCTATTTACCTCTAAATTTTTCAACTTTGCAAAAATTTAGGGGTAAATAGAAACAGTCTCCTACTTTTTATTAAAGTTTGTAAAATGAAAAAATCAAAGTTGATTTTTGTTATAGTATTAATAAGAGATAATTGTAAATTTTAGTATGAATTTTTAGTTTATTTTTTTACAGTGTGCGTACTAAAATAAGTCTGATTTTATTTGTAAAGATTAGAAATACTACGATAATAATTGTTTTGATACAATTAACTATTTTTTTTTAATTTAATGATGAAAAAGAATGAAAATATAAATTGTAATTTTAATTCGTGACCAATTGTATTCCTTTAATAATGAAAATAGAATGTGCACGCGCGCTTTAAGCGCGCGTATCTAATGCTAGTTATTAATTAAACTTTAATTAAAATTTGAAATTATATTAAAATTTCTCGATTCACGCCTTTTATTCTCTGAAACTATCGCAAAGTATTTTAATACTTAATGTGATAATACAAATATTATTATATCAAATTTTCTTTTTGCAAAAATATAAATAATCATAAAAGCTGCAACAATTTTATTTTATCTATTTGACTATAAATTTTTTAAGACTGAATAACATTCAGGTGTTTAAAGGTGAAGTCTAATCTTTATTTTCCAACCTATAATTATTTTGTTAAACTTTAAAGAAAAACTTTTTAAATAAACATATTAGTTTAGAAAATATAATCCATACAATAAGAATAAAATAAACATATTGAAGCCATTAGGCCAGAAAAAAAATCGAACATTCTTTAATATTTATGATTTTTCCCCATTTTTTTATTTAAGAATTTAAAAAATAATTTCTACATTTTAGCATTTAAAATTATAAAAAGTTTTTGTAAAAATTTAAAAATGGCAAAATTTTTAAAAAACCAAATTATTTAGTTGAGAAAACAGAATTATTTGTTTAAATGTTATTTATTATAGTACAACAAAAATATTCAGTTGGCTCAACCAAATTGCTTCTTATAGTTAGTAAAAATGAAACTTTCTTTTTTTCAAAATATAAAAAATTTTATTTTTTCTTATATTATTTACTATTTCAGGCCTAACCATAAATTATTATTTAAAATTTTATTTTAATTAATTTTATAATCAATTCTTTCTAGAAAGTTCTATAAGAATTCATTTATTTAAATATCAATGTAAAAACCACTGCGCAAAGTTAAAAAAAAAACTCTAATTTTTGTATTCAATTTATGAAAACTTTGCTTCTTTGTAAAAATTTCATTTCATGAATTTTATAATATAATATTGCATTATTATTCGTATATTATTTGCAAATTTAAAACCAAGGAACTGCAAAGAAATTTTTTACCAAATTATTTCTTAAAATTGCTTTCTTATAAAGAATTATAGAAAAATTTTTTTCATTAATTAAATTTTTTCGAAGAATTGTAATAAAATTTTTAATAATAATTGCATTCTTCGAGAAATTCATTATGAACGGAACCCGCACCTGAATTCTCAACTATATAACATGAATATAATTAATAACACTGTAACTTTTGATAAAATTAAAATTTCATCAATTTTTATTAGAAAATTCTACGAGAATCCAATTATTTAAATACAAAAAGAAATAATTTATTGAATGTTTTTTAAAAATGAATTCTCATTTAAAGAATTTTATCAACAAATTTTTAAATTGGTGATTAAAATTCTTTTGACGAATTTCAATAAAATTTTTAAGAATATAATTTCATTTTTCAAGAAATTAGATTAAAATTGTATTAAAAATAATTAAATCTCTGTAAAAAATTTGATTAAATTGAGAAAAGTTTTTTAAAATAATTGAAATTTTGCCAAGAATTTTATTAAAAATTTTGAAAAAAATAGAATTGTTAAAAAGAATTTCATTAAAATTTTTGAAAATAATTTAATTCTTTTGAAAGAAATTTAATTATAAATATTTATAAATTAAATTCTTGCAACGAATTTATAAAAAAAATTTCTAAATAAATAAATTTTTTTGAAAAATATTAAGTTAATGTTAATTGTAATTATATTTCAAATTTTATTATTTATTTATGAAAGTAATTATAATTTTGGGAAGAATTTTATTCAAATTTTTTTTTTTAAATAATTGAATTCTTTTAGAATAAATCAAAATTTTTTTTGAAAAAAAATACTTTATTTGTGTTCTTTCTATCTATTTGCGTATTAAATAATAATTTTCTTTTTTAATCTACGTGTATGCTCGCGTTACACACCTGTAGTTTCTCCATTGGTTGACAATACATTTATTCGCTGATAAATCATATGTTTCTCCTCTTTGCACCTGTAGTTTTTCTATTGGTTAAACATCGTATAATAAAAAATATTTTTCTGTTTCTAATCTCAACTTGTTACATCTGTTGGTTTTCTATTCGTAAACAGTACATCTATTCACTGATGGAATAGAAAATAGAAATAATATTTTTTTTTCAATCTAAACCCGTTGCACATCTGTACATTTTCTATTGGATAACAGTACATAACATTTTAAGATATTTTAAATAATATTCAACATGAATGGTATATAAGTTGGATTTTTAAAAGTTATTTTAGTCTTCTATTACGTAGAAAGCATTAAGTTTGAAACAAAAAAGAAATAGTGCAGTTCGAGGGATTATTCCTGTGTTGTAATACGAATAAGTTTGACGCACCATAAGGCGGTAGATATATCATTTTAACGATCAAATTAATGTTATTTTATAAATTATATTAGTAATATTTACAGATTGTATTAGTATTTGCGGTCGATTATATTTAAATATCAATTGGGAAAAGTTACGATCTATTCTTTAGCAATCATGATAAGATTAGCAATAATCTGCTTCCTAATTTCGACGATCAGAAGCAACGAATGTAACTTAAATATTGATGACGTAAATCAATTAAAACATCTTTTCGATGATTCGGAACGTCTTATGGAAGACGCAACTCGAGGTCAAAGTGAAAATGCGGTAATTGTCCTGGGCAATGTAAGAAGCGGAAAAAGTACCCTAATTAATTACTTAATGGGAAATGAATTGCAAGCTTATCGAGAGTCTGGTAGGTTTCCTGAAATAAAAATAAAAAAATCTAACGAGAATGTCACAGGACCAGAAATTGGTGCTGGATCATTGTTGGTGACTACAATTCCCAGCAAATGGAACTCAAGAAAAACAGAATTACAGAATTTTGACATTTGGGATACCGCTGGATTTGAGAACAGTCGAGATGAAATGCAAGATTTAAATAAAGCCTTTCATCTTTATCATTTGACAAAAAAAGTCGAATCTCTAAAATTTATTTTAGTCATCGACTTTAATGACATCAGGGGTGACAATAATCAACAGATTTTAACACTTTTAAGCATATTAGAAAAATATTTTAATGGCATGTTTAAACATATTTTTCCAAGTATATCAGTAATTATCTCAAAAGCACCTAAAGAAATTATAAATGCTTTTCCAATCGATGATGAATTTCTCAATTATAAATTAAGTACAAATTTATTATCAAGTTCAGAATTGGATATACCCGAAGTTTTAATTGACTTTATACATCATGTAATAAATAATAATCAACGTGTAGCCTTTTTCAGGAAAGCGAAAACATTAGGGAGACTTACATCTTATATCGATGATAATATTATTCCAGCTATTAATAACTGCAAGAGCATAAGCAAGGAATCTCACCAAAATATAAGTTTTCCAATTTCAAAAAGATTAGAACTTTGCCTGCAAGTCACTAATGATAATTTACTGAACATGAATGATTTTACAGCTTTAACTTCAGTAGTCAATGAAAGGTACATTAAAAACTACAATTATTTGAATAACACGTTAGACAGAGGAGTATTATTGCAAAATGAAACCAATTTTCAAGAAATCTACAATCATCTTAATATTTCTTCATTTGTTAATTCTAATGCAATGTCGAAAATTGAAATTCTGGAAAACAGTCATAATACTTTTAAAAACATAATTAAGGAGATAAATTTCGTGAATAGAATCAGCCTAACTGAATTTATTGATAGTATCATTAAGACAAAAAAAATAGTAAGAATAAATATTTTATTGGAGACTATTCTTCAATTACTACATGACAGAACATCAATATTAATTTCATTATGTCAACTTAAGCTAAACAAAATTGATACAAATCAATTTCACAATATAATGATGGAAATGAAAACATCGCAAAAAGAAACAATTGACAAATTGAGTAAAAAAATAGAAAGGGAAAAAATTCCTAAACATGAAGAAAGCTTTTGGCTAAAAGTCGTATGGGCTTTTACAGATGCTGCGTTTCTTCAATAACCTAACTTGTGTAATTATGAGATAAACGAAATAATTGTAAACTAAAAGAGGTGGTGTCGTTTACTGTATCTAAAAAGCATTTAAATAAACAAGCATTTAAACAAACAAACAATCATTTCAATAAAATATCCATCACATAATTTAAAAAACCCTTTTTGATTTTTCAAATTTATAAAAAAATTCTATAAAAATTTTTCAATTTTATTAATTAAACTTAAATTTTTTGCAGTATTCTTTCATTTAAAAATTAATTTTCAAAGCCTTTCATTACACTTGGGGATTCAGTCTTAAGTCTTAGATGCGAGTTTTTAGCTTCAAACAAGTCTTGAGCTTCAAAAAAATTTATGATGTTAGAATTTTAAAACAGGCGCTAAGTACATTAATCTTAATTTCAGAATAAAATTAATATATTAAAATACTTTTTTACAATTTGAAAGCTGCAAAATAATTATTTTTTAGCATATTAAGTCTTCGTCAGTTGGAACAGCATCCTTAGTTAAATTAATGAACTCATGTAATGGACACAATTCGTCGCAGTTATCCAGTTTAAGTATCTCAAAGTTTGTTGAATCATCAGGGTAATATAAAATCTACAGGAAAGAATATTTTTTAATTAATTTAAAATATGTCGTTGTTCCGAAAAGTAAAAATTTGATTTTACATCTATTAGTAAATTCAATGTACTATTACTATATTTATTAAGAAGAAAATTTTCTTACCCTTACGAAGTATTCTCTGTTCTGAAGATATAATTCAACTACAACAGTAGCGCAAAAATAAGGCAGTTTAGTTAATTTTATTTTGAGAGAATGAAGAAAACCAGCAACGTTAATATCATGACCACTGTACAAGTACATCTTCTCTTTTCCTTTGCCTTCTACAAAATCCATCATACTCTGTGTAATGTTTCTTAAAAATTGTCCTAAAATAAAAATTTCAACCCATTATTTGTTTTAGTCTAATAGTATATGATTTGTAATCTTGCCAAACTACCATATTTAAAATAATTGGCAAGATTATCAGTCGTTAGTAAAAGAAATAAGTAGAAATAAATGGAAAAGAATTGTTATAGAAACTTAAAATATCTCTCACCCCCATTTAATTTTGATAGAACTGGAGTAAAACTTAAAGATTTTAATGTTAGGAATGAAGCATCTTTCATGCCACCATTTGGAAATGTATCTTTAAAACATTTTGGTATATCCAATCCTAATGCTGCCTGCGCTTGTAAATGTCCGTACAGAGAATAAATGTGAAATAAATTAGTAGAAACATCTCTGCCTGCACATTTAGAAACATTTTTAAATAATTCTTGAAATTGAAGTACTTGTTGTTTTAATTCGTTTGATTGCAGTACACTGGCATAAGTATTTTTATACCTAAAATTTATTACCATAAGATGATAAGGTAAATTAAATTATTAATGGAAGATCACTGCGACATAAATAAATTAAGATAATGGACAGAAATTTCTTACTTTTCGCATTTAAAGTAATCCGTATATAAGTAGTCACTGGGATGTATATCATTTTTGATAGGAAATTGTTCAACTGAACTAAGTGAATACATTCCGGCAATGACATATTCCAATGTTAAATTTGTCCTAGTTTTATTTGTACTTCGAGCAACAAAATCAGACGGATTGTATGTTGCACTTAAGAGGTCAGTATAATTACGACGAAGCATTTGACCTCGTTTCAAAGCTGCATCTTTACCTTGCTGCAAAATTAATTATATTATAACTATTTCATCCATTAGACATTATGGATATGATGTGGTAGAATTATGATTCAATTTAGACATTTTATCCCCAGATCTAACAGTTTATTACGGTCCTTGTGCACGACTAAAAGTCATTTAACAGAAAAATATTTAACATCCCGGTAAGAAGATTAAAACAGATTAAATTGTTTACACAAAATTTCAAAAATGACATTGGTTTGCCATTAAAAGCATAGTGAATTTTAACCATATATGCAGTCATTTTAATGCATTTTATTACCTTTTCATTAAAAAGAATTAAAGTGTCAGCAATATTTAAGTCATAAATGGAATTCTAATGATTACAAATTTCATGGTATTAAACAGAATAAAATTGTTTTCAATTCTAATTACCCAATAAGAAGTAAAATGCATACCGAATTAAATAGAATATAAATGTGTGCAGTATTATCTTTTATAAAGGAATTAAAACATGGAACTTCAAAATGACATAAGTTTGGCATTAAAATGATTCAAAATTTAGAAATATTTGTATGCATTTTAATCGATTTAATCAACCTCTTCTTACTGGGATAATTGTCCTGCAACAGAATTAACATTTAACATACCTAATTATATTAGCGCGGATTTTTGAATTGACAATTATGTTAACTGTCAATTATATTGAACTACAATTATGTTAAATGTCAGTTCTGTTGCATGACAATTGTGTTAAATGTCAATTATGTGGCATGACAATTATGTTGAACGTCAATTCTGTTGAAAGTCAATTATCTTAAAAGTCAATTTTGTTGCAAGACAATTACGTTAAATGTCAATTATCTGGAATGAAATTATGTTAAATGTCAATTTTCTGTTGCATTCAAATTAGGTTAAATGTCAATCATGTGTCACGACAATTGTGTTAAATGTCAATCTTGTTACAAGACAATTACGTTAAATGTCAATTATCTGGAATGAAATTATGTTAAATGTCTGTTGCAAGTCAATTATCTTAAATGTCAAATTTGATTGCAATACAATTACGTTAAATGTCAATTTTGTTGCATGAAAATTACGTTAAAAATGCCAATTCTGTTGCATGATAATTATGTTAAATGTCAGTCATGTGTCATGACAATTGTGTTAAATGTTAATTCTGTTTCATGACAATTGTGTTGAATATAAGAAACCTGTGGTCTTATCGATTTAGAAATTTTATAAAATAAAATATTATCGACATTGCTTTATAGTAATTTTTTCCAAAATTTAAAAGAAGCATTTTTTTATTTGAATAAATTATTAACAATAAACTCACCGGAGTCAAATTTCCATAACCTATCGGTTGATAAGTATTATTTTTATGAGGATCATTCGGATAAACTGCTCTCACATCAGGTGTTCGATGTCCATGTCTAAAAACCTAATTTGCATCAACAATAAATAAATATAAATTATTTTCAGAGTGAATTTGCTTATTATAAATATTATTATCAAACCACATTTTGAGTGTTATGGAAATATTTTTAAAAACTTATTTAATTATTTAATAATTTTTTTTTTACTTACAACGCTAACCATTACGGGTTTCAATGTATCGGAATTTATACCAATAATCAGAAAGCTACATATTAATAAAAATATATTCATTTTAAATTCAAATTTTGAAAACAAATTTTTAAAAATTTTTGATATCTTCAGCGTTATTATGAAAGACTAAATTTAAAAACTTATAACTTCAGGTTAGAATATAATTTTTTCACAGTATAACTAAAAATATTCTGATAACGTAAGTCGTGCAATATTGTGATTAAATATTTTTTTAAGGTATATGACTGAAAAAAATATTTATCTAAACGTTAAATAAAATAGAGAATTGTAAATAAGAAACATATCTTCGTGGTTTCTATGGTGTTAACAATTTTAGAAGCATATTACTGAAGACAGGCTTGCCACTGAATATAAACTTGACATGTTCTTTAGGAGTTGAAAACTTTCTCTTAACCTTGCTATGTCGACAATGTTCATTATATGATTATATTTTGCATTATATTTGTTTCTAAGGATAACTTTATTCTAAACAAATAAAATTATCTTGATTAGAATTAAGTACTTGTAACACAAACACACAATAAGACTGTTAAAAATACGATGATACACTGACGTTATTTTTGCAATTCAAATTAAATTCTTTCGCAATTCGCAACTAAATTATATTTATAAATAATTTTCTATCACTTAATGCCAATTTATTTCTCTCGAATTTCATTCTTGTATCGATACATTTTTTTATCACAATTCAGAAAATTGTTAATTTTTTTTTATAGTGTAGGAAATGATAAATCTGGTTGATCTGATACCTCTGGATATCAATCTAAGATTATGTGGTATATGTTTATCTGTTTCGGTCAACCCACTGAAAATCACTTTCGTCTTTGGTTAGACTCTTTCTTTTCTACTGAATTATTCGGTTAGTAGACGCTTCACACCGCTAATTAATTAAATTAATTAAATAAATAATATATCCTGACCTGACCGGCGAGCAAATTCTTTGGTATTAAAAATTCAGATCCTTGCAGTACAATCCTTTCTTTTATTTTCTTTACATATTATATAAAATAATTATTCCAATTATTATTACATTGCAAAGTCAATATATTAAAATATTTTCAACAATTTTAAAGATTGCAAAATAATTATTTTTTAGCATATTAAGTCTTCGTCAGATGGAACCGCATCTTTAGTTAAATTAATGAACTCATGTAATAAACACAATTCGTTGCAGTTCTCCAGTTTAAGTATCTCAAAGTTTGTTGAATCATCAGGGTAATATAAAATCTATAAGAAAGAATATTTTTTAATTTTTTTAAAATGTTTTGTTGTTTCAAAAACTAAAAAGTTGATTTTACGTCTATTAGTAAATTTAATTTATTTATTAAGAACAAAATTTTCTTACCCTTACGAAATATTCTCTGTTCTGAAGATGTAATTCAACCACAACAGCAGCGCAAAAATAGGGCAGTTTAGTCAATTTTATTTTAAGAGAATGAAAAAAACCAGCAACGTTAATATCATGACCACTGTACAAGTACATCTTCTCTCTTCCTTTGCCTTCTACAAAATCCATCATACTCTGTGTAATGTTTCTTAAAAATTGTCCTAAAATAAAAATTTCATCCCATTATTTGCTTTAGTCTAATAGTATGATTTGTAATCATACCAAACTACCTAGGGGGGTATTTAAAATAATTGTCAAAATTATTAGTCGTTAGTAAAAGAAAGTAGAAATAAATGGAAAAGAATTTTCATAGGAAACTTAAAATATCTCTTACCCCCATTGAATTTTGATAGAACTGAAGTAAAACTCAAAGATTTTAATGTTAGGAATGAAGCGTCTTTCATGCCACCATTTGGAAATGTATCTTTAAAACATTCTGGTATCTTCAAACCTAATGCAATCTGTGCCTGTAAGTGGGCATACAGCTCATAAAGGTAAAATAAATTAGTAGAAACATCTTTTCCTGCACATTCAGAAACATTTTTAAGTAAATCTTGAAATTGAAGTACTTGTTGTCTTATTTCGTTTGATTGTAATACACTGGCATAAGCATTTTTAAACCTAAAAATAATTTTATATCATGATCATAAATTGTGCGGTTCATTATTCGTTTTTCATTTATTCATACTGTATAGTAAATTATAATAATAAGATAAATTGAAGGAAATTTCTTACTTTTCGCATTTGAAGAAATAAGCAGAGTATAAGTTGTCACTGGGATGTATATCATTTTTGATAGGAAATTGTTCAACTGAACTAAGTGAATACATTCCAGCAATAACATACTCCAATGTCATATTTGTCCTAGGTTTATTTGTACTTCGAGCAACAAAATCAGATGGATTGTATGTTGCACTTAAGAGGTCAGTATAATTACGACGAAGCATTTGACCTCGTTTCAAAGCTGCATCTTTACCTTGCTGCAAAATTAATTATAATGTAACTGTTACATCCGATAGACATTACGGATGATGTGTTATTAAAAACCGGGTTGCAACCACAGACGCGAAAATCGTAGCCTAAGTACAAATTTTGTCTAATTGCATTAATTCTCTCAACTTATATCAGGTTAACTCATCCCCGAACAAATTCTTACATCAATTCTTTATAGTTTGAGCTTCCATTTATTTTTGTAAAATCCGTTGCGCATATAAATTTTGTATACTTTAATTATCGTTAGTTATTTTCTAATTATGTTAATAATATTGTATCAAATTTTAGTTATACCCATATATGGTCCACTAGAGACTGCGGAAACAGATTTTATAAATAAATAAATTACATTATCGAAATTTTTTGTCTTCCGTCAAAGTCGATGCGATTTTCCCATTGAAGCTCAATGCAAAAATTCAAACGACTTTGACATCCCCTTAAGGAGAAGTGGTATACATAATCGAGCCAAAAGTTTGTGACATTTAGGGGAATTTGTAATTTTTTTTATTCAAGCTACATATAGCAGTTTTTTTTTCGTTACTGTCTGTACGAATTTAAAACCTAAGAAAATAAAAGTTACTGAAATTCTCTAAAAATTATTTTCGGATTTATCGAGTATTCCATTGCAAACTTTGAAAAAATGCTATTATTACGTATATATGTGTCTTATTATGCTGTAATATTAATGTTATTGATTATAAACATTGTCAAATAACAATAATTTGTAATGAGCGTTTAATCTTGACAACCTCGCAATGCAAGTAGTTTGTTTTTTTGTCGTTTGTAACAGTGTCAAGTGTCGTGGATTCTTATGATTTGCATTTGTGTGGTCAAAAATAATGAAAATTTGTCATTTTTGGTACCTTTCCGGAAATTTATTTTTGTTGTACGGAAATCTTGCGGAAACTTTCTGGAAATTTATTTTTTTTGTACGGAAATCTTCCGGAAATATATTTTTTTTACGGAAATCATCCGGAAACTTTCCGGAAATTGATTTTCTTTTACGGAAATCATATTTATTTGAACATAAACGGGTTTCAAATAAACCCTTTCGTACAAAAGTACTTAACTGTATTCATACAGAAAAAGGAAAAAAGAACCTTAATAAGTATATTAAGGTAAGTTATAAAAACGCTAGGCTAGACCATAGTATTATAATGGTAATGGTAGATGATTTCCGGATGATTTCCGTAAAAAAAATCAATTTTCGGAAAGTTTCCTGAACATGTCTAGATGAGTTAGTAAGCGATTCAGTTGAGTGCGACAATTGTTGTACCATTATTATTAATACTATGGTCTAGCCTAGCGTTTTTATAACTTACCTTAATATACTTATTAAGGTTCTTTTTTCCTTTTTGCTGTATGAATACAGTTAAGTACTTTTGTACGAAAGGGTTTATTTGAAACCCGTTTATGTTCAAATAAATAAAAAAATAAATGATTTCCGTAAAAGAAAATCAATTTCCGGAAAATTTCCGGAAACCCTTCCACATGGTAGGTAATGTTAATTAACAATGTTAAAATGTTAAAATGTTAATTAATGTTAAATTAATTAATGTTAATTAATTAATGTTAATTAAAATTATTTAATTTAAATTAAATAATTTTTAACTTGTAAACTATTTAGTGAAAAATTCTGAAATTTGGTGGGTAATTTTATTATATAAAAGCAAATCATTTCCCAAAATATCAAAAGATTCAGAATGTTTTGATTTTCTATACCATTCCTCCTTAAAATATTGTAGTTTCGACAGAATAATTTAATTTTTCATAATAAAATAGAAATTTAAATACATTTTTTTATACGCACGTGTGTTCTTAAAATTATATATAAATATTTTGAAAAAAATAAAGTTTTTTATTTGTATCTTCACATAAAATAAATTATTTTTCAAAATATTAGAATTTACAAATCTCTAATCTAATATTGAAAAATATTAAAGTTTAACTACATTTTGCGATAAAACAATTTTTTTTATATATGAAACTCGTTCTTCTTCTTATCGTTTTAGATATTTTACGAAAGAAAATATTTATTTTTTTATTTTCTGAAAATAAAGTATATCAAACAAATTTAGAAAAAATGAAAATTTTTAAATATTCCTGTGTGGAAAAGTGGTGTTGACCCACGCCGGGGGCCCGCATGGATCGTCCACATCCATGAGGGGCCCACGTGGGTGATCCAGGCGAGGCCCCTCATGACATGCCGATCGATGAGGGCGCCCGCAAGGGCGATCCACGCGGGCGCCCTCGCGTTTGCCCTCGACTTACCCTCACCTTTATTTTTCAAAATTAAGTTAATAAATTCATTATTTATTAATAATAAACAAGTTCAATTATTAATAAATAACATTGTTACTTAACGATTTTTACTTTTTTTAATTAAATCGTGACCAAAAAAAAAATCTGAAGCACGCGGGTATAGAACCCACGACCTATGGACTACCAGACAAACGCTTCACCACTGTGCTAAGGGACCTACTTAAAAATTATTGCTTTATTGTAGGTGACTTGCTGACTTGCTTTTGATGATTCAATAAAACATTGTTGTCACTAATATACCATAACAAGAAAGGTGTTTTTCATTGTTTAAAATCATTATAATCATTAATTTTTGTTATGCAAAAAAATAATTTTTGTTAGGACTTAGAAATTTTTGCTAGTCAATTATGTGGGCGATCCATGCGGGCCCTCGGCGTGGCCCTCATGGATCAGCCCTCGTCGGCCCCCGCCGGGGGCCCTCATGTTCATGGGGGCTTTTTCCACACGGTTTTTTCTAAATTTTATGGATATCGCTGTTTGGCAAACTTTTTCTTGTCTGCGTAAGAATAATATTATTTTCCGCAGAATTTAAAAAATGCATTTTTTTATTTCAATAAATTATTAACAAATAAACTTACCGGAGTCAAATTTCCGTAACCTATCGGTTGATAAGTATTATTCTTATGGGGATCATTCGGATAAACTGCTTTCAAATCAGGTGTTCGATGACCATGTCTAAAAACCTAATTTTTTCAAGTACTATAGTAAACATTTTATGTTTATATTAAAAATATTTTTTTATTATAAATATTTTGAAATAATATTTTTAGTGTTGTATATAAATATTTTCAAATACTTAATTATATAATAATTTCTTCATACTTACAACGCTAACCATTACAGGTTTCAATGCATCAGACATTATGCCAATAATCAGAAAATTGGACATTAACAAAAACACATCGACAATACCTCGATTCATCTTGAATTCAAATTTTGATAATCAATTTAAGATAGGTACTTATAGTTTTTTTCAATTTAAAACTTTCAGTATTTTTTTATAAAACAGCAAGTTTAAAAATTCGTAACTGTTCATCTTTTAACTTAAAATCAAGCTATTTATATACATAACATCGTGCAGGTGACATTAAATATTTTTACGATGTAGGTGAGTTGGAAAAATGTTTAATCAAGCATGGAAAAATCTAGAGAACTGTAAATACTAATTTCTATAAATATATTTTAATTCTCAAAAAAAATTTTTAATTCGATCCTATATTTACTGCCTGTAGGTATACCAAAGATTATTTAAGGGCAATTAATTTTCTAGATAATAATGAACTCCAGGTTATTAAAACAAAAATAAACGTACGGCGCCGTATTTAGTCCCGTGTAGAAATTGCCATGATATCGCCTACACAATGATCAAAAAATCTGGCCCCGATTTGGGCCAAGGTTAAATTTCTACACGGGGTTAAGCTACAACAACCATTTTTAATTGTTTTATAAATATAAATATCTAAAAAGTTTATATATTTACGTACTATTAAAATAAAAAATCTGTCCGCGCAAGCGCGGACACATTCTCATCCGCGCTTCGCGCGGAGGCTCGCTTCGCTCGCAAGCTTCAGCGCGCCTCGGGGCGCGCGAATATTGATCGTCGCGCTTCGCGCTCCGTGTGATGTTGCGCGCTTCGCGCGCAAATGGCTCGCTTCGCTCGCGATGGTCTGCAACTGTTGTGCATTATTTGTGTTCTTGTTATTATTTCCTGTTATATGTTTAATAAAACATTTTTTTCTTAAAGTTACTACGACTTTAAGGATTACATTCTCATCACATGTTCTTCTTTGCTGATGATTGCGAGATTAAGTGGATTAAAATGTATATTTTTGGTAGAGATGTGCAAAAAGCTCGAAATGTCGATCCGAGCCAAGCCGAAATTTTCTCGAGCCGAGCCAAGCCGGCTCGATGTATCAAGTACTCGACATTTTTGAGTACTTGAGGGACTTCAAGTACTCGAACAATTCGAGTACTCATGTAAATTCGAGGACTTGATTAAATTTGAGCACTAGAGTGAATTCAAGTACTCGAAACTATTCGAGCTTTTTACACAGCTCGGCTCAGCTCGAACTGATTAGGCCCGGCTCGGCTCAAAAAATGAAATTCTCGATCAAGCTTCGAGCTTCAAGCTTTTTGCACAACTCTAATTTTTGGTCTCGATGATTAAAATTGTGAAGTTATTTTTAATTATACTAACTCTCTTAGCAGAAACATGATTTGCAGAAGCAGCTAAAATATTTTTAAACTATTATTATCAAGTTGTTGATAACAACGGATTTTTATAAAAGTTATAACATTTCACAAAATTAATAACAAATTTTTAAACACAGTTAAGGGAGCGTTCACAAATGAAGTCACGCAATTTTTCGGGATTTTAGACCCCTCCTTCCCTGTCACGCAATTTCATGCAATTTCACATGCAAAAATACAGTAGAGTATATAGTAAAGACCCCCATGCCCCCAAAAACGTAACATCATTTGTGAACGCTCCCTAAGCTGACTGACCCAAAAACTTAAAAAAAAAAAATTGTTTCTGACGAAAATGTCTGGTTAACGAACTTAGCCTTCATTTTTGCACCAACTTTAAGTGTGTTAAATTTAAAAACGATCGGATAAGTTTTTCAAGAGTTATCGTGGGAACAACATATTACCGTCTACAGACGGACAGACAGACGAACAGACAGACACCATCGCCGGACCATGTTTTTTGGGTTCAGGGGACCCCAAAACGTCGAGATTTCATGAAATTAGCGAAAGTCAATTTTCGACCAAAACTAATACCTTCTCATGTGATGAGAATGTAAAAAAATTTTGAGTGAAAATTTCACGGAGAATGCCCCATACATATCCATTAGTCATAAAAGCAATTATTATTTTCGTATGAAATAAAGTTTAAAATTAACACTTTTTAAGCAGATATATTTGTGTCCTATTGTGCATTGGACTTTATTGACATTTTTAATTGTATAACTAAGAATATTTACACTTCCTACAGCTTTTCCCTGACTTCTCTAGATTTTTCAAATTCCCTGTCTATTCCCGGTTTTCCAGGTCGCTCGCCACCCTGATTTTTTTATCAATTAAAACGTTTTTGCGTTGAAAAGTTTTTATTTTTTTAATTTTTCGTTTTTTTAAACGTTGCGGACTTCAGCCTCATCATTTTCAGTCAAAAACCGTACAAAATTAACTATTTCAACGCATTTATCCAAAACCATGCTCTGACATTTATGATGTCTTAAATTAAAGTTGAAACTTGAGGGATGACATCTATATAAGTTTTAAATTTTGCCTAAAAATTTTAAAAAATATAATGGGGTTTAAAAAATTGCAAAAATTATTTTAATTAAGGGGACATTCCAGTTCAAAATGTCAAAAAAATCGATTTTTTTATTTTCGGATTTCTTATAGTGTCAAGAATATACTCTCCTAAAATTTTATTGCACAATTCGAAGTAAAACCAAAATTATACATAATTATTCTTCGCCACGCACGTCAAAGATGTTTTTATACACGGATAAGCAGAACCCAATCGAATGATTTAAATGTTTTCTTATTTGCATTATGTATAAAAGACAAACAAAAATGTATTTAGTCAAGTGGATTTGATTCAAAATCGTTATTTGGGAGTTTTCAGGGTAGCTGATTACAAGTTTGATATTAGATTTTCGAAATTCAAAATGGCGGATCCAATATGTCGGACAATTTAAAAAAAAACAGTTAAAACTGTTCTTTTTTTCTATTGTAAACTACAGATTTTTATAAAAGTTTTAAGAAATTAGAAAATCAATGAAATTTTTTTAACACAGTAAAGCTAGACGGGCCCAAAAACTTAAAAAAAAAAAAAAAAAAAAAGTTTTTATGAAAAAATGTTATAGAGAAAAGTTGTTTGTATTTTTCTAATCTAAAATAAAATAAAGTTAAAAATTCTGAAATTTGAAAAAATTGATTTTTTAAAATTTTGAAACTACCGTATTTTTTGTAGTTTTTAACGAAAATGTCTGGTTAACGAACTTAGCCTTCATTTTTACACCAAGTTTAAGTGTGTTAAATTTAAAAACGATCCGATAAGTTTTTCAAAAGTTATCGTGGGAACAACATATTACCGTCTACAGACGGACAGACAGACAGCGGACAGACAGACAGACGCACTCGCCGGACCATGTTTTTCGGACTCAGGGCACCTCAAAACGTAAAGATTTCATAAAATTAGCAAAAGTCAAAATTCGACCAAAACTAATACCTTCTCATGTGATGAGAATGTAAAAAATTTAGTTTTTTGACAGTTTTTAAAAAATAACTCGAACAGTTTTGCGTTGGGCAAAAAGTTGTCAACAGCAAAGTTGTAGCTGATGCAAAGCCGAGAAAAAAAGTCTCTGGTAGCAAAATCGCATATGCAAGAACGTCGGAGATAATGAAGTCGGAATATTGATTTTTTATCAAAAAAGTGCACAAAAAATATATATAGAGAGTGATTTTTCTAGAAATTACGAGTTTTTTGTGTTCAAGTATGTTTTTCAAGTATTTTAGGGTGAGAATATGTCAAAATCAATTGACTGATTTTTATTCCTTTAAAAAAATTCGATTTTTAGTGTTATTTTAGGATTTTTTAAGTTTTTTTGACCATTTAAGAGACTATAACTTCGAAAATTGAGTTTTTATGAAAAAATGTTATAGAGAAAAGTTGTTTGTATTTTTCTAATCTAAAATAAAATAAAGTTAAAAATTCTGAAATTTGAAAAAATTGATTTTTTAAAATTTTGAAACTACCGTATTTTTTGTAGTTTTTAACGAAAATGTCTGGTTAACGAACTTAGCCTTCATTTTTACACCAAGTTTAAGTGTGTTGAATTTAAAAACGATCCGATAAGTTTTTCAAAAGTTATCGTGGGAACAACATATTACCGTCTACAGACGGACAGACAGACAGCAGACAGACAGACGCACTCGCCGGACCATGTTTTTCGGACTCAGGGCACCTCAAAACGTAAAGATTTCATAAAATTAGCAAAAGTCAAAATTCGACCAAAACTAATACCTTCTCATGTGATGAGAATGTAAAAAATTTAGTTTTTTGACAGTTTTTAAAAAATAACTCGAAAAGTTTTGCGTTGGGCAAAAAGTTGTCAACAGCAAAGTTGTAGCTGATGCAAAGCCGAGAAAAAAAGTCTCTGGTAGCAAAATCGCATATGCAAGAACGTCGGAGATAATGAAGTCGGAATATTGATTTTTTATCAAAAAAGTGCACAAAAAATATATATAGAGAGTGATTTTTCTAGAAATTACGAGTTTTTTGTGTTCAAGTATGTTTTTCAAGTATTTTAGGGTGAGAATATGTCAAAATCAATTGACTGATTTTTATTCCTTTAAAAAAATTCGATTTTTAGTGTTATTTTAGGATTTTTTAAGTTTTTTTGACCATTTAAGAGACTATAACTTCGAAAATTGAGTTTTTATGAAAAAATGTTATAGAGAAAAGTTGTTTGTATTTTTCTAATCTAAAATAAAATAAAGTTAAAAATTCTGAAATTTGAAAAAATTGATTTTTTAAAATTTTGAAACTACCGTATTTTTTGTAGTTTTTAACGAAAATGTCTGGTTAACGAACTTAGCCTTCATTTTTACACCAAGTTTAAGTGTGTTGAATTTAAAAACGATCCGATAAGTTTTTCAAAAGTTATCGTGGGAACAACATATTACCGTCTACAGACGGACAGACAGACAGCGGACAGACAGACAGACAGACAGACAGACAGACACACAGACAGACGCACTCGCCGGACCATGTTTTTCGGACTCAGGGCACCTCAAAACGTAAAGATTTCATAAAATTAGCAAAAGTCAAAATTCGACCAAAACTAATACCTTCTCATGTGATGAGAATGTAAAAAACAGCAATTCTAAAAATATTTCCTTATATGAAAAAATTTTTTTTCAACTTCATGCATTTTTCACCATTAAGGTAACCTCCACTTGAATTGAGAGTACATAAAGAGAGGTTACATTGACATTACAAAATATTTAAACAAGTTGTTCATTTTATGACCATTTAGATTGCAAAAACTTTTTGATTCTATTTGTTTATTTTCATTACGATAGTAAATGACAAAAGAATGTAATGTTGCTTGGTCGTTAACCCAATGATGTGACTGAATTTCGTCTTGGACAATAAACGAATAATTTTGTGCAAAATCTAATTATGCAATAATTTATTTTTCGGGAAGATTTTCTTTTAAACTGTTCAAGGAATTTCGCTTGATTCGTAGACACGTAATGATGTTCTTTCAATGAATTTAACTGTTGTATGAATGACTCTAAATATTCCTCTCGAGATTGAACGATTGTAACTAAATTTGCTCGAACAATATTTACCCATTGTTTACATTTTAAAGTTCCATCTTCGTCTATATTTCTTATAACAATATTATTTACTTCATTGAATCCAGGACATTCATTGCATTTACAAAGCATACATTTTTCTTCTTTAGTGTCACAGACGTTCAGTTCTAAGAGATCTGTAAAGTCGTCAGGCTTTAACATAATGATCATTAGTTTTGTATTCTCGTGTTGCAAACATACACAAAATGAATGAGTGCTCTTGGGACCTACTAGAATGCATCATCTCGGCCTTAATTCCAGATATTTATTAATAAAAAAATTCATTTAATACAAACTAATTTTACACCAATTTTGAACTAAAGTTTGAATTTATATATCAAAAACTGATTTCAACAAAAGAAGAAAAGTAATCCCCAAAATTTGAATTGTACACAATTTACTTTTTTAAACAAGTAAAAATTTTCGCTTGATGACACAAAAATACAATTTAATGAATTGATGCTAAAAAAAATTTGTCAAGGCAATAAATAGTTGAATATTGAATTTCATTATGTTCCCATTAAAATACCAGTGGAAGTTGGCGTTTTAGAAGATGGAGCACTCGCCTGACGTACACTCATCTCCCAAGTGTCTAATAATTGAGAAACAGAAAATTGTTTCGGTAATTTTGAAATTCGTGCAGTCAGTGCATCTTTCACGCCACTGAGAAATGCCGTTGTATATTCATGCGGTGCCATAACACAACGCGGTGGTGTCAATGGATAATCAGCGGGAACTGTCACTGAAACTGGAGGCACACAAGGAAGATGACGATCGTCCAACCAGCATATCAATTGAATACACAACGATCCATTCTGTTGTGCAGGATCTAAACTAACTTTAAATCTCTGATCAAGTCTCGCTATTTCTCCCTGTAGAATGTCAGGAATTTCACTTGTTGATTCCTCAACTTTTTGCCTCTTTAAAGGCGGTGGTAAATTTCTGCATTAAAAAAACAGACAAATATATAACATATTTTTTTAAATAACAAATTTTTTTTTAAATTGAAGAATAAAATTAGGGTTTTGAAGAAAATAATAAAAATTTTGCTTACTTAATTTCAGGACCAAAGAAAGCTTCGATACAGGGTCCGAATGTTCTCTGTAGTGTGTGATTGGCAACGGGACTTTGTAAATGTGAACTAACTGCTTCTAAGAGTGGACTGAAGAAATGATTTTCCTTCAGTGTTGCGAGTGCAGGTCCAACGCTGCCATCACCTCTTTTTGAAAAATCCATTTTCTCCAGTGCAATTTCACATTTTTGTAATGTCTCCACCGGCATTCTTTTCGAGGGATTGGATAGAATTTCAAGAAGTTTTTTCATTTTTGATGTCTTATCGGCGTCTAAAATTAAATGTGTTTATAAACTTTGGATAACATTTTGCGTAAAAAGTATAAAAAGAAAAAGAAATAAAAGTATAAAAAGAAAAGAAAGAAATTAAAAAAAGAAAACTAAAAGAAAAAAAAGAAAAAAAAAGAGAAACTATAAAGAAACTATAGACGAATTCTTACTCCCTTCGCCATTTGATCTCGCAACCATTTTCCTCAATGGTTCAATGTACTTGGTTAATCGGCGAAGTGTTTCTTTATAAACGTGATCCTCCATTGGACTCGGTGCCGTTCCCATACCAGCTGGAGTATTCAAAGAACTACTCGGAGATGGCGCCATGCCTTTCAAATAAATAGAAAATAAAGAATTAAATTCTACAAAAATATTTCGAATTTATTTTTCAAATTTGACTATAAAGCAATTGTTTTGCAAGAAAATAATATTTTGAACGTTTTAATTTACCAACAGATCGTTGTCCCGAAAGAACAGACGGTTGAGACATTGGAGACGGAGCCAAAGCAGGCGAAGGGACCATTTGATTACTAAAAAAGATTAATTTTCATTACATTCATCGACTGACTCATAATTCAATGTACAAAGATTTGACAAAAAAGATTTACGAGAAAAGACAAATTTACCTCTGTGGAGCGCCCAAACCTCCTGGACTTGGCGCTGATGGTGAAGGACTTTGATTTAAGAATTGATTGGGCGTCACATTGCGTGGTCCGGGGAATCCAACATTCATCATTTCGGGTGGCTAAAATAAATTGCAAAAAAAAACATTCACTTAAAAAAATTAATAAAACACAAGCAAAATATTTCTCCAATCGTCACCTTTCTCTGAACACTATGCATTTGCTGTTGCAACTGATTAGCGCCGATTTGTCCCGAGCCCATTTGATTCATCTGCTGCTGCATGCCAGTTTGTAAATTATTTTGTATCCCACTCTGCAATCCACCGCCCATTGTTCCTCCCATTTGTCCGGGAACTTGATTCGAAATTTGACTCTATTCGAAAAAATAGGAACAGAATTTTAAATACTTAATTTTTCACTTCCAAAGAAGTATTTTAAACTTGAATTAAAATTACTTGAACAGGGTGATCACAAGTTTTAGTCTATCAATTTCAAAGACAAATTTTACTGACATTAAAATTACTTTCCTTGACAGTTGACAAAATTCTTTTTATAGAAAAATATTTAGAAAATAAGTAAAATGAGTAAAAATGTTAATACGGAACAACGGAAAACAACGAACAACGGAAAATGAGTAAAATTTATGAATTTTAATAATTTCTCAAAACTACAATTATAATCCTTCCTGAATTCAATTATTATCTACAATTTTCAACTAAACTTCATCTCCGAATCAATTAATTTAAATAATTTTTTTAAATTTCTTCTAGAATTCAATTATTTAAATACAAAAACTCAATTTTTTTATAATAAATTTTAACTCTCCATAATTTTTTCTTAAGTTATTAAGTTATAATATTTTTAAAAAATTATAAAGAAATTCTTTACAATTAATTTTTTTTTAATATTTTAAAATAATTTTTAAAGGCAATAGTTTTTTAATATTAAAAAATTGAAAAACAATTAAAATTTGGTAAAATCTTTTTAAACTAATTGAATTTTTAAAAAATACAAATTGAAATGATCAAAATTTTTAAAGAATTTTAATTATAAGGGGACGTACACAAACTACGTAAGGCATATTTTCAGAAATTTTGACCCCCCCTCCCCCCATCGTAAGACATTTTCTATACATTAGCGCCATTTTTTCTGCTGTTCGTAAGATTTAACTTGACCCTCCCTCCCCCCTTAAAGCCTTACGTAGTTTGTGTATGACCCCTAAGCAGGACTATGATTTCCCAAAAATTTTAATAATGAATTTATTAAATTAATTAATTAATTTATTTATTTAATAAATTATAATTTATTAAATAATTTCTTCAAAATTATTTGTATCATTTCAATCCAATTAAAATTTTCTAGAATTTTTAACTAAAATTCTACATTAAATCAATAACATTAATTATTATTTAATTGAACTTTATCAAAAAAAAAATTAATTCTACAGAATTGTTAGTTAAAAGTACGAAAAATAATAATTTAATTCTACGAAAAGTCAATTATTTAAATACAAAAATAAATAATATTGAATGTTTCTTAAAATATTAATTTTTACGAAGAATTGTATTGAACTTTTGAAAATATTTAATTTCTTTTAAGGAATTTAATTAAAATTTTAATGAAATTTATTATATTAAAGAATTTTATAACAATTTTTGAAAATAATTCAAAACTTTTTGAAGAATTTTATTAAATTTTTTAAAAATAATTAAATTTTTGAGAAGAATTTAAATAATAATTTTTGAAAACAAATTCATGAGAAGAAGTTTATTAAAATTTTTGAAAATAATTGACTTCTTGAGAGGAATTTTTAAAAAAATTTTGACAATAATTTAATTCTTAAAAAGAATTTCCCTATCTATTTATAGATAATTTAATTCTTGACAAGAATTTTAAAAAAATTTTGAAACAAATTTAATTTCGTGCAAAGTATTTTATTACTTTTCAAAAGAATTGAATTCTTGTGATTTTGGAAGAGAATTTTATTAAGATTCCTTAGAATAATTAATTTTATGGGAAGAATTTATGCGATTTTGTTGTTTATCAAGCTAATTGAATTCTTTTGCAAAATTACTTAAAAATTTTTGAAAATAATTAATTTTCTGCGACGAATTAAATGTTATTTGTGAAAATATTTGAATTATTGCAACGAATTTTATTGTTTTATTGAATAATTGAATGTTTCTTAAAAATTGAAATCTTTCCTCAAGTTTTAATAAAATTTTTAATAATAATTGCATTTTTCAAGGAATTTATTTAAAATTGTATTAAAAATATTTGAAATTCTGCGATTCTGAAAATATTGAACTCGTAAATGAAATTTTATTATTTATGAAAATAATTGAATATTCACGTAGAATTGTATCAAAAAGTTTTTTCTATAATTAAATCAGTTGATCAATTTTATGAAAATAGTAAATATTTAAAAAACATTGAATTGCGAAAAACTTTTAAAAATAATTGAAATGTTGCAAAGAATTTTATTTAAATTTTTGAAAATAATTGAATTTTTAACGAAAAATTTTGCTATTTGTAATGATAATTGAATTCTTGACGAGATATTAGAGAAAATTTTCAATGCACCTGAATACTTTGTTGAGGTTGTCCACCACCCATTTGAGTGCCCATTTGTCCCATTTGTCCGGGGCCAATTTGCACCATTTGCTGTGGTATATTCCCTTGGCCAATTTGATTAATTTGCGTTAGAATTGAACTATTCTGCATTCCCTGCATTTGACCAATGTGACCAACGGCTCCCGTTGCTTGACCGGGCATTATACCCATTCCAGGCATTTTATTCTGCATACCGGGCATGTTAACACCTTGTCCAGGTCTTTGATTTAAACTCTGAAGAACTAAAAACAGTTCATTAAGTATTCATCCAATTCAAAAATATTGTAAATCAACTTTAATAGCAAGAAATATTTAATAAATATTCCCCAAATGTTTATTTGACCAAACTGACTGACATTATAAAATTGAAAAAAAATTTTTTTTTTAAATTCCTCTTTCGTAAACTTATTACAGAAAATATTTTTAGAATTATCACTTTGTGAAAAGTGGACGATTTTCAAAGTTAAAATTCATCGATTTTGACATAAAAATTTTTTTTACTGCTTCCTTGGAATAGTTTCTTTTTATGTTGGCGTAAAAATAACTTTTTTATCACTACTAAAAAAATTTATTAAAGAAAAATTTTAATTCCTCGAGTCAGGTATTTCTTTGTCTTTCTATATGCAGATGACAGCAAAAATATAGTGTGCCTGATTGGAGATAATGCTTATCTCTAATACTTTCTTTCATAAAGAATAGTTATATTTCTATAAAACTGTGTATGGGGCAAAATTACTCTAGTGTCCCAACTTAAAAATCGAAAGTTTTCAAATTGAGAAAGGTTTTCTCCTCCTCTTTCGAATAGTGCAAAACATTCTTTTTTAAATTCAAAATTAAAAATATTTTTAACTTTTTATTGAAAAAGGACATTTTTTTTTTGCTTTAAAATAAAGCTTAATATAAGCCTCCGGAAAGTATAGCCACACATAAAATTCTGACCGCCATGCTAATTCATTGGGCGTCAGAATTTTATGTGTTGTTATACTTTCCGGAGGCTCATATGTGTACTTTTCATACCCGAAAAGAAAAAAATCGATATTTTTTTTTGTTTTCGTGTATTGAAAGTACACATATTAAGATTTATTTTTTTAAAAAAATGACCTTTTACAACAAAATAAATGAATAATCAATCACTTACTTATTTAACAATTATTTATTAAAAAAATTATTAAAACTATGCTTGCTGGATGCGTAATATGGTAAGTCTAAATAAAATATTAGTTAATTTATATATTTAAATAAATTAAAATTAAAATTCTTCTTGCGAAGAATTTTATAAAAAATTTTAAATAATTCATTTCTTTCGAATAATTTTTTAGCAAATTCTAATCTAAATAATTCAATTCCTGAGAAATTTTTATTATTCATGAAAAGAATTGAATACTTACGAAGATTTTTACAAAAAAAATTTTAAATAATTGAATTCTGTTTGGAAATTTTATGAAAATACTAGATATTGAAAATCATTGAATTGCGAAAAGTTTTTAAAAATAATTAAAATTTACCAAGAATTCTATTAAAATTTTTGACAATAATTGATTGTCTGTGTGGTATTTTATTAAATTTTTTTCAAAATAATTAAATTTCTAAAAAGCATTTTACTATATTTATGAAAATAATTGAATTCTTGCCAAAGATTTTATTAGAATTTTGTTAAATAATTGAATTTCCAAGAAAAAATTTATTACTTTTAAAAATAATTGAATTCTTGTGATGAATATTGTTATTTATGACAATAATTGAATTTTGAAAATTTTTATTAAAATGCCTGAAAATAATTGTATTTTTGGGAATAATAATTTTATTAAAACGTCTCAAAATAATTGAATTTTCGAAGAATTATTTATGTAAATAATTGAATTCTTGGGAAAAATTTTATTAAAATCTAAAAAAATAATTAAATTATTTCAAAAAAATTTTAAATAATTAATTTGTTTCGAATAATTTTATTAAAATATTTGAAAATAATTGAATTTATCTGAAAAATTGTTATATTTTTGTAAATAATTGAATTTTTACAAAGAATTTAAAAAGAAATATTTTTTTAAATAATTTAATTCTTTTGACAAATTGTAATAAAATTTTTAAGAATAATTACATTTTTGGAGCAATTTCTGTGAAATTGTATGAAAAATAATTGAAATCCAGCGATGAATTTTCTTATTTATGAAAATAATTACATAAATAGATGCAAAGAATTTTATTAAAATTTTAAAAAATAGTTGATTTTCTGAGAAAAATTATTTTATTATTTATGAAAATAATTGAATTTTGCAAAGAATTTAATTAAAATGTCTCAAAATAATTGAATTTTCGGGAATAATTTTGTTATTTATCTTTAATAATTGAATTCTTCCAAAGAATTAAAAAAAAATATTTTTTTGGCAAATAATTGTTTTTTTCGAGAAACTGAAATTAAATTTTTAAGATTTTTTGAGCAAAATTCTTGTAAAATTGCATTAAAAATAATTGAAATCCTGCGATGAATTTTCTTATTTATGAAAATAATTTTAAATAGTTGCAAAGAATTTTAATTAAATTTTTAAAAATAATTGAATTCTTGAGAAGAATTTTATTATTTATGAAAATAATTGAATTATTGCGAAAAATTTTTTTAAAAATATTTAAAAAGAATTTGAATTTTTCATAAGAATTTTGTAAACATTGTTTTAAATAATTAATTTTTTCGAAATATAATAAATATTATTATGAAAATTTTATTTTAAATAATTGAATTTTTGTGGGAAAATTTATTTATGAAGATAATTGAATTTTTCGATTAATTAATTTAAAATATAGTATTAAAAATAATTGAAATTCTTCGATGAGTTTTATTATTTATGAAAATATATGAATTCTTGCTTAGAATTTTATCAAAAAAAACTTTTTTAAAAATTGAATTTTCATGAAAAATATTATTATTAGTGAAATTAATTGAATTTATTGTGAAGAATTGTAGAAAAATTTTGTTAAATAATTTATTTTTTCGAAAATGCTATTCTAAATTATTTGAATTCCTGTAGAAATTTTTATTATTTATAAAAATAATTGAATTTTGGATGAATTTTGATCAATTTTTTAAGAAAAATAATTGAATTCTTTTGCGAAATTTTATGAAAATAGTAAATATTGAAAATAATTGAATCGTTTTAAAGAATTTGATTATAATTTTTGATTTCTAGTATTAGCGAATTTAAAGTAGTGTAAATTCTAAAAAAACGAAAATAGTAGTTTTCAGTGGTTGTAATTTGTATTATTTATTATTAAGAATTTAATTTTTAATATATAGAAATAGAAAACTTACGATTCGTTGCTGCATTTGTATTTGGTTGTGGAACCATTCCTTGTGGATTTGCGCCAGCATTTGGAATTCCCATCATTTGATTATTACCAGTGCCTTGTCTAGCAAGTGTTTGTAGTGCGCCAATTGGATCAGACATCCCTTGATTTGGACCATTTCCACCAGGTGCCATTCCTCCACCTTGCTTCTTTGAATCTGAAACATTTTTTTATTTAATTCACTTTTCAGAAAAATTTACTTCATTCTAAACGAGATATAAGATGTAAAAATTTTATTCTGAATGTAATATTAATATAATAATAACAATAATATAAATATTAATAAAAATTAAAATAATAATTACTCATTTCTCTCACGTGAAGTATCAATCTAGCTATAAAGCTCAAATATTCTTCCTGCAAAAAAGAAAATAATTTTTAGTATTTTTAATAATAGCAGCATTTATTTTAAATAATTTCAGTTATTATAGTATTAATTCAATTTAACTTTTATTATAATTATAATTACTACTTTTAATGTCTGGTTAATAACAGAATTTGTAATAATAGTGTATAAAATTATTAATAATAATTACAAAAATTATTACCATTATTAATACTGAAAATAGAATAAAGGACAAAATTTACTATTTATTTTCGGCTAGTAAATAATATAATAATTATTCACAAATTTTTAATTCTCAATTTTCATTTTATATTTTTCAACTAAAATAGATTTTATGTTTTTTTTTACCAAATTATTGTCAAAAAAAATAACTAAACACTAACTTTGTTTTTGGCTTTTAGAAAAACATGATTTTCCATATCGCTGCTATTTTTCGCTGTAGGCATTCCTGATTTTTGAATGGCTTCCTCTCTGTAAACAAAGAAAAAATCATTATATTTAAATTTATTTAAAAAGTAAAGATTATTTTTAAAGAAAATAACACAGAGAAAATCTTACATTCTTGAAGCCATTCCTTGTCGGAAATTAGTAGTACGCCAAGATGTATCGTCCGATGCCATGATTAATTTCTATTCTCAAAAAATTTTTTTTACAAAAATTACAAAATTTTTCAGAATTCTGAAAATAAAAAAAAAATTGATTGAAAAATTATTAATTCACAATATTATATATGTAAACTGTAGTTCATTAGAGAAGTTTGGAAACTTTAGAAAATTTTAAACTTAAATTTTTTATTTCCGAACTTATTTTTAAGTTTTAATTTTAGAGTAAATATTGCTAGAGAATACTTAATATTTTCACAAAGATAATTTATAATAATATAATATAGTATTCCACTACGAAAAATATAATTTAAAGATACATTTTCGTATAATCATTTAAAAAAAATGAACTTTAAAATCCTGCTCCAAAAAAAAATTAAATGTCCTGTCAATAAAGGCTTAAAATATTTAAGATCATTTTTGCAGGTTATGCGAGAGAATATTTAATTTTAATATTTATATGTTTAGAGAATATTTTCTAAAAAATAATTTTTTTTATAGCTAAAAGCATTATATTATAATTTTTTTAAATACTCACTTATTTGTTGATAAACAAGATATTTTGACAATATGTAAACGATGTAAACAAAAATTGACGTATACTGGAAATTATAATTTTTAATTAAATTTCTATATAAAGAATAGAATAGTAATAAATAAATTTATTAGTGTGAAATTTAAGTTTTAATCGTTTTAATCTTAGAGACAACTTTTTAACTACTTGTTAATATAAATATACATATATTTATTTTAATTAAAAACTTGGATACAATAATAATAATAAGATAGAGCACTGTGTTTTCTACGTAAGCTTTTTTGCGCCACCTCGTGGCAGTCACTAGTGTTATGAAACAGTGTCACATTTGGAAACAACAGGGGTTCTTTCGCTGTCGTTGAAGTGATTGAACCTGTTTTTTTACTTGACCCTGCATTGCTTACAATGATGTAAGGAAATTGTTTTGTGTTTATATTCTCAGTGTGCGAAGTTGCTTTTGTCACGTGGTTTATTCAGTCGTTTTTTCTCAAAATCTACTAAAAGTAATTTGACAGTTTTATTAATAATTTAAAGAAAATGGCACTTTGGAGAAGTTTGCCCTCCAAATTATCCGAAACAGCAAACATCATCTACAGTGCTGGCTCTCGTGCTTCATATCATCCAAACGTAAATTGTTTATATTTAACCTTCATCAACCTTTATTTCTATAATTTTCTTTTAAATTTACTCTTATAATTTTCTGTAAAATATAAAGATAATATATTTTTTATTGAACACAACATTTTTTAGTTATATTTTATTATTTCGAAGAAAAAAGTTTATTGCGTAGAAATTCTATTCTTTTTTTTTATTAATAAAATATAGTTTATATATTTCGTAATATTGTGAAAATCGATTTTTGTCGAATGCAATATTACATTTAATGATCGCAAACTTTCTTGAATTTGTGCAATAGTGCATTATAGATTTAGTTAAGACGTCTGCGCAAGGTAAGATATGTGTTTACTCATCGATATAGTGATACATAACCTATAAAATGTATTTGAATGTATTTAATTGAGAAAAGCAACTAGACTTATATATTTAATAAATTTTCTTGTCTTACGAATGAAGAAACAAGAAGAAAATAAAAATTATTCCACAGATGGCAAATGAGCAATTAACAGAATTTTTAGAAAAAGAAACTAATGAAGAAAGATTAAGAATTATCTACGAAGATTTAGATAGAAGAAAATATCAAAAATACTTTTTAGAATAAACTAATAGCAACAATTCGCGCGGCTAACTTCTTAACTACCTTTTTTTAAACAAAATAATTAGCAATTTTAAAAATAATAGAATTTTAAAAAATTTTCTAATTTAAATTTTTGTTAAAAACATTTGAAAACATTAAAAAAAAATTCAATTTTGGAGAAATTACAAATAATTGCAGAAATTCAATTATTTAAAAAAAAATAAAATTCAATGTACAAAATTTGAAAAAAAAATTTCAATTATCTTTATAAATAACAAAATTCTTCTCTAAAGTTCAATTATTTTCGTAAATGTCAAAAAAAAATTCTTGTCCTAACATCAATTATTTGAAAATTTTTTTTAATTTCAATGATTTTAAAAAATTGAAAAAAATTTTTGTTTAATTCAATTATATTCCAAATTGTTAATTAAAATTATTTTTAAAAAAACTTATTTTCAAAAAATTTAAAGAAACTCGTTAAAAGAATTTAATTATTCATAAAAACTCTAATAAAAATTTTGGAAGCTATTTGTAGATTTATTTACGTTCGAAATCAAATAAATTTAAAGATGAGAAAAAAAAGCCGGGAAAAATTAGGACAAAGCCGGGAATTTTGTTGATCAAAAATAGTAGACACCCGAAAAACAATTTTTCCACGTAATTAATACCTTTATTTTACTATTTAAAGATTAACTTTATTTTATGATAAAAACTCTTCTTTTAATTATTTTTGTTTAAAATACCAGACTAAAACATCATTTTATTTATATAATTTTATGTCTTCCAACAATGTTGATTTAAAATATTTAATATTATTTAAATTTAAACTACTTGAAATCTTTTAAAAAATTTTTAGGTTTTGGATCACTATGAAAATCCGAGAAATGTTGGTTCGTTGGATAAGAATAATAAACGTGTTGGAACCGGATTAGTGGGCGCTCCTGCCTGCGGTGATGTCATGAAATTACAAATTGAAGTTGATGAGGGGGGCAAAATTATTAATGCAAAATTTAAAACATTTGGTTGTGGTTCAGCAATTGCTTCAAGTTCTCTTGCAACCGAATGGGTTAAAGGGAAAACGGTAAGATTTTAATATTATTATAAACAGTCTAACGATCTTATATATATAATTGTAATATAAATTAAATTTCTTACCAGGTTGACGAAGCCTTGGAATTGAAAAATACTGACATTGCAAAAGAATTATGTCTACCACCAGTCAAGCTGCACTGTTCGAGTAAGTCGCCATTATCATTTATAAAATTTCAATTTTGAATTAATTTCATTAGAAATTTTAAAGAACTTCGATTTTTGAAAAAATAATAAATAAATTATTAAAATTAAATAAATAAAAAGTAAAATAAAATATAAATAAATAAATAATAAAAAAATTAATAAATAAAATATAAAATAATAAAAATATTATAAATATAAATACATTACCTTGATATTTAGAATATATAATATTAATGAAAATAAATATTTTTCAGTGCTTGCAGAGGATGCGATTAAAGCAGCTTTGTCAGATTATCGTATTAAGCAACAAGGAGATGGAGAGAAAACTAAGAGCAGTAATTAATAAAATAGTTGTTCGATTAATGTATAAAAACAAAGTATAATGGTAAATTCGAAATTCAATTTCGTTGTTATTTAGATATTATATAAGTTACAGTAAACTAAATTCTTGTAAATAAAATATGTAAAAGTTATATTTTACTACCAAAATAAACACATTAACCCTCATTTGCTTGAGGTGAATCGTTTGAACTCAAAGAAAAGTATTTTTCATTACCATTTACTTAGGAAAATTTTATAAAATCATCATTAATTTCGATGTGCCTGCATATAAAACATTTTTAACTCAGTAACGTAAGTTCGAAACAATAATCGTGAAGTCATTAAATTTTTATAAAAACACTTATTTTATTCAGATACAGATGAAATGGTTTTAAGTTAATTCTTCTTTATTTGACGAATGAAATGAATGTTTCAAAGCTCACGAGACTTTATAGAATGTATGTGATTTGACCTCCTTTATTATGTAGTCAGTAAGATAATTATATAAAGAATGTTTTTAAATTTCTCAGGCAGATTTATATATATTTCTTCATTTAATGTTAGCAAAGTAACTTAAGATTTGTAAACAAAAAAATTTTTTTTAAATGGAATTTTTTGAACAAAAGTATTATACAATTTTTAAAAATGTCTTAAAATTAACAGGAGTTTGGCCATTTCAACCATTATGGTTAAAATATGTTTTAGCAATTTTTATTGCTTGTGTTTATGTTAGTCTGCTTATTCCACAGGTATATATATATTTTATAACAGAAGTCAATGTTTTATTGATCAAATCAAATATTTAATTACTATATTTCCTCTTAACCCAATAACCCTAGTTAATACCCTAGTTCCTAGGGATATCCAAATTTTTGGATGCAATTATGCCGTCCGTCAGAGTTTCTAGTCGGAAGTGGAAAATGTGTGAATTCAGATACCTAGATAAAGAATCTCATTGTTTTACCGCGATAAAGTAAATGTTATTTTTTTATTTATTAATAATTCATGTCCCACTTTGGGTAGAAATGTTTTGGATTGGAAAAAAGCTCAGCTTTCTTGCTAAGTAAAAAGAAATTTTTTTAGATACCGATTTTACAAAAAAATGAAAATTAATTTTAATTTTTAATTTCCAAGGTCAAAAAAAATTTTTTTTTAAACTAACATCTCATTGAAAAGTACACGAAAAAACCTTTCCAAAACATATTTTGTGAAATTCACATCTTTTTTTCTAAGTGAACTATAAAGTCAGCAAACTATGATGTGTAAACGCATGAGGCCTGGATCACTTCACGTGAAATCCCCCACATATGATGACACATGGCACAAGGGGCACAAGGGTTATTTGGGCCTTACGGGGTTATATGTCAATAAAAAAATAATAAGAATTTCATTTATAGTTAAATTGCTACATCAAGCTCTGGGACGATGGTGCAGATAAAATTATGATACGCACATTACCTCTCTTGACTACTATCGTATTTGCAATAAAATTTATGACATGTTTTCTCAGTTCTGAAAAGGTAATCACGATGACAATGTTGATAATAATAGAGGAACTAGAAAATTTCCGGATTAACTTACATATAACCAATCAAAAATCGTATAGCGCATGAATCTAGTTTAGTAACGTGACTTTCTTTTTATGACGTTGGCAATGAATTTCCTAGGTGATAAACAAACAACGCCATTTCATTCATTCTTTTTGTAAGATCATTAGAGGAAAGTTCTCATTAATTATATTTTTTTTATTTTCGTGAATAATTTGGGAGAAAAGTCTAAAACCATTTGGGAATCTTGAGAAGACCTGTTTCATTGGAAATTCGTTGATCGCATCAACTTAAAAATTCAGTTCTTGTAAATTTGTTTATTATTTTATGTATAATAAAACTGTTTAATAACAGTTGAGGGTGCTACAAGTTAAGAACATTTTCGAACAGTTAATAATGTAGTACATACATGTGATTTTCTGTTAAAATTTTGAAAGCAAATATTTAGCATTCTCTCTTATGCATTACTGTGAAAATAAATATAATACATAATTTAAATATAGATAAAAAGTATATTAATAAATATGAAAAGTCATTCTGACTTATTGTCAACTGAAAACGAATTTAATGAATTCCTTAAATATTGCGAACGAGGAAGAGAATGTACCAAAATTTATGTAGGTATGTACAATGTGTGTATTAATCAAACATACTTTTTAATCATGGTTGCCACATAGTCTGGAAGGTCTGGAAATCCTGGAAAACCTGGAAATAGTTTAGGAACAGTAAATAATTATTTTATTAACAACTGTTAACAAATAAAACATAAAGTTCGCTCAAAAAATAATTTTTAATCTTCTGCTGATTATCGGCTGTGGTTACTTTTTATGAATTGTGAATTAGATTAATTTTGATAACCCAGATACAGTACCGTCCGAAATTGTCACTCCACCCATTTTTAAAGGAATGAAAAAAAATTTTTAACATAAAATTCATGAAAACTAAATTTTTTTTTGGTTTATATTTTGAAAGAAAGATAAAATTTTGAAAAGAATAAGACCTTACAGAAGTCATTTGGCCAACATTTGTAGAAGATATTCTTAAAAATCGTCATTTTCAATGTTTTACAAAAATTTGAATAACTTCTAAAATAATGAACGCTTTTTAATAATCTTAGGCTTATTTTAAAGGTCATTTTCTACAGAATAAGAATTACTTATAGTCATTAACCTGTAATTTTTTACTTGGAATAAGCATGACGTCAAAGTTGGTCAAAAAAATTCAAAAAATTGGAAAGAATATTATTAAAAGAAAAATAATTTTTGAAGTTCAAACATATTTTTTTATTAAATTTTCTTGAAAAATCTACACCCTATTATGTTTTATATATGTTCTAGAATAGTTTTTAGTACAAAAAATTTATTTCAAATTTTTCCAATTTTTTTGTCCAATTTTGACGTCATGCTTATTCAAAAAAAAAAATTACAGGTTAATGCCTATAAGTAATTCTTATAGTGTAGCAAATGACCTTTAAAATAAGCCTAAGATTATTAAAAAGCGTTCATTATTTTAGAAGTTATTTGAATTTTCGTAAAACATTGAAAATGACGATTTTTAAGAATATCTTCTACAAATTTTGTCCAAACGACTTCTGTGAGGTCTTATTCTTTGCAAAATTTTATCGTCTTTCAAAATATAACCAAAAAAAAATTTGAGTTTTTATAAATTTTATGTTAAAAATTTTTTTTTATTCCTTCAAAAATGGGTAGACTGACAATTTTGGCCGGTACTGTATTAATTGGAATTTTTCTAGCAACAAGAGGCGCATGATTATTCCCCGCAAATGTCATTTGACCGAACTGCCATTTTACCGAATTACATTTATCCGAACTGTTATTTTAACGAAATGACACTTTTGCGAAACGCTATTTTTACGAATTGTCACTTTTGAGAAAAGTCATTTTTGCGAAATAGCATTTTTACGAATTGTCATTTTTACGAATAGTTATATTGTTCCGAAATGTCATTTTTTCGAATTGGCATTTTTACGAAATGTCATTTTTGCGAATTGCAATTTTTACGAATTGTCACTTGCGAAAAGTCATTTTTTCGAATTGTCATTTTTACAAAAAGTCACGGTTGCGAATTGTCATTTTTGCGAAAATTCGCAACAGTGACATTTCGTAAAAATGTCCATTTGAAAAAATGACAGTTCGCATTAATGACAATTCGTAAAAATATCAATTCACAAAAGTGACATTTTGTAAAAATGACAATTCGAAAAAGTGGCAGTTCGCATAAATGACAATTCGCAAAAATGACTTTTCGCAAAAGTGACATTTCGTTAAAATAACAATTCGAATAAATGCAATTCGTTAAAATGACAGTTCGGTAAAATGACATTTGGGGAATAATCATGCGCCTCCAAAAAATAATTTTTCATTTTCTGCTGATATCTAAGGAAGAAAAATTTTTCTTTTGTAATTCTTATTTTAAGTTTTTGGTAATTGGAAGTTTAGGAAAATTTTTTAGATCTGAAGATGTGTTATTGGGCCAGAAATTTTTTTAATTTTTGACTGGAATTGCATAAGTATTGACCTGGAAAATCCTGGAAAAAGTCTGAAATTTTATATTTATCATTTTGTGGCAACCATGTTAATTTATTATTTATTTTATTAAATATTATTAAGGGGTCCTTTGGATTATCAACGTATTAAATTTGCAGGTTACGTACTTTTTACTACATGCTTCTATGTATTTATGCCACTAGTACCATGCTTACTTGACCTAATACAGCCCCTTAATGAAACTCGTGAAAGAGTTTTTATTTATGAACTTGATTATGGATTTGATAACAATGAGGATTACTTTTATATTATACAACTTCACATATACATAACCGCATATGTGAAAATTTCTTCTGGATTTAATTTTGATGTATCATTTTTACTATTTACTCAACATGCTTGTGGTTATTTTGCTGCCTTGGGGTAAATTTTTTCATAAACATCTTTACTGTATTTTTGCTCGAAAGGTTTAGCTAAAAAATTAAATTACAATCTATATTTAATTTGTTAAAACTTGTCACCTAACTTTCTGTTAGGTTCTGTCTTTTGGATTATTTATTATATATTGTCTTCCCTATTAGGTTCTGTGTACTAATTTTTATAACCTTAGCAGATAAACAGTTTATATATGCAATTGTCTGTACATGTTTTTGAATATTAATAATTTTATTTTTCTGTAGTCAGAAACTAGAGAATTTAGACAAGAAAATACCTAAAGAAAAGCATAGTATTGAAAAAGAATATGATATAGTTGATCAAGAAATCTCAATATGTGTGCAAAGACACTGCAGTGGTTTAGAGTAAGTGCGCAGGGTTATTCTACTTTAAAGATATCGAGATTGCAACTAGTTTTCAAATTTTATTAATTCTTTTCATTTTTTATATCAGATTCCTCTGTGTAATTGAATCTCTGTTTGCAATTTCCTTTTTAATTCAAATACTAATCACTGTTATCATCATAAGTCTTATTGGAATACTGGTAAAGATGTTTTGTCAATACTCTATCAATGATGGAAATTAATCCAAATATGATAATGAATTGACAATGTAATATGAATTCTTTACAGGTTATAATGAACTTAGATAAACCACACGAGGCTGTCAGATTTGTACTATTTGTTATGGCTCATTCGTTCAGTTTATTTTATGTTAGTTTATCATCGCAACGACTAACGGATAAAATTAGTTTACTTTTTAAAAATGTGTAAGTAAATAAATTAATAAAATAAACTCAAAAAAGGCCAGATCCCGTGTAGAAATTGCCCTACTAGGGCCATAGTAAGGAATGAAACGCCGCGCCCGATCAGGGCCAGATCGGGGCGACAAGAAAATGTGGATTTCCTGATCAGGGCCACATCGGGCGCGGCGTTTCATTCCCTAATAGGTCGGCCCTATCCGGCCCTGATCAGGGCCCCAGCGAAATTTCTACACGGGATGAATAACTAAAAACTATTTATCAACTATTTATTATTTTGAAGATATTTCTGTCGATGGTATGAACTTCCAATAAAATCAAGAAAAATGATACTTCAAATATTAACGAAAACTAATTACACCTACAAAATTACCGCTCTTCAAGTTTATCCTATTGAAATAGAAAGCTTTTCAGTGGTAAGTTAATTTAGTTTTATTTTCCAGAGAGAGAAATAATTTTACTTTTACAGATGATTCGCGCGTCAATGTCTTACTTTACAATGCTTTCATCGATGAGATGAAATCTTAATTAAAATCTATATTAGAATACAACTAAGATGTGGTAAGTGCGACTGTACTAGATATATGTAATGTAATACAATCTTTAAAAATTAATAACTTATTTAATTAATCACAGATAAATGTTTTTGAAGTAAGGAAAGCAGTTTCTTACACATCAAATTATTTGATTTTGTATAAAATCTTTCAGGACATTTTTCTGAATTATGTACTAGATTATAAAATTTTTTTTACAAGTAATTTATTTTTAAATTTTACATTAGAATTATTATTTTGCAATTAGACATATAATTAACTCGGTTATAAATTGTATGCAATGTATTTTACAAAAACTGTAATTAAACACTTGTATAAAATAATAATTGTTATAATAACTGTAATTCCGACAATTTATACAGTGTTATAAATTGAATTTTGTTAAGTAATATTTTAATTTTTATTGAAATAAAAAAAAATACATATTTATAAAAGTTAGTACTTTATTTAAACTAGAGAAGTTGATATGCTAATTATTGATTGGCGTATACTATCAGAAATTGTAAACTCTTCTGTCTTCTAAATCCATGATTGCGTCCAAATATTTTTAATGTTGCTCTGAAATATAAATATGTTTAATTTAAAAAATATCATGATCTGATTAAAAATTTTGTTTTTAAATTATTTCTACTTTAAAAAAATTCAAATATTCAACGACAAGTAGATTTGAGTGTAAAATAAAATAATTAATTCCAAAAGTTGATAAATTGATATATTAATATCAAAACTGAAAATAGAAGATTTAATTTGTTAATTTTATATTCAACTTATATTTTTATTATATTTCCTATGAAAATAATCTTATTTATTGACATAGTCGCAAAATCGATTTCAACGTTTATATAACATAAACATTTCCTAAAAGAAAATAATTTACAGGTAGTTTATCTTGATTGGAAAAACTTATGTCACAAAAAACCATAATATGGTAAATTTAAAATCAATTTCTAGAGTATATAATTTATTCCGTATACTTTATTAAAACCTATAAAACTTTATAGAAAGAAAGTTTCAAATCATTTACTTTCATATATACCATTAACATTCTCTTTAAACTTTATTTCAGAACAGTAATTTCTTGATAGAAATTAATAAACTACAATTTCACTTCAATTCATATCAAGATTTTTTGAAAAAAGAAATAACAAAACAGTTACTTCAATGAAGAAAAGGAAACAGAAACGAGAAGTTGAGTTCCTAGCGGCAATGAGTTCTAAAATTGATATCGATTATTATAAAACTTTCTATAGAATAAATGAATATCTACTGTGTTTGATTGAATGTTGTCCACATCAAAATAAATTCATGCAACGAATTATTACCGTTTTTCATTGGTTTAGTATACTAAGTTTTCTTGTGGCACAGGTATTTTTATTCAAATTAATTTAAAGTATACATATTTTTTATATTATAGTTGTGTATTTTTTGCACATATATATATATATATATATATATATATATATATATATATATATACAATCAAGAGTCATTTATCAATTTTTGCAATAATAATGTATGTCACTATGTATAATAATTGTTTATGAAATTTTTTATCGGCATATACACATTTTTTTTAATATTATAGATAGAGGAGCTTTTAGTTAAAATGAAAAAAGATTGGTTTATTTGGAAATCCGAAAGAGAATTAAAAATTCTTCTTGAACACGAAGTTAAAGGAAGAATGTTCATCATTTTATTTTTGAGTAAGACTTATATAATAATAATTATTTCGATCTTCGCCACCCTCGGAATTTTATCTCAAACAAAATAATTAAAAATTATATAGTAAACATGTATATAATATTTATAAAAATTTTGTATGTTTCTTGCAGTTGTTATTTGTACATGTTGGTTTGAATTTCTTTTAGAACCACTATGTCCATTAATTATGGATATCATAATGCCGTTAAATCAGTCTCGTTCAAGAAAATTCAACTCAGTGGTAGAATATTTTGTAAATCAAAACGATAATTACTTTTGTATCACACTACATACTTGTCATACTAATACAGTAATAATTACAATTATTGTTAGTACAGATGCAGTATTTTTGGCTTTTCTCTATCATGCATGTGGTGTATTTGCAACATTAGGGTAACAAAAATTTTAAGACTGCTAGAAAATAATTATCAAGCATTTTCGTTTGGATATAAAATGACAGAAGAAATTATTAAATTCCATCCTTTTGGCATGTTTGAAACTCTTTCCAGGTCCTCCTGGAAATCGTTTTCTGTAGTGTGAGTGCCACCCCGATTTTACCTTTTCAACTATTGAATCCGAAAATTGTCCTGTCAACATATCTAAAATACAAAAGAGGGTTACCGCTATATTTATTATACGAATACAATAGAAATCGATAGTAATTTCCTATTTATTGTAATATTTTATTATTTTGTTATTATATACAATAAGACAGTTATTATGTAGAAAAGAATCAGAATTAAATAATTCCGATCTCATTCAATTTAATTAATTTATACTAGTAACAATGTATTTCAAAAGTCTTTTTTTCTTACATTCTTATTACACAAAAGATTCAATTAGAATTTCTTGTTACGACATCAAATTCATTGCAGTCTATTTCTATCATTTGAAGAAATCGGTTGTTAAGGATGAAAGTCATTAACATATATTTGGTTACGTTTATTTTTCTAAGAGGAATTCAAGATACCTCACCAACAAATGGTTACATCGATGGACTGCTGAAGCATTTAAAAGAAGAATCAAAAATACATCAAGTTATATTCATTGTTGACGATGTGCAAAATATTACGGACCCAATACTACAATCAACCATAACGAGTGTCAATTCGCACTTTCCATCTGTAATCTTTAGTTATAATGATTTGGAAACAATTTTACTCACAGATCCAAGGTTAGAGATGCCAAAGAATCTTTACAAAAACGCTGGTCCTTCACTGTTTGTTTACGAAATGTCAAAACTGGACTTTGATTTTCTTTTTTTTACGGATATTTATCAACTTAATGGACTTTATTATCGACGGGAAATTCAACATAAAATATTAATTCTAAATTCCGCATCCTCAAATTATACGATTATTGAAAGAATTTTATCTACTGCCTGGAGATTAAAGTATTTAGACTTTACCTTACTGACATACAGTAATGAACAACCGCATAAAATAATAAAATCAAGTTCCTTAATGTCACCATTTCTGAGTCATCTAAATCCTTTTTATCAAAATTATTCCCACGAATTGCTGTCAGCAAAAAGTGAATGGTTTCCAAATAAATTGCAGAATCTCCATGGATATAGATTAGAAGTAGACTGTAAATCTGTTAATGATTCATCTATAGATGAATACAGGAGTTCAATAAAATTACTAGACATTCTTGAAAAGAAAATGAATTTTAAATCAAATGTGACACAATTTATAGATATTGCAAGCAAGACATATTTTAAAGCAGACAATGATAAAAAAAAAGATATATTACTTAAAAATATTTTAAGCTTATCGGATTTGTCGTTAAATTTGGTAGACCTATTTCAATCGAATGATCTTAATTATTTTCGTCAGCAAATCGTAGTTCTTAATATTGTTAGAATAAATGTTGTTATTCCAAAAGGATTAAAATGTAACGAAGGCATTGAAGTTTCAGAACAATTTTGGCATATGATCCTAGCAACGATTTGTATGATTAGCGTAATGCGACTCGCAGTATTTTTATTAAAATTCAAGAAGAGAGCTTGGCAAACGTTAAGCATCTTTCAGATTGTAATCGGAATGGGAACATCCGAGGAACCACTTACTTTAACAGAAAGAACAATTTTCGGCTCACTGTTAATTACATGCATTGTCTATACAAGTTATTTTTACTCCGTCATTTTGGACGTCAGCTTAAAATCAACTCCCGAAATTTCAACTCTTGCAGAACTTATGAATACGAATATATCTGTAATTTATGTAATTGGAAATGGATTACCAAATCGTGATTTGTTTATAGGCGAAACGATACTATTTCACTTAGAACATATATAACAATAATTTAATTTTTACATTACATGTCACAATGCCTTCAAAAAATGAATTTAAAAATATTTTGATACAATTCTTTATGAGACTTCAATTTTAAGAAATTTTAATTATTCAATAAATTATTTATTTTTGCATTTAAATTATTGAATTATCTAATAAAAATCTATTTAAAAATTAATTTCAGTTAAAGTTTTACATAATAATTAAATATTAAAAGCATTATAGCATAAATTTTAAGAAATAATTAAATTTTAAAATGGTTTCAAATCAAATTCTTTAAAAATTTTGTATTTTTCATTCTTATAACTAACAATTCTGTAGAATTAATTATTTTAAAAAAGTTTAATTGAATTTTTTTCTGAAATTATTTGAAGTTTTTATTTTTTATTGAAGAATTTAATTGAAGAATTTCTGAATAATTTAAATTTCGTAAAATTGATTTGTAAACAAATGGATTTTAAAATTCTCCATAGAACTTTTTTCAAAAATTATTAAAAATAATATTTATGTGGGAAAATAATAATAAATTAAAATTTATTTAGAAGAGAAGTTACTGATGTTTTCAAATAATTTTAGAATTAAAGAAATTCGTAAATAAATGTAATGGAACATTTTTTTTTGGAGTATCTAATCATCTTTAGAGTGAATCAGAATATTCTTTAGGGTCAGGGAAGAAGTCAAAATTTTGTCAAGTAATTAAGTTTTTCATATTAAAAAAAAAGAAAATATTTTGCAAGATTTACATTTTTTAATTATCTATAAAATGTTTGTTACAAAATGCTAATTTTTTAGAAACAAAGGAAATAATGAATAATATTATAACATTAATAATTTTTTTAGATTAATAAAAATATTTTTGAATTATTTGATAAATAAAAATAATATTAATTATTTAATGATATAATAAAAAAATAAAGAAATGTAATATTATCTGCCAAGACATATAAAAAACAAAAGCATAAATTTTGTTAAAAAATCGTGATGATTTTATATTTTATTTCTATTTTCATATCAAAACGTATAAAAAACAAAAGAATAATCATGACTAACTTCAGGTGTGGACAGAATGAAAGAAAGAATAAGACGATTATTATAGTTAATTATTTTTCTTTTATAATTAATTCAAAATTGTAATGACAAGTAGAAATCATCAGAAATTTTTTTCACTATTTTTTCATTAAAAGACTGAAATTTTGTTAAATATTATGTTTTGTCAAATTGAAATTATTTTTGTTCTTTACTTCTAAAGAAAATTAGAAAATTGTTATAAACAACTGTGATTAAGAAATAGAAAATTTATTTATTTTGCATTATTTTTGTTTATGAATCACAATTTTTTTTAACAAAATTATTGTTTTGTTTTAGAAAAAGAAAGTTACTGTAACTTTATCAAAAATTATTTTCATCATTTTAATTCAATTATATTATTTTCTAGAATTTGAAATTATTTTTTTATGAAAATAATTGAATTCCTGTGAAATTTTTATTATTTATAAAAATAATTAAATGTTTGCATATACAATTTTATTAAATTTTTTTTTCAAATAATTGAATCAAGCAATAAATAAAAAGTAAAATAATTAAAAATAATTCTTTTATTAATAAATTTAAATAATTAAATGTTCCTAATAAAACTCTATTTTTAAAAAGTGAGTGAAAGAATTTAACTTTAAAAAGAACCATAAGCACAAATACATTACCTTAACATTTAGGATAATATTTATAGAAATAAATATTTCAGCGTTTGTCAGATTATCGTATTAAGCAACAAGGAGATGAATAAAAAAATAAGAGCAGTAAAATGAATAATTTAATATAGTTGTTTGATTAATGTAGAAAAAAAAGTATAATCGTAAGTGCGCAATTTCATTTCGTTGTTATTTAGATATTATATATATAAGTTACCTCGTAAGTTACGGTAAACTAATTTTTGTAAACAAAATATGTATAAGTTGTATTTTCCTACACTGTAAAAAATTTTTGGGGAAAATTCCCCAAAATCTTGGTGACGCAATTTTAACCAAAAAAGGTAAATTTCCACCAAGAAAACTTGGGGAATTTTTCCCAAGAAAACTAGAGGAATTTTCCCTTTAAAACCTTGTGGAATTTTCCCTTTAAAACCTTGGGGAATTTTCCCTTTATAATCTTGGGGAATTTTCCCCAAAAAACGTTAGGAATTTTCCCTTTGAAATCTTGGGGAATTTTCCCCAAGAAACTCGAGGAAATTTCCCTTTAAAATCTTGTGGAATTTTCCCTTTGCATCCTTGGGAACTGTTCCCTTTGAAATCTTGGGGAATCTTCCCTTTGCAACCTTGGAAAATTTTTCTTGTAAATTCTTAGAAAATTTCTCTTTTAAATTACTTATTATGGAATTTTTCTCTTCGAACGTTGGGATATTTTTACTGTAAAATAGTACAGAATTTTTCAGTAAATTTTATCCTTTCATATTTGGGAAGATTGGTTTGTAAGGTTGAATAAATCTTAAACAAATATTTTAAATACTGTTTATTATATTAGGTACTGTCAGTGAACGATAAGTACTTCAATTAAAAGTACTACATCTGAACTTTACAACATTAATAATTAATTTTTTGCTTTCGGATCGCAAATAGTCTTTATGTAATACGAAAGTTCTCCGTTTATATTGCCTTTAGGGGGTTGATTGTCCAACAACATACTGTAAAAATAAATTATTATTTACCTTTTACAATTGACATAAAAATACATAAAAATTAAATTGAACAATAATATATTTACCAAAAACTATGAATATATAGTAGTAATGAGGTTATGACTTTTCTAATTCAATATTATATTTCATATTTTTATTTATATATTTTTAAAATAAATTAAAAAATTTTTATTTTGATTAAAATATAAAAAATACCTAAACTACGTTATCTAACTAAAATATTAAAAATTAATTGAATTCTATAAGTCAATTGTTAAATTAACATTATATGGCAAAATATGAATAACTAACTAAATTTTTTGATAAAACCAAAAATAGTTTTAAAAAACTTTACAATACAATATGTTACACTTACAATATAATTATAATATATCTTTAAAAATTATTTACCTTTTTAATAATTTTTAAATAATCCTTAAATATCGTTCTAGAATATTATTAAATATTGTCGAATTGTCCACTTCACTATTATACATAATATAACCATCACTATATATTTAATAACTTTGAATATTTTTTTCACTCAAGGTTTTACTTTTACGAAGGCTGAAAAGCAACTAACATGTAAAATCATCTTGAAAGACTTTTCGAAGAAGACTTCTTGAGAATTTCTCAAACATTCTAGCTAAATAAATTTATAAGAAAAAAACGGGTCCTGCGAGAAACTCATAAAATACGTCCCCTTGCAACGAGAAACCCTTAGGTATTGTTGGTCATCCAAAGACAAACCAGATGTGCCAAATCTTTCAAAATGAGAAAATGCTTCAAAACATTTTATACTTTTGACTAAGAGCAAAAAAAATTTAAGGCCCCTCATAGTATATATCTTTTAATAAACCTAACTATTTATAGCAATACTTTTTATAAGTGAAAAATAGTTTATAATTGTTTGTTAAACATGTTTTATTAAAAAATTTTTTACTAAAGTATTAATTGTATTTTTAAGATAAAATTTTTACTATAAGTAGAACAAAAAATTTATGTAGTTCATAGTGAAAGTATTTTTTATTATATAATTATTAAATTATTAAAATTATAATAATTGTAAAAGTTTAATTAATTTCATTTCTTTTAAATGCTTTTTCTAGTAAAAATTGTTATTTAAATTATAAATTAGACAAAGCTCATTTGTTTAAAACATTAATTTAATGAAGTATTATAAAAAAGCATTTCACTGTAATATAAATATTAATTTTTTAGCCCCTAAATCATACATTTTGTAAAAATGTTAATAATTTTGTACATGCAATTTAGTAAAAATTAACCCATTTTATAAAATTTTAAAAAGTTTTTCAACTTTGTGGAAATTTTCATTAAATTTGGGAAAATTCCACAAAGCTTTCATAAAATGACATTTTCTTACTAATATGTGGAAAATTCCCTAAAATTATATACAAATTTCCCTATAATATTGTTGAAATTTTCACTATTATGTGGAAAATTGCACAAAATTGTAGTGAAAAATTTTTTCCCCTTCGCTTTGTAGAAAATTCCCTAATATTTTATCACTTTTCCCCAAGTTTGTACAAAATTTCACTAATTTGTGGAAAATTCCCCAAAATCGTAGTGGAAATACTTTTCCCCGTGAATTTGTGGAATATTCCACAAGGAACCTCAGGGAAAAATCCCCAAATTTTTTACAGTGTACCAAATAAACACATTAACCCTCATGTGCTTGAGGTGAATCGTTTGAACTCAAAGAAAAGAATTATTCATTACCATTCACTTAGGAAAATGTTATAAAATTGTCATTAAATTCGATGTGCCTGCATATAAAACATTTTTAACTCAGTAACGTAAGTTCGAAACAATTCATTAAATTTTTATAAAAACACTTATTTTATTCAGATGCAGGTGACATATTTTTAAGTTAGTTCTTCTTTATTTGCCAGAATGGAATGAATGTTTCAAAGCTCATGACTTTAGAATAAATGTGATTTTGACCCTCTTTTATTATATAGTCAGTAAGATAATTATATAAAGAAAGTTTTTAAATTCTAACGCAGATTGATATATTCTTTCTTTAAATGCTAACTGAAGATTTGTAAACCAAATTTTTTGAAATTAAAAATGGAATTTTTTGAACAAAAGTATTATACAATTTCTAAAAGTATATTAAAATTATCAGGAGTTTGGCCATTTCAACCATTATGGTTAAAATATGTTTTAGCAACTTTTATCGTTTGTGCTTATGTCAGTCTCCTTATTCCTCAGGTATATATAATTATTAACAGAAGTCAATGTTTTATTAATAAAATAAAATATTTATTAACTATAATTCTTCTTATTCCAAAAATAACGCCCAAGTGTCCGCAAAACATTTAATTTAATCTCAAAGTAAGATTTAAATCATTTTAGTGATCATAACTTTGGAAAAATTTGTCCTAATTATAAAGGCCTCTCTAGTCTCTTTAAAGGGGTCATATACAGTCATGAGGTCAAAACAAAACCTGCGCCTCAGTTAATCTTGAAATGGGTCCTTATGGGGTTAATATCCTAGTAAAATATTAAATAATAAGAATTTCGTTTATAGTTAAATTGTTACATCAAGCTCTGGGATGAGGGAGTAGATAAAATTATGGTACGCACATTACCTCTCTTGACTACTCTCGTATATGGAACGAAATTTATGACATGTTTTCTCAATGCTGAGAAGGTAATCACAAATATAATATTATGATCAATAATAGAGTGTAAAAATAAAAAATTAGTGTAAAACTGAGACACACACTGCAAAAACAGGTGTCTCATCAAAATCGGAGGAGGTTCGAACAAGAAGACTTTCACTGTTGAAATTATCAAAGCAGTTGGAAGCATGGGTAAGGTGCAATGAATAGATCGAAGAGTCGCGCTTGATGAAAGTCGAAAAATTAATTAAAACTCGATATGTTAGTCCGTAATTCTGTTAGTCATACTCAAATAGAAACTCTTTCATCTTTGATTACTGTTAATAATAGTTGAGAGTGCTACAAGTTAAGAACATCTTCGGACAGTTAATGATATAGTAATTATTTATTATTATACACTACTAGGGGGGTCGATTCTGTAACTTTTCCACTTCCCACCATCCACTCTCACTAACCTACCTTCCACTCTCACTTTCTACCTTCCACTTTCCACTCTCACTTCCCACCTTCCACTTTCCACTCTCACCTTCCACTTTCCTACCATTAAGAGTGGAAAGTGAGAATTGGAAGTGGGAGTGGAAGGTAGGAAGTGGGAAATTCAGGTCTCGGATATTATAACATTTTCGACTACATATTTTCAAGAAATGCGACTTCTTTCGACTGATTTTCAAAAATTACGACTTTTTCGACTTTTTTTTCCAAATATAGAAATAATTTTTAGTATAAAATGAAATTTATTTCGATTTTTATATACAGTGTGAAAAATAACTACTATATAGACAAATCTTCCAAAAATGTTTTTTAATAATTTCTCGAATTAAATTTTCGAAATTTACAATTGAAAAGAGTGTCAATAAATATTGGAAATATTGTCAAAATTTAATTAAAAATAATTGATTTTTTCAAAGTGTTTGATAAAAATTTTTGAAAATCAACTTTTGAAGAATTTTAATTGCAAATTTTGAAAATAATTGAAATTGAATTCCTCGGAAGAATTTAATTTAAAAAAAAAAAATTTTATTAATATTATTTCAAATAAATTCAATTATTTTCTAAAATCTTAATGAATCCTTCGAAACAATTCAATTATTTTTATAAATTAGTAAAATTCTTTGCAGGAATTCAATTATATTTTCAAAATATCTTTAATTGAATTTCTCGGAAGAATTCAAATATATATTTTCAAATATTTCTATAAAATTGAATTATTTCCTAAAATTTTAATAATTTCTTCGAAACAATTCAACTATTTTTATAAATAAAATATACTAAATAAATTTTCAAAATTTACAATAAAAAAAAAATTTCAATAATTCAAATTTTGTAAAATTTAATTTAAAATAATTGATTTTTTTAAAAGTGTTTTTGTAATGTATTAAAATTATGAATAATAATTTAATTAATTAACAATAAAATTAAAGGTAAAATATTACACAAGAAAACTTGTAACCTTTAAAGTTTGGTAGTGGATCCCCTCCTTCCTACTTATTGTTCAAGTATAGTGAGGTGAGAATCTCTACTGTTTGGAAATAGTGGATTTTAGGGTTTTGGAATTGTTATGTAGATGCTAATAAAGTTAAACAAATTTACAAAATAATGAGAATATATTATAACTTCTAAACACTAATACAATTATCTAAATTTCCCTTATTTACTTTATCTTAAAGATTACAATCTTTATCTTCTTTTAAGTATGTGATTCTACATAATATCTATTTTCTGATGCGTAATGTGTTTATGTGCATATATTGTGTTTTAGTGTGTAAAACAACTCAGCTCACCTTTGTCATATATATTTATATATTTTCCTTTAGTTTTATTTCTTTTAGTTAATATCCTTTGTTTTTTTAACGCGCTTGCACTTTAATTAATATTTCACTTTTCATTTCATACTTTTGTCACTTTATTTTATAACCATTTATTTATTCACTTATTTTATTACTTCATCTTTATCTTGTGGTATATTATTCAGACCTTCAATTTAATTAAACAAACAAGGGCTTCGTACAATAAATAGCCCTAACTCTCCGTCTTGGTCACGCCGAGACACACGGGCAAATGCCCAGATTTCCTTGTGTCAATCGATTTTATTAATCGACATTACAGTGTTGAAATCATACTTTAGTTTATTGCACCTGCTCGTTGCCAGGCGCTTTTCTGCAAACTTGCAGTTTTAGGCAGTGGTGTGATCATGGTTCATTAACCTAGAAACACCACTCCTTAAGTTTCACAATACATTGGTATCTGAAGCCTCATTCTTTTAATTAAAGTTAAATTCTTAATCTTTTTCAATGTAAATTTATAAAAATGTGAAATATAATTAACTACTGCAATAATTGAGAGATATTATATTTTATTAATATTTAAACTCTTTTTAAACGAGATTATAACGAAAAGATGAACTAAGTATGTTTCGTTATTGTGTTTAACATGGATATTTGTATTTGTGTTAATATTTTCTTATAAACATTATATTTATATTTTGTTATCACGAAGGGATAAATTGTGACGAAGTCGGTTCGTCACAAATGCCCCCCTTTTAATAGGCTGACGTCCCTTGTCAGCTGCGGGAAAGCAATATCGAAGATCCTCTTTTGAAATTTATAGAATAGATATTACTCTTTCGAGTTTTACAAAAATCGTGTCCTTGTTTTTTTTATAAAAGTTCATCTTGGAGAAAAGTTAAGTTAAACTTCTATGGAAAGTAAGCTAACAAAATTAAATACATTTTCATTTAAAAAAAAAGGATTCCTTTAAAAAAAGGATTTTACATAAAGTATGTCTAAGTCGTTGTTTGAAGTGTTTTTTAGCTAAAATGTTTTTGTTCAACCGTTCGTAAAGATATTTATGTAGGTAATATTAACGTAACGATGACTACATAAATTGTATTGCGTGTGATTGTTACAATTAAAGAAAATTCTTTGCTTTATTTTCGAAAAGAGAAGAAAAAAAAATGTGACGACAATTCTGTTGTCATGCCCCCATTCTAATTAGGCTGACGTCCCTTGGCAGCCATTTCTAAATGCTTTTGTTCTTTTCTTTTCTTTACAATTTTTGTAATATCTTTTCGCGTTTTAAAGATTTATATCAATAGGGGTAATTTAATGTCTTGAGTTATAGTATAGTTTCAAGTTTAGTTTACATTAGAAGCAAAAAACTAGTTTTTTGTAGATTTACATATTAAGTTTGTATTGAGTACGATTTATTTTATTGTTAATATAAAAATTATGTTTTTAATATTTTCGTTGGTTGGCATATAGTTTTTGCATTTAATAAAACGAATTTTTAAGTATTTTATGGTCTAGTGTGGTAAAAAAAATGCTTTATTTTTTAATTAAACGTATCTTTTAAATAAATCATTAAAAAAAAAAAAAGAATTTTAACTTTTTACATTTTAATTGCATTTTTACCAACCTAGATATTCGTTTCCGTTAAGATATGTCATTTTTCTGAATTTTCTTTTATATTGTTTTTTTTTAAATGGAGTGACAAAGTTTATAGTTTAAAAATTTTAATTTATCCTTTCTAATGTATTTTATAAATCATGAAGTCTATATTATATATTTTTTTAGTATACAATTTTTTTTTTAATTTTGATATTAATTTCAAACGAAGAATACATAAAATATTTTTTTACTTTAAATAATACGAAAATACATAATTCTATAGTATAGAAATTTGAATTCATAACAAATTATTTTTGGAAGAGATTTATAATCATAAATTTTTTTTTTTAAACGATGATAACGAATTTATTTTTATCATTTCAATTTTAGTTTTTTTTTATAATGCTTTTATAAAATAGTTTTACATAGGTTGCAGGATATTTTTATTACATCATAAAAAGATAAAAACTTCGTTTTCGTAAAAAAAATACTTTCATTGATTAGAATATTATGAATTTTCATATTTTCCCTGAAAACTTCTGTTTAAATTAATTTTTTGAATAATAATAAAGTATTTTTTTTTACATTTGTATCGTTAAATTATTATAATTTATAGTAGCGAGAATAGATTTTGATTTTACAAAATTGTTTTCTGAACTACAAAATTTTTATCATCAAGATAAATAGTTTTAGTCATTAATTAGAAAAAGTTGACAAATGCAAACAGACTTTGTGAAATTTTTATAGTTCGTTTAAAAGACGTAAAAAATTTAAAGAAAGAATGTTTAAATATTATAATATAACACTGTTTCTTTATTAGATTTTTTATAGAAAAAAATGTAAGATTTTGATTCTTTTTATTTCATTATTAAAAAAATCTGGTCAAATAGTTTTAAGAATAAAAATTTTTCAAATTGTTTCTTATATTTTTTTCCTTTTTTTAATTTTATTTTGAGCAATTAAATGTAGTGTTTTGTATTAAAAATTTTCATTCTTTAAAAATTTCTTTGTAAGTTTATTTTAGAAATAGTGTGAATTGAATAAAGTATCTTTTTTTTAATATGAGTATAAGTCTTTTTTTAAGTTCTATTTTTTTTTTAGGCAGAGAAAATGTAAAGCATGACGTTTCTTTCTAGATTTTCTCTTACAAGAATGCTGTTTTTTTAAAAAAAAGTTAACTGTATTTTCAGTTAGAAATCAATGTTCAAAATTTTTTGGAATTTGCCTTTATATTTCGTTTGAATTGATTTACGTTTTTTTATAGTTTTTTTTTAATCAAAAAACCGTAAAATTAGATTTACGTTTTCTAAGATCAATAGTTCATTTTGATTTTATCTTTCAAGAGTATTTTCATATTAATGTTTCTAATTTAATAGTGTTAAGATTGTTAATTTATATTTGTGTTAGTGGTGTTACAACGGTTTCATAAATGCTCGAACTTTAAAGCATTCCCTTTAATATTATTTAGTGCGTCATATCTTTTTAAGGAGTTATAAAAAAAAAAAAGACGCAGATTCTAGAAGTATTTAAAGCGTATTTTAATCTGAAATTCAATATAATTTGACAAGAGCATCAATGAAACGTAATTTTTAAGTATTTCAACGAATAATATTCTTAATTTCATAATATTGTTATTAATGAAATACTTTTTGTTTTTAAATGTAGTTAATTTGGTTAATATAATAATAAAATTATACACAATTCTAGTATTATAAAAAAATAAAAATGTTAGAACATACAAGATTTCATTTTTGAAATTTGTTTAATAAATTTTTTTTTTAGTTTGATATTTTAATGGTTTTTTTCATGATGATAATTTTAAATTATTATTATAGCGTATTCCATTAGTTTAAGTTAATTATTTATATTAAAAGCATTTCCTAGGTTTATGTTTTTTGTGTTAGTTTTTGTATTTTCATTAACTGTATTATGAATAACTTATTTTTTTTACTAAATTAGTAAGCGAAATTATTTTAATAGAGTTGTTTGTCTTTATTTAACATTTTATTTTTACTGTTAAAAATATTTTAACTTTTTTTTTGCTCTACGCGAGAATAAAATAGTATATATAATAAAATAAAATACAATAAAAAAATAAATGTCAAACCCAATTAATTTATATATTTATATTACAATTAGTGTATGAGGTTTGTAAGGAATAAGTAAGTTTAAGATTTTACCCAAGAAAATTGTTAAATATGTTTCATGCTTAAACTACCGTGTGGTTGGCAGAATTTTCGTAGTAGACAATTTTTGCTGAGTTGTGGTGTTTAATAACATGACCTTCTTCTTTATTTCTGTGTTTATAGTGTCTGCTTTTATTTTTAAGTTATGTATATTTGTTTTATTTCTTATTTTTCTCTTTCTTATTCGTTTTGAGTAAAATTTTATGGCAAAAATGTTTTTGACGTTCTTCTTCTTCAATTGTTCTTCCACTTCTTTCTTGATCCGGTTTTGTCTCGTTTAGTTCTTGACTAATTTCAGATTTTGAAATATTATTTTCTTGCTGTGAAATTTCGTCATCATGACAACTATAATTCTTCAATTCACTCATTTCTTCTGATTCGCTTTTATTGTTGCTTCTTTCCGAATTTTTCTTTTGTAAAGATTTCTTTTTATTCTCTTTCTCTCCTTCGAACACCTTGCTGTCACAAACATGAGTTTGATTTTTCGCTAATGACAAATCGAATCTTCTAGTTGAGTCCACCATTTTCTTATTTGAAAATTCTTCATTGAGGCTGATATTTTCTTCGTTGTCCAAAGTATCTATAATAGGATTCATATACACTGATGTTTGTTCTTCCTCTAGAGACTTTTCTTCATTTTGAATAGCTTTCTTGTTGCTTGATTCTTCTTTTTCTGTTGCGAGCTGTGGATAATTGGCGAAAGATGAAACACCATATTTTAGTTGTTTTTCGTCCTCTAAAAGAGTTTGGTTTGTGGTCGAATCCTTGAAACGAATTTGTGGTATTATAAAATCATAATATCATATGCTTTATTAAATTTTGGTCTGTTTTCTTTTAAATAATTTATGTCGCAACAATCATTATTAAAAGATCGATCCTCACCAATCATATAAGATTCTTCGTAATCAATATATCTATTTTCTCTATGTTGCTCTCTTCTGTAACCATCCTGTATGTTGTTGTATCTTCTGTAGCCGTTTCGAAATCTGTTTACATGTTTCTCATTACCAAATCTGTGTTGTGAATTTCTGTAATCGACATTATACTCGTCAAAATTGTGATCATAGTTATAACAATTTGCTCTTCCATAATCATGCGAATCTATGTTCCTTTTCTGTCCATTTTCTCTGAAACTCTTGTCCCTATTTTGATTTTTAAATTTATTGTAGTCTCTATTTTTTTCTATATTGTTGTCTCTGTCGTCGGTTCCATTCTTGTTGTTGGTTCCCATATTCTCGAGTCCTGTTAACGTGTTGATAATCCTTTATTTCAACATCAAATCCCATCGACTTCCATCTTTCTATGTGGCCTCCTAGTAACAGTTCCTCATACAATGTGGACATTTTGCTTCAATACATAATTCGAACATAAACAATGAATAAAAAATGACTTATTTTAACTTTTCGCAATATAGAACATTTTTTGTGATTTAAAATCTTTAATGAAATTCCTAAGTTTTACAAATTTTAATTCAACTTTTGCATTGATTTGAAATTACTAATTTTGTATATTTTTTGGTTATTAATTTCGTTTAAATATTTTTCTCATTTGTCAGGTATGAATTTTATTGAGAAAAAAATAACTTTAAAAAATTATATATTTATTTAATTTATATAAAAGTAAATGAGTTTTTTTTGTCTACACAAGCATTTCTTTCGATGTTTACTTCCTACTGACCTAGTCACCTGAGGTGTAATCTGACACAGTGTCGCGTAACCAAGTTCGTATACCCATCGAATCTTATACACTGTCTCTCTATATTTTATTTATATTACATATTTTTCATGACCCATAAATATAAATCAAAATAATTTTGTATCAATTTTTCATTAATTATTAATTTCTAACGATATTTATCTAGTATTCTTTTATTTTATCTTCATTGATGTTCTTAGTCACTTTTTTATTTCCTTTCAGCTCCAAACCTAGTCTTGCTCCTCCGATTTCTGTTCCTTTTATTAATTCTGTTGCATTAGTTTTTCGTCTTTAGTTTATATTGCTTATGTTGAAATAGTAATTTTCTTGTTATAAAATTTAATCGCCATTTTCTTTTTATTAGACCCTTAATTTTCGATTTCTTTTCATTTAAAACATATAAAGCTGTGTAGTATATTTTTTAATAAATTGATTTATTTAACCGAATAAGGAAATTTTTTTTTAAATTGTTATTTTGCGCGATTACATTTTTTTGGAATTTTAAACCCCTCACTTGCCCAAGTGGCTACACACTTTCGGCAAGGTTATTCGGGGGAGGGGCGCGATTTATTAAAGAAATCACACTTGTCGATACAAGTGTAATTACTGGTCCCCTACAGTCCGACGTTAGCGAACTGCTTTAGCTACTACCCACACTTTCTCTAAGCATATGTTTTTTTTAATATATTTCATTTGTCTGAAAAAAGTTTAAAATGTATTAATAGTCACAATATAATTTTCATTCATATAAATTGCATCAAAGCAAAATTTCTCAAGTAAAAAAAATGTTGTGTAAGTGTAACTTCTGTTTTTTTTTGTACCTACAACTTTTAAAAATCCAAAATCCACTATTGCAAAAGTAAAGGAGAGTAATCCCACCTCACTACTTGAACAATAAGTAGGAAGGAGGGGATCCACTACCAAACTTTAAAGGTTACAAGTTTTCTTGTGTAATATTTTACCTTTAATTTTATTGTTAATTAATTAAATTATTATTCATAATTTTAATACATTACAGTTTTGATAAAAATTTTTGAAAATAAACTTTCAAAGAATTTTAATTGTAAATTTTGAAAATAATTGATTTCTCAAAAATTTTAATAAAAAATTTTCAAGTGTAAATTTAAAAATGGTAATTAATATGAAAATTACCTACAAAAAAATTATATTAAAATATTTTTGAAAAAAATAATTCTTAGAATTTTTGCATTCTAATGTTTTTTTAAAATTCAATTATTTTCAATATTTTCAAGTACAAATTTCCAAAAATTCAAATACATACAAAAAATAATAACATTACAATTTTTTACAATTTAACATTTTAACAACATATGACTTTTTTTAGATTTATTAAAATTTTGGAGAAATTGCGTTTATATTAATAAAATTAATAATTAAAATTCTTTAAAAATTCAGTTAGTTTTTTAATAGAATTTATCAAATTTCAATTGTTTGGAAATTTTTCAATTCTATATATAACTGAAAAACTATTATCTTTCATAAATTATTTTAAAAATATTTTTGAAAAATTAATTTTAAAAATTTCTTTATTACAATTTTTTGAAAATTAATTAATAACTCAAAAAACATGGACAGTTAGAATCATTATAAAGAACTGAATTTTTGTATTTAAATAATAAATCTGTTTATATATTGTGGCCTTAAGGTCACAATATAAACAGATTTATATGACAAAAATTAAGGCCCTAAAAACATTCTAAGTTGTATTTAAATAATTGAATTTTCTAAGAATTTTCGGAAAATTATTAAAAATAATTGATTTCGAGAAGAAGTTTGATTAAAAATTGTAGAAAATAATTGAATTTTTAAGGGAATTAAAGTTGTAATTTTTAGAAGTTATTAAATTTCAGAAGGTTTTAAATAGAAATTTTTTTAATTTTATTCCCGTATAAAAACAAACAAGAAGTATTTAAATATTTATTTGACGAAATTATTCAAGTTTTAAATAATTAAATTTAGAAATCAGTGAAAGATCAGAAGAATAAAAAATAAAATTTTTGTGACGACACTGAATTATATAAACGACTTTTTCGACTTTTTTTCTATTTTAAATCGACGAAAGCCATTTTTTTGCACTTGGAAATTAGAAATAGAAAGTTGAAGGTCGAAAGTGAGAGTGGAAAGTGGGAAGAGAGAGTGCATAGGGGGAGGTAGGAGTGGGAAGTGAGAGTGGAAAGTGGGACGTGAGAGTGAAAAGTGGAAGGTGGGAAGTAAAAGTATGGATGGTGGGAAGTGAAAAAGTTACAGAATCGACCCCCTGTAGAAATAAATATAATATATCATTCAAATATAGATAAAAAGTATACTAATGAATATGAAAAGTCATTCTGACTTATTGTCAACTGAAAACGAATTTAACGAATTTCTTAAATACTGCCAACGAGGAAGAGAATGTACCAAAATTTATGTAGGTATGTACAATGTGTGTATTAATCAAACTTATTTTTTAATCTATTATTTATTTAATTAACTATTATATTAAGTGATTCTTTGAATTATCAATGTATTAAATTTGCAGGTTACGTATTTTTTACCACGTGCTTGTATGTATTTATGCCACTAGTACCATGCTTACTTGACCAAATACACCCTCTTAATGAAACTCGTGAAAGAGTTTTTATTTATGAACTTGATTATGGATTTGATAATAATGAAGATTACTTTTATATTATACAACTTCACATATACATAACCGCATATGTGAAAATTTCTTCTGGATTTAATTTTGATGTATTATTCTTTTTATTTACTCAACATGCTTGTGGTTATTTTGCTGCCTTGGGGTAAATTTTTTCATAAACATCTTTACTGTATTTTTGCTCGAAAGGTTTAGCTAAAAAATTAAATTACAATCTATATTTCATTTACTAAAACTGTTACCTATAACTTTCTGTTAGGTTCTGTCTTTCAGATTATTTATTATATATTGTCTTCCCTATTAGGTTCTGTGTACTAATTTTTATAACCTTAGTAGATAAACAGTTTATATGCAATTGTCTGTACATGTTTGTGAATATTAATAATTTTATTTTTCTGTAGTCAGAAACTAGAGAATTTAGACAAGAAAATACCTAAAGAAAAGCATAGTATTGAAAAAGAATATGATATAGTACATCAAGAAATTTCAACATGTGTGCAAAGACACTGCACTGGTTTAGAGTAAGTGCGCAGGGTTATTCTACTTTAAAGATTTCGAGATTGTAACCTAGTTTTCAAATTTTATTAATTCTTTTCATTTTTTATACCAGATTCCTCTCTGTAATTGAATCTCTGTTTGCAATTTCCTTTTTAATCCAAATACTAATCACTGTTGTCATCATAAGTCTTATTGGAATACTGGTAAAGATGTTTTTTCAATACTCTATCAATGATGGAAATTAATCCAAATATGATAATGAATTGACAATGTAATATGAATTCTTTACAGGTTATAATGAACTTAGATAAACCACACGAGGCTGTCAGATTTGTACTATTTGTTGTTGCTCATTCGTTTAGTTTATTTTATGTTAGTTTATCATCGCAACGACTAACGGATAAAATTAGTTTACTTTTTAAAAATGTGTAAGTAAATAAATTAATAAAATAAACTCAAAAAAGACCAGATGAATAACTAAAAACTATTTATCAACTATTTATCATTTTGAAGATATTTCTGTCGATGGTATGAACTTCCAATAAAATCAAGAAAAATGATACTTCAAATATTGACGAAAACAAAATACACGTACAAAATTACCGCTCTTCAAATTTATTCTATTGAAATAGAAAGCTTTTCTGTGGTAAGTTAATTTAAGTTTTATTTTTCATTTTATATAAATAATGATGTTTTTTTTTTATTTTTTTAATTTAAAAAAGAAATTTTTTTTTTAATTTTTTATTTTATTTGAGACATTATATATAAAATTTTGTCATGAAGTTTGGGATACTTTTTAAATTAGATAAAATTTTATCTTTCGAAAAAATACGCATACTATGAAAATCCATTGAAAACCTACAGGATTAGAAGCATTTGTAAATAAAACTTTTTGATTTACTATTATTCCGAGTTAAATTGGAAATAATAGAAACAAAAGATGTTTTTTTACGGTTTCGACAGATCGGCTGCCCCCTTCAGCAACTACAATTTATTAAACAATAAAAATTAGCAAAATACATATTTAAATAATACTTTTAACAGATCAATTACCTGATTTGCTACCAAGATTCATAAAATTAGGTAGACGTTAATTTTTCCTGTTAATATTAACATAATAGGGTGGGGATAAGTTAGCATTTAAGTTTAAGTGTAAACTACAAAGGAGAATGTGGATTTATAGATAGGATCCAAAGAAAAAAATTTGTCATAAGCACCACACAAAATATTACAGAACATTTCAACGACGTCATACACATTGTTTGTATTTAGTTCTTGTTTCCAATTTATTGAGTTGAAGTAAGTGAATATATATTTTAAAAACTAAATCTCAGTATTTAAATGCTGTCCTTTCGGTTTAACGGAATTTTGAAAAGTCGTGCGTGGTCGTGTCATTTCTATCAAATATTTTTAGTTCGTGGTAAATTTAAAATATATTTTCAAACTTTTTAACAAAATTTTTTACATTCTGGGATTGAAGAGAGAAATAATTTTACTTTTACAGATGATTCGCGCGTCAATGTCTTATTTCACAATGCTTTCATCGATGAGATAAAATCTTAATTATAATCTATATTAAAATACAACTAAGATGTGGTAAGTACGACTATACCAGATACACGTAAAATTATACAATCTTTAAAAATTAATAACTTATTTTAATCACAGATAAAAATTTTTGGAGCAAGAGAAACAGTTTCTTACACATCACACTATTTGATTTTGTATTATTATTTTTAAATTTTATATTAGAATTATTATTTCGTAATTAGACAAATAAATTGTATTCATAATGTATTTTACAAAAACTGTAATATTAAACACTTATATAATGATCCTTCTATCAGAAATTGTAAACTCTTAAGTCTTCTTATTCCATGATTGTTAATAAATTTTTAAAGTTGCTCTGAAATATAAATATGTTTAATTTAAAAATTATCATGGTCTGATAAAAATTTTCTCTCTTAAATTATCTCTATACTTTAAAAAATTCAATTATTCAATGACCAGTAGATTTGAAAGTAAAAAATTTATTCGAAATGTAGTATTCTTTTCAAGACGCATGAAATAAAAGATTAAATTTTTGAATTTTATTTTTTCAAACTCACATTTTAATATTATTTTCTATGAAAATAATCTCATTTACTGATATACTGGCAAGAACGATCTCAACGTTTAATTAAGAAAAAATTCTCGGAAAGAAAATAATTTATAGAAGATTATTATGATTGGAAAAACTTATGTCGCAAAAAAACTATAATATGGTGAATTTAAAGTCAATTTCTAGATTTCTTGGAATATATAATTTATTCCGTAAACTTTATTAAAACCTATAAAACTTTATAGAAAGAAAGTTTCAAATCATTTACTTTCATATATACCATTTACATTTTCTAAAGTTTAATTCAGAACAGTAATTTCTTAATCAAAATTTATAAACCACAAATTCAGTTCAATTTATAGTAAGATTTTTGTTAAGAAAATAAGATAGTTATTTCAATGAAGTAAGGGAAACTTAAGTTTCTCACGGCGATGAGTTCTAAAATTGATATCGATTATTATAAAACTTTCTATAGAATAAATGAATATCTACTGTGTTTGATTGGATGTTGTCCACATCAAAATAAATTCATGCAACGAACTATTACCGTTTTTCATTGGTTTAGTATTCTAAGCTTTCTTGTGGCACAGGTATTTTTTCTTAATATTAATTTAAGAATATATTTTTTTAAAAATATAGTTGCGTATTTTTTGACCATGTTCTTAATCAATTTGGATGTTAAATCTTTGTTTACAAATGTTGGTACATACCAGACTGGCTCTTAAAAATATTGATAAACAATATGCTACCAACTGTTTGCGCAGACATTGTTATTACCGATTATGACCGATTATGTTGTTATTTGTTTACTATATTTGCATAAAATTATAATCTAGGGTTAAAATTAAGATAATCTACCTAGATCTTTGTTCTTTTCTTTCTAACTTTTTTGTATAGTTAATCCACATGCCACTAGGTACATTGACAGATCTAGGTAAATTATTTTAGGTTAAAATTTACTAATATTAATGCAATGCACAAGATTGCTATTCGACTACATTGATGTAAGTTTTAATTTTTTTTAAATTCTTATTAGACAATAGCTATAGTAAAATACTGGGATGAAATGGAAAAACTAATTCAGTTCTTTCCAACCTATTTAGTGAGCCTCATGAGTGTAAACTACTTAATAGCTTGTAGCAGTAAGGAGAATGTAAGTAGTGCTTTACAAAATTTTTTTATTGGCATAAACACACACATTTTTTTACTATATTATAGATAGAGGAGCTTTTAGTGAAAATGAAGAAAAATTGGTTTATTTGGAAATCCGAAAGGGAATTTAAAATTCTTCATGAACACGATCTTCAAGGTAGAAAGTTCATCATCACATTTTTGGGTAAGACATTTAATGATATAATTATTTCCATCTTCGTCACACTTGGAATTTTATCAAAAACAAAATAATTCAAAATTATGGTAAACATATTCGTATCCCACGATCAGAATTTTTTTTTTTGCGTCATTACATTATTTTGTAATGGGTTTTTCAGTAATTTAAAAATATTTATAAACATAAACAATCGACGACCAACAAATTATTATAAATGATATAATAATAAAAAGAATTTTATTTGGAACATATTTTTGGAACACAATTTTATTTCTTGCAGTTGTTATTTGCACATGTTGGTTTGAATTTCTTTTAGAACCACTATGTCCATTAATTATGGATATCATAATGCCATTAAATCAGTCTCGTTCAAGAAAATTCAACCCAGTGGTAGAATATTTTGTAAATCAAGACGACCATTACTTTTGGATCACACTACATACTTGTCATACTAATACAGTAATGATTACAATTATTTTTAGTACAGATGCAATATTTTTGGCTTTTCTCTATCATGCATGTGGTGTATTTGCAACATTAGGGTAAGAAAAATTAAGAATTCTACAAAAAAAAATTATATCAAGTATATAGTTTCGTTTGGATATAAAATAACAGAAAAAATTATTAAATTCAACCCTTTTGGTATGTTCGCAAAGTATAAATATAAATAAAAAAAAAATTTAAAAACTAATATAGTAAATTACAAAATAATAACAAAAACAGAATATGTAACAATCCAGAATATATTTTCAGTTATAAATTGAAAAATATCGGCATAAAAAACTGCAATGAACGAAATAAAATGCGAGAGATTAAATTTTGCGCTGAAGTGCATGACTCACTTTTATCGTAGGTATACAATTTTAAATTTATTTTTAAAAAAATTATTTCTCGCCTTCATATTTAATGTTAAAAATACTGCTTTTTTAAAAATTATTTAATTATTATTTAAAAATAATTTTTAAATTTTGTTTATTTCAAAATTATTTAACTAGAATTTTTATTTGACATTTAAAAAAATTTCTAGATTTCTTTAAATATTTAAATATTATTTATAAACTTTAGATTTGTAACCCGTATCAGCAAATGTTTTTCAACTTTATATTTCATTGTCGTATGGTGTACTATAATTTTAATTATTACTTTTGGAGTTCAGGTAAAAAAAAATCCTGCATAACTATTTTATGTAAAATGAAGAAAAATCCGGAAAAATTCTTCTTTTATTTCTAAATGTTTTATTTTACTTTTTACTGATTTCAGCAAAAGTTATTAAAATTTTAATTATAAAATAATTATTTTTATTATAGTTAATGACGCATTTGGAGCAACTAAAAATTGAAAACGTACACTTGAGATTGATATTTGGTCATCTATTTCACGTTTTCTGTATAAATTACTCCTGTCAACGTTTAACAGACCATAGTTTTCAACTATTTAGAAACATGTAAATTAACTATAGTATATTTTTATAAAAATTCGATTTTTTATTTATTTTATTTTAATTAAAATTTTTAGCTACAATGGATATTGGTATGAACTCTCAAATGATAATCAGAAAATATTATTAATAATAATGATTAGAAGTACGAAGATTTATAAATTTACAGGAGCTAAACTATTTACATTTACAATATCAAACTTTCCCACGGTTAGTGAAAATAAAGAAATAATAAAATATTTTTTAATTAAATTTATCGTTTATTACTTTTATCAATGATATATTAATTTTTTTTTTTTACAGATTTTGAACATGTCTTTACATTATTACAACATTTTTAAATACATAGCTGACAACAATTTTAATCCTATACTATTGAAAGGGAACGAAACAAAAGTACTTGTTGAATAGTTTTTGCACAAAATCTATTGTATAATGTATATTAAATTAATTGAATTTAATTTAAAATATTTAAAAATCTCATTAAAAAAAGTTTTAGATAACAATAAAAGTTTCTTGAAAAATATTAATTTTTGATTTAAGTTAATTATATTAATTTTTTATTTTTCGTCCTCCATATTCGATCCGCCATTTTGAATTTGAAACATTAAAAATTTCGTATTCAACATGGCGGACGCAAAAATTAAAAATTAATCGAATAATTGGATCGATATAAATTTTTTTTAATTCAATGTGAAATTATTGATTTATAGTTAAAGAAACTAAAAAAATATTTTATTATAAGAAAAATTTTTGCGAAACTTTTATCAGCAGTATAGGTTTATTTTATATTCTTACGCGTATTTTTCTTTTCTGTATGTATTTTTTATTAAAAATTTTTTTTAAATGAGATAAACATTTGATACTCACGAATATGTATTTAAAAAAAGCGTGCTTGAAAACAAAATTTTAAAAATTTTGCTATTATTTTGCCATTTTTTTTAGCTTTATGTTTATTTTTTATTAACTTTTTACGTAACGCGATATTTTTCAGTTCAGTTATAAATAAAGCGGTAAAGAAATATTTTTTTCATTATTATCCACGTGTATCAAAAACTTCACATCAGTTTTGGGTAAGAAAAACTGATTTACTATAATAAATCGCACGATTATAAAAATAAAAAATTTTGAGAAAAATCCTAATTAAAAAATAGAAATTATGTAAATTTTTTTTCACTTTTAGAAAAATATTTGAAATTGAGAAATAAAAATGAATACAAAACTACTTCCTTCTTTAAAAAAAAAATCGATCTTTATTAAAAAATTGTCATTAGGAATTGAAATTTTGCAGAATTTTTTTTTTCTTTTAAAAAAAACTCATAATTTTGTAAAAATTAAAAAAAATTTGATTTTAAATTAATAAATTAATTATCCCTTCCGTGCATTAAAATTACTTCAAAATTGTTACGTGAAGGTTTTCGGGCTCGCTGATTATAATACGAATCCGTTGTTAGTATTTGGAAATTTAAAATGGCAGATTCAATATGACGGACGAGATTTTTAAAAATTGCATGAATTTGCTTCAAAATTGCTACACGATGATTTTTGGAGTCGCTAATTACGAATTCAATGTCAGTTTTTAAAAATCCAAAATGGCGGAAAAGATTTTCAACAATTGCTTAAATTTACTAATGAATTCCTATTCGGCGGGATTTTATATGTCGCTGATTACGAATTTTTATGTCTGTTTTTAAAAATTAAAAATAGCGGATTTAATATTATGTGACACGGACGCAGTTATAAAAGGGACCTACGATCCGAAAAAAAGATTTCGAGAAAAACGACTTTGAAGTTTAGCAAATTGATTTTGATACTTGTGAACGTTTTAATAAATTGAAACTCGTTACTCGGGGGTTATTGGAGTCGCTGATTACGAATCCGATGTTAGTTTTTAAAAATTCAAAATGGCGGAGCCAATATGGCGGATGACTTTTTTAAAAATTGATCGGATTCGCTTGAAAGTCGTTACTCGGGGGTTTTTAGGGTCGCTGATTATAAATCCGATGTTCGTTTTTCAAAATTCAAAATGTCGGTTCTAATATGGAGGAGAAAATTTAAAATTTGTTCGAATTCGTGTAAAACTAAAAAATTTCGTTGACACCGAAAACGAGGTTACTGATTAATAATCCGATGTTCGTTTTCCGAAATTCAAAATGTCGGATTCAATACATATATAGTGGACGTAGTTTAAAAAAATGTTTGGATTCACATATTAATTTATACTTTAGGGGTATTTTGGGGTCGATGATTAGGAAACTGATGGGTTTCTGGGGCATATGTAAGGGGCCGTTCATAAACTACTATAAACCCCCGAGTAACGAATTTCAAACGAATCCGATCAATTTTTAAAAAAGTCATCAGCCATATTAGATCCGCTATTTTAGATTTTTAAAAACTAATATCATATTCGTAATCAGCGACCACAAAAACCCCCGAGTAACGATTTTCAAGCGAATCCGATCATTTTTTAAAAAAGTCATCCGCCATATTGGATCCGCCATTTTGAATTTTCAAAAACTAACAACGGATTCATAATCAGCGACCCCGAAAACCTCCGAGTAACGAGTTTCAAGCGAATTTGATTAATTTCAGAAAAGTTTGTCAAATTTGATTTTGTTGTATTTATTTTTGTCAAAGTACCTAACTTTGAAGTGAAATTGTGAAAAAACTAATGCAGCTAGAAAGCTGCGGTTTAATGCGTTGGAAAGAGCGGCCTATTTACTATAAGAATCAATAAAAAAATGAAAATCGATTTTTTTGGACCGTAGGTCCCTTTTAACTGTCCGTGTCACATTATATGAACTAATCTTTGCCAGTTAAAAAAACGACCGCTATATTGGATTCGACATTTTGAATTTTATAAATTTCAAAAATCTGACATCAAATTCGTAATCAACGATTTTTTTCAATCTGACATCAGATTTATAATCAGAAACCCCAATAAGCGCCGAGTAATAATTTAGAAGCAATTTATGAGAATCTTGTCCGACATTTTAAATTCGTACTCAGCGATCCCAAAAACACCCGAGTACAAATTTTCAACAAAATCCAATCTCTGGATTACCCGGATTCCTACTGAAAAGAAACGACCGTAAATATGACTGTGAATACGACCCTAAATACGGGCATAAATATTAGTAGGGTGGTGTAATTGAAACAGTAAATACAGCCGTATTTATGCCCGTATTTAGGGTCGTTTTTACGGTCGTATATAAATACTATTTTTTTCCATATACATTTAATATAATATTTCTCTAAAATAATATATTTTTTCAGATAAGTATTAAAATGTAATTTATTCTTAAATAATAATTTGAAATTTTAAAGCGTTCAAATAAAAGAAATGCAAAAAAACAATTTAAGGATATATGTTAGGAATGAGGATAATATTATTTAACAGTAGTAGAAGATGATGTTTTATTACTATTATAATTATAATAATTGTTATTTAACATATAAAAAATATAACACAAACAAATATAATATATAGGTATATCACCTTATTTTACTCACAGCCACAAAAATACATATAATACAATTTTTGTAAAGAAAATAAGAATTTTTACAAGTTTACATTTATTTTCACAATATACTAGATTTTGACAGGTTAATAGCTGTCAAAAAATTTATGATTTACGAAACAATCGAAGTTTTTGTTAAGAAACGAAGTTGAAAAACAAATTTGATCAACCGACGCGACGCGAATCACACGCAAGTAAACACTGTTAGTCAAGAAGGTTAGGTATACAGAGATGGGAAGTTACGTGTTACTTGAAATATTAATAATAAATATATTCATAATATATTTATCAATTACTTAGATGTATTTAACAAGCTTAAACACTTTTTAAAAACAAAAAAATTGGTTAATTTTTGTTTGCTATTATATTTATTAATTATTATTAATATTTCAAGTAACACGTAACTTCCCATCTCTGTATACCTAACCTTCTTGACAACAGTGTTTATTTGCGGTGTTGTGATTCGCGTCGCGTCGGTTAAACAAATTTGTTTTTTAACTTCGTTTCAGTTTTTTTGTAAATTATAAATTTTTTGACAGCTATTAACCTGTCAAAATCTTATCTAGTATATTATGAAAATTGTGAAAATAAATGTAAACTTGTAAAAATTCTCATTTTTTTACAAAAATTGTATTATATGTATTTTTGTGGCTGTGAGTAAAATAAGGTGATATACCTATATATTATATTTGTTTGTGTTATATTTTTTATATGTTAAATAACAATTATTATAATTATAATAGTAATAAAACATCATCTTCAACTACTGTTAAATAATATTATCCTCATTCCTAACATATATATCCTTAAATTGTTTTTTTGCCTTTCTTTTATTTGAACGCTTTAAAATTTCAAATTATTTAAGAATAAATTACTTTTTAATACTTATCCGAAAAAAATTATTATTTTAGAGAAATATTATATTTAATGTATATGGAAAAAATTAGTATTTATTTACGACCGTAAAAACGACCCTAAATACGGGCATAAATACGGCTGTATTTACTGTTTCAATTACACCACCCTACTGAGGCTCGTATTTAGGGTCGTATTCACAGTCATATTTACGCGCTTATTTACAGTCGTTCCTTTTCAGTAGGGGAAGCACGTAAGGCTTATATTAAGAATATTGATTTCGGAAATTAGAAAATAATGTTTCAGAATTACAAAATCGTAATCAGAAATACCTAAATGGGTTCAGAAAATGTTTGAAGGGTGTTCTTTAATTAATAAACATGGCAAAATAGCCCAAAATAAATTTGTTAAATTTATAGTTAAAGAAACTAAAAAAATATTTTATTATAAGAAAAATTTTTGCGAAACTTTTATCAGCAGTATAGGTTTATTTTATATTCTTACACGTGTATTTTACATTTCTTTTCTTATATGTATTTTTTATTTAAATTTTTTTTTTAAATGAGATAAACATTTGATACTCACGAATATGTATTTAAAAAAAGCGTGCTTGAAAACAAAATTTTCAAAATTTTGCTATTATTTTGCCATTTTTTTTTAGCTTTATGTCTATTTTTTATTAACTTTTTACGTAACGCGATATTTTTCAGTTCAATTATAAATAAAGCGGTAAAGAAATATTTTTTTCATTATTATCCATAAGTGTATCAAAAACTTCACATCAGTTTTGGGTAAGAAAAACTGATTTACTATAATAAATCGCACGATTATAAAAATAAAAAATTTTGAGAAAAATCCTAATTAAAAAATAGAAATTATGTAAATTTTTTTTTTCACTTTTAGAAAAATATTTGAAATTGAGAAATAAAAATGAATACAAAACTACTTCCTTCTTTAAAAAAATAATCGATCTTTATTAAAAAATTGTCATTAGGAATTGAAATTTTGCAGAATTTTTTTTTTCTTTTTAAAAAAAAACTCATAATTTTGTTAATTTAAAAAAATTCGATTTTAAATTAATAAATTAATTATTCCTTCCGTGCATTAAAATTGCTTCAAAATTGCTACATGATGATTTTTGGAGTCGCTAATTACGAATTGAATGTCAGTTTTTAAAAATCCCAAATGGCGGAAAAGATTTTCAACAATTGCTCGTATTTAGGGTCGTATTCACAGTCATATTTACGCGCTTATTTACAGTCGTTCCTTTTTAGTAGGGGAAGCACGTAAGGCTTATATTAAGAGTATTGATTTCGGAAATTAGAAAATAATGTTTCAGAATTACAAAATCGTAATCAGAAATACCTAAATGGGTTCAAAAATTGTTGAAGGGTGTTCTTTAATTAATAAACATGGCAAAATAGCCCAAAATAAATTTGTTAAATTTTCCAATTGACAAATGTCCAATAATTAAATATTAGTTTCGGAAGTTATAAGATAGGTTTGAGTCTGGACTAAAAAGTGTTGGTAAAATGTCGGTGCAGGAATCTGTTGATATAGGATTCTCTATAATATGTATATCTACTACTTGTAGTAGGTTATTATATAGTCTAATTTTTAATTCCGATTCTATCATCGGTCATTCAGCATCGGTCCCTGATTTTTATATAAAATTATTAATAATAATTTTTTCTGAAATAATAGCGTTCAGTAACTGTTCTGCACTTATTATATCACTACAACGTAAGTCTTCTAAGTAATCGTAATTTAAAAAATGTTTAAGGATACCACGTCTATTCTCCTTCAATTTCTTGTTAACGTTAATAAAATTATTTATTAACAAAATGACAAATTGCAAATCACTGTGCATTTATTTCACGATTTTCTACATTCTGTCAGTATCCATTAAAAATGCAATCTCTATGGATTCAGGCGATGATAATGAATCAGGTACGTGTGAACTAAATTTAAAACCGATTAATACTGATGTTATATTATTATTATAAGATAATTTGCCTAGATCCAGTAAGGGTTCTGGTGAAAAAATCATATCTCCATCCTCTTATCTTACTAACGTGATTTTTAGTTAGGCCACATGCCACCAGAACCCTTGTCGGATTTAGAGGAAATTATCTCAGTTATTATATACTATGGTATACATTATACTACATAACTATTATATTACATATTAAATATACAATTACCCGGATTTAATCCGGATTAGTCCGAAATTTTTATCAGGGATATAATATGATTCGGATGGCCGTCTATCATACCGGATTCTTAGCATACATATTTCGGATTGTTTCGTACTTGTTTCGGAATAGGATTTTGCCACACTTAATTTCAAATTGTTGCGGACTAATACCGGATTTCTTGCTTACAGAGTTCGGATTGCTCCGGACATTTTGCGGATTAAGTTTTTTTAACTAGATTAAACTCGGATTGTTGCGGACTGATTCCGTATTCTTTACATATTGATATCGGATAATTCCGTACTTATTTTAGAAGAATTCTTCAACGGTCATAAATTTGGATTGTTACGGATTAATAACGGACTGAATTCGTAGACATTCAGGATTACTCCGGAGTGTTTTTGAATTCAGGTTTTTGTTCGGATTGATATCAGACTAATGCGGATCATTTTCGGACCTTTTTCGTACAATTTTTGGACTAATCCGTACTAATCTGTCTGTATTTAATCCGGAATTAGTCCGAAATTTTTACCAGGGATGTTACAAAAATTCTATTTGTTAATAATAACTAAAATAGTATATTTAAATATTTTATAAAGTAAATATAATAATAATAATAATAATAATAATAATAATAATAATTTAGTATTAACTATATTAATTTGAATGTTCTTTCATTCTTTCATTCACTTTTTCTGTCCCTCACACTCTGAAGTTGTCTTTTGTTTATACTTTTGTTTTTTTGTTAACTTTAGATAGAAAATAGAAATCATCAGAATTTTTTTTTACTTCGTTTCATTAAAAGACTAAAATTTTGTTAAATATTATGTTATATTATGTTTTGTCAAATTGAAATTATTTCTTCATGTTTTCTAATAAATTAAAGATGACCGAGAGAAAAAATCATTATTTTACATTATAAGAATATTGTTACTGTAACTTCATCAAATTTTCATCATTTTAATTAAATTATTATTTTCTAGAATTTTAAATTTATTTTTTATGAAAATAATAATTGAATTCCTTAAAAAATTTTATTATTTATGAAAATAATTGAATTCCTTGTGAAATTTTAATTATTTTATGAATTATTTTAATGAAATGTTTGCGCAGAATTTCAATAAAATTTTTTATAATTGAATTCTTTGGAAAAATTTTAGTAGATATTATAAAAATCATTGAATTGAGGAAAATTTTTGAAAATAATTGAAATTTTTGCCGAGAATTTTTTCAAAATTTTTTAAAATAATTTTGCCGAGAATTTTTTCAAACTTTTTTAAAATAATTTTGCCGAGAATTTTATCAAACTTTTCTAAAATAATTGAATTTTTGCAACGAATTTTATTTAAATTTTCAAAAATAATTGAATTCTTATTAAGAACTTTTATTAATTTTTTTGTGAAATAATTGAATTATTGCGAAAAAATTTATAAAACATTTGCAAATGATTGAATTCTTGCAAAGAATTTTATCAAAAAATTTGATACTAATTGAATTTCTTCGAAGAATTTTATTGTTTATGAAAATAATTGAATTTAGGAAGAATTTTATTAAAATTTTACATAATCTTAATTAAATTCTTTTGAAGAATTTCTCTGAGTTTCTTTAAAATAATGGACTTTCTTTAATAATTTTAATTACAAGTTTTCAAAGTAATTGAATTCTATATGAATAATTTCTTTCAAGTTTTTATAATAATCCTCTTTCTTAATAATTGAAATTAAGCATTTAATTCTTGAATTTTATTAAAAAATTTTGGAAAATAATTGAATTTTTTTGAAAAATTTCTTTAATTTATTGAATACAATCGAATTTTTTAATAATTGTATTGAAAATAATTGAATACCTGTGAAGAATTTTATTATTTATGAAAAATACTTTAATTCTTGCGATGAATTTTAATAATATATTTCTTTTTAAATAATTTGAATTCTTTTGTGAATTTTTATTGAAATAGTAGATATTAAAAATAATTGAATTTTGATATTATTGAAATTAATTTAATTCTACGAAGAATTTAATTAAAATTATTTTGAAAAAAATTGAATTGTTAAAAATTATTTCATTAAAATCTTTGAAAATTAATTTTAATCAAATTTTTAAGAATAATTACATTTTTCAAGGAATTTGATTAGAATTGTAGAAAAAATAATTGAAATTCTGGAATGATTTTTATTATTTATGAAAATAATTGAATTCCTGGTTAAAAAAATGTTATTCTTCATGAAAATAATTGAATTATTGCGAAGAAATTTATAAAAAAATTTGTAAATAATAGAATTCCTCTGAAATTTTTATTTTTTAATTAATTCATTCAAAATTGTCATTTTCTAAAATTTCAAATTAAAATTTTTTTTAAATAATTGAATTCGTTTTGGGAAATATTTTATTAAAATCGTAGATATTGAAAATCATTAAAATTAGAAAAATTTCTGAAAATAATTGAATACTTTGGAGAAGAATTTTGTTATTTATAAAGATAATTGGGATTTTTACGAGAATTTTTTTTCAAGATTTGAACATAGTTGAATTTAATAAGAAGAATTTTATTTTTTTTTTAAAGAATTTTTGCAATTATTTTTAAATTCTACAAAATTGAATTTTTTTAGTATTTTCAACAAAGAATTTAAATTAGAAAATTTTCAAATTTTATTATTTTTAAAATTGCTAATTTTATTTAAAAAAAGGTAGTAAGAAGTTAGCCGCGCGCTTTAGCGCGCGATTTGTGGCTAGTTATATTTAATAATTGAAGTACAACATATAATTTAATTTACAAATGGTACTTAGATATCAGAGATGAACCGTCCACTTCTAAGCAACAACTACATTTATTTTTAAATTCTTTTTGTACTTTTATTGCAGGAAAATTAATTAATTTCAATACACTAAGTATGATACAAACATTTTTTTTTTTATTAATAATAACTAGAATAATACATACAATTAATATTATAAAATTAAAATACAATAATACAATTTTAAAAAAATTTATTTCGTAGTCGGAGGAACATCGTCTTCTGCTTCAGATCTTGGTGCGGTTATATATTCATTCAATTCAGTTGTATTACTAATAAAATTATTTATTCTGTTCTTCAATTCATATTTCTTTTTTTTTATTACAGCGATTTTAAATAATTTTCTTCAAAAAAGTATGTTGTAAAAAATTTTCTCTCAAGTATAAATTAAAATTAAAATATCAGGAATTAATAATCTACTTAATAATTTTATTAGTTAACAGCGGTGAACTTAATGTTATTAAAGGTATTAATCTCATATTTGAATCGTACTCATCAAAAACGTATACTTATTGTTTATCTAAATTTAAAAAATTGTTTTTAGCTACTCCTCTACCAGATGTTCTGGAAAGTACATCGAAACATATAGATTCACCTAAAGTAATCGTTTAATTTTTTCATTATAATAATTAGTTTTTAATAATTTAAAAAAGTATTTTTCAAAATATCACTTTAATGCTTTTTTTTTAAATTCTACAGAAATAAAAAAATTTTGTTCAATATAACAATTTTGGAAAATAAAAAATTTTGTTGACAAATTTTTTTCCGTAATAATAATATGGTGTATAAAATGATGTATATATAATTTTTAGTTGTTTCTATATTTTGTAGGTTGAATTAATGCCAGATTCGGGACTTTGGTTGTATCCAAACTTCTACAGACATATTATGTATTATATTAATAAGGAGGGAGAAGTTTTCTATGTTATATACAAATTACTTGAGTATATTTTTGGTGAGGAGAAATTACTAAAACTAACAACAGTAAGAAAACTGCCTCCTTTTGAAAAAATACCTATAGATATCATTTCTACTATGGCAGGTAAGTCTTAAAGCCGCAATAATAAATTTATAATTATTAAAAACTGTGAATAAAATTTCGGAAATAGTTATCAAAAAATGTAAATGGAATACTTATATAATTGAGAAATTTTAAATATATATCTAAAAATTCATTTTTTAGAATTTTGTAATAAATATGCGAGAAGGAAACGTACTCTAACTGAATTCGAAGCCTCGATAAACAGAGTTCTAGAATGTTATCAGGAGGAAGAAGAGTGCCGCCGACAGCTTCAGGGTAACATATATAATACATTTTACCTTAATGTTTAAATTAAAATTTTTCGAGTTTTCGTTTTCTACTGAAAGTATCTTTTGCAGGAAAAAATAAAAATAAGTAAAACCATTTTCAACATAAAAGTAATCTTAAATTTTTTTAGCTGCTTAATGAAATAGTTCTCATCTTTTAATTTTTTTAGCTGATCCTCTGCCAATTACGAAAAGTTCATTGAAAACTTCCTCAAAAGTAATTATTTCACTTTTGATTTATCACATATAACTATTTATGAATTCAAGCGGTGATTTTATTTTATAATTTGAATTAATGCCTTAGAAAGAAGTTTTGATTGATCCCAATGCTGTTGATGGTATTGTTCAAAATTCTTATGGAAATCCACGCATAATTTTGGAACAGTTACTGATTCACATTTTTGGTGAAGATAATTTATGGAAACTGTCGATAAAAGAAGAACCTCATCCATTTGAAACGATACCTAGAAACACCATGATTACCATGATTGGTGAGTTTTTGAGAAGCAAAAATTTAATTCTTCAAAACGATAAAATAAAATTTTTTTAAAAAATTGTCATTACAAAATGCAAATGAAGCGCGCCAATTGTTGCTAGTATCTTATAATGTATTTTTTAGATTTTACTGATGAACATGCGAGATCTAAGAAAAAGTATTTCGAATACGTAGACATGGTAAAAGATATATTAAATAAATATCGAACGAAGAATGAATAAGGCAAACAACAATTTCTTCAGGAACAGAAAATGTTCTTTTTCTCTTATCTTAAAAATAATTGTTAAATTTTATTGTTAATCTTAAAATGATATTGTCCTTAAGAACTGCAATGTATAAATGATGGTAATAAATCTTATTTTATGAACCTCAATTTTCTGTCTATAATTTTCTTGACTGTTAACTGATCTAAAATGTGATAATTCTCTTTTCAAAATTTTATTCTTTTATACACTAAGGCAATGCTTGTCTCCAACCAGCAAGTAATATTTTTTTAAGTTTTTTCTTAATTTTATGAAATTTTGAAAATTTAACTTGATTTACAGTCTCTTTAGGATCAGTTGTATGATCATATAATTCTTCGGCAACAATTTTTTCTGAAATAATAAAGTTTAAAAATTAAAATACAAACTAAGCTTACACAGTACGCGTCTTGTTCAAAATAATTAAATGCCCAAAATTTATAAATAAATGGTATTAAATTAAAATTAATTACTCCAAATGGGTTTAAAATTATTAGATGAGAAAGAAATCCATGCTGTATATCGGAAACGTTTTGTTCTCACGGTGTAGCCCATAATATTAATTTCCTTCAATCTTGGCTTATCACTATTTGGTTTGAAACTCGGTTCTAAACCTGGCCTTGGATACTGGCTAAAAACCGCTTTCTTCCAATTCAACTTCTGTAAATGGAATAAATTTCTATAAAGAAATTAAAACAAAGAAATAGAAGAACAAAAAAATATTATGAAATGAAAAAATTATTTGTTGATTCAATAAACTTTAAAGAAGGTACCTCACAAGTTTTTGATGCTTCGATGAGTGGTAACATGGAATAACCTTCAGTGCAAAGATTTGACTCTTCGTCATCAGAATCAATGCATGTTTTAATGGGAGTGTTGGCTAACTCCGCAATTGTTGGAAATATATCTACTAATTCCACTAATTCGTTTATCTGATTGCAATTTTTTTTTCTCACTGATTCTAAAATGTATTGATCAAAATTTTTATGGTTCAATTATTTTAATTTATATTGTTAATTTATCAAAACTATATTACACAATTTAATAAAATAATTATAATTAACCGTTGAAGGGAAAAGAATTTTTGTTTAATAAACATCTTCGTACCTATTTTTCCTTCAGATTCATTAATTTTCTTGAAATCTACTCCACAATCTTTAATGTTTGACAAAGTGGGAATTGAGATTAATAAAGGAACTTTAAGAGCCACTTCAAAGTTACTATACTTTGCCCACTCTGAATGTTCACCTAATGACCAACCTGGAATATATTCTAAAATAATATTTTCTTTATAGAAATAACATTTTTAAATCATTTGTAATTAAATTTTTTTATATTACCATGATCTGAAGTAAGAATTATGACAGTATTTTCTTCTAAATTATATTTTCTTAATTCGTCCAGAAGTTTTCCAATTTGGTGATCTATGTAGGTGACGGCAGCGTAATATGACTGTATTATATCGATTGCAAAGTTAACTGTAATGTTAATAATAAATTATATTTGAAGTAGAATTTAGAGATGTAATAACAGGTAATTATGAAATAATTGCAAGTGCTTTCTTTACAGCAGGTAAAGAATATAGTAATTATAAGATTGTTATACATAGTGATGAGAGAAATACATGGAATTTTTTGCCATGGAAATTTCAAATTCAAGGCATTCACATCTTCTCGAATTCGAAGATCGGTCCAAGGATTATAGGCAACAGAACTGACATTTATTGACCACTGGTAATTATCAGGAATCGAAAATTTATCCAGTGGATGATATACTACAATCAGAAGATTAACAGATAAGATTTTAATATAATAATAGTAACATGTTGTAACTAACAAATAAAATTGTAATAAATGTTAATTACTCAAAAACTCCTCAGGATACTTTAGAGGTATATGTGGTTTTTGAAATCCAACAGCTAAAAAGAAGGGATTTATTTTCTGGGAATGCAATTGCAAGAAAGAAGAGGCTGCATTTAATGTTTCCATATCAGGAAGTGTATTATTTGGAATCATAGACAGCTGAACCGGACATACCTAAAATGGTAATTTTTTCATCAATACAAAAATTTCCAATAATATTTTTTTATAAAATGCAATCCCTACGGACGTTCTAATGATATCGGGAAATTAAAGCATAAGTAGGTTGATCCAAAGACGATTTTGTCTATGAATTACTTTAGGACATTCGATATTCTAATTTCCAGATATGATCCGTTTGTCCGTAGGATAACCCAGAAAATCCGTTGCTGTTAGGACATTGGCTCTCTTAATTAAAATTCTTACAAGATTTCTTGCAGATTTATTTTTACTATTTTGGCAAACCGGGGCGTCTTTATATCTATCTGTAAAAGGATGAAATGGTTTCTCAGTCCATGAAAAAGGACTATCGTCCGAGCCATTTGAACTTATTCCTGAAATCAAATTTAATGCACTTATTAAATACTTTGTAATTAATAAATTGTAACAACACTTCCAGGAAAATGCATATTGTTACGGCCGAACTCCGTTTAAAATTGAAATTATCAAGAATCCTACCTGGATGAAATACTTTTCCAATTGACATAGTAGTGTAGCCATTATTTTTCAAATGTTGAGGTAATGTTGTAAAATTTCCAACGTCTTTACGCCAATAGCTATAAAAATCGTAAAGACGAAGTGTGTCCGGTCGCCTGCTGGTTAACATCGAATTACGACTTGGAGCACAAAGAGATTGCTGCAATAAAAATTCCACTAATTATAAAATATTCTAAAAAAAAAATTATCATCTAATTCCGCGGTCATCATCGTTACGAAATTTAATTATATTGAGGTAAGAGATTATTAAAAAGTTTTCTCATATTAATATAAATTGTCATCAATCTTTCACCTGTGCGAAGGCATGAGTAAATACTGTACTCTTCTCTGCTAAAGAGTCAATATTTGGCGTGTAGGCATTTTTATCTCCATAGCATCCTAATGCTGGTCTCAAATCGTCAACAATTATAAACAAAAAGTTTGGTCGTCCAATAGTTGTCGATATTAGTAAAAGTACACTAAATAATTGTAACAACATAATTTTGTACCCTTTACTTTCAATCTACCCAAAAGTCAAACACTGTACTACATTCAGAAGAATTAAAAATATTTTGTCAAAAATACAGTACACAAAAGAGTTAAAATAAATGTAGTGAATAAGAATTCTGTATTTATTTCGTTAACGTCCGCAATGTATACAATGTATATTTTCATGTTTAGCCACTATACTTGTACCAATTATTCTAGTTTGTTAAATGACCACAAGGACGCTTATGATGATACTTTATTATCTCTTTACATTATTTACTTTTATATTCTTGTTCCAAACGTTCCAAACCATACTATTTGACACATAACTACTTCTTGATCATAACAGTAACAACTGTTAAATTAATTAATTAAAAATTAAGGTGTAACATCCACTTAGGATTTTGAAAAAATCGAACAATAAATATTTTTTATTTCATAAACGTAATTATTCGTATAACTAAAATTATAAAGAAACTTTGTTAAAATGATTTAGTGAAATTAACTTCATATCTTTACGCATAACAATCATTGTTAAATTTCCAATCATACAATCAGAATATCCTCTACTAAATTCCTTTCGGAAAATTCATATTTTTCCATAGAATCCCATATACGCAAATTTTCAAATAAAAAATTCTTAGTATTATACACCTATTTGCTCTGGATTAAAAAACTTTTTTTGTTAAAACAATCATAAAATTTCACAATTTTTCTTCGACTTTTTATCAAAATGTTTGTGGAAATTATATCTATTTAAAACTCTTCGTAAGTTTCTCTTAAGTCATAAACGCAATATTTGTTACCAATAATTTCAGGAATGGATTTCAATTTAAAAAAAATGATAATAAATATTTTTTGACTTGCATGTTTGCATATTATTCTTTCTCAACCCCATCATTGAAATTTTAATTAGAATAGAGAAAACAAGAGGTCAAAAAAATTAGTGGAAACCTTATCTTTCATTCTTCCGATAAGAAACGGAAATATCCGGTAATTAAGCAATATCAAGATATAATGCAAGCGTGCCGTTTATAAAAAGATGATTAAAAGACACCTTGACTTTAGATAGTGTTTTGCAAAAATGTTTAAAATAATTTTCTTGTTTCTCTGTGGATTTTTATTGGTGACATCGTGTGCGTTATACTGGAAATTTTATCATTTGTCAATTCAATATTTTCAAATTAAATATCAAATTTCTTATTATTTTCTACTTTTGTATTAGAAAAATTATTTTTAAATTTAATTTTGACCCTCTTTAATATAAAATAATTTGCCTTTTCAAAACATCCTAATAATTGAAATTTTATGTTTATAGTTATTTTCGAATTTCTTGTCCTCTTATATTTTTTTAATAAAGTTAAATTTATTTATTCAGATAAATCATCTTCTCTCAAAACAACTTTAAATCGAAGCTCTAAAATAATTAATGGTGAATTGACAACAATTGAAAAATTTCCATTTTTGGTAAGTTTTTATATTCAGATAACCTGTTCAGATCTAATTATGCATTATAAAATTTTTTAGGTACCATACCTCCTACTCTATTTTAAAATTGTATTTCTATAAAAATTTATTTCTTGTCTGAAGGTATCACTACAATACAATGGGACATTCTTCAATCATTCTGTGATGCACTTTTGCTGTGGCAATATTATTCATCGACAATGGATTGTCACATCTGCTCAATGCATGAAAGCGTAATTTTTAAAATTTTTTAATATTTTGTATAAACTGTACCACTAAAGAAAAATTTATTTCTACAATATTAATTGTAGAAATAAATTTTTCAATGACAATTATATGTTTTGCAGAAGAAATACTGAAAATTTTCATATTAGAGCTGGATCAGCAAAATATTATCAAGATGGAGTAGTTTATAAACCGTCAGAAATAATAATCCATCCGAAATTCATTGATGCACAGCAAGGCTTTGATATAGCTCTGATCAAAGTAAGATTACAATTTTTAATCAATGATTTAATTTATATAATCATAATTAAGTGATTTTTCGGCTATTATTGATATTGAGTTGTATAATAAGAAATCAATTTTTAATTTCAGTTATCTGAGAGTGTTACTTTCAACGATGGAATAAAGCCAATTGCATTGCCTACTGATAGTGCAGTTATTGATGACAATACTTTACTTAAAATTGCCGGTTGGGGTAAATTTGATGTAAGTCAAAAATTGTATCCCATCTCGTAAATTTTTAGATCAGAAATATTTTAATGCCTAAAATACAAAATAGTCTTCTAATTTCATTGAGGGTACACAATTTGTAATTTTTAGTTTTCCCCTAAATAATTATGAAGGGTTTATGATTGTCTTATGTACTTTCAGCAAGTTCATCTAATATCAGATTCGCTTCGTGAGACGAAAGTTACGAAAATCAGTAGAACAGTTTGTGAATATATTTATGGAAGTGGTTCTATTTCAAAGGAAACGTTTTGTATTTTCAAAAATGGTCATGGTCCTTGTGTTGGGGATACTGGCTCTCCAGCTACGCGGAATAATATTCTTTTTGGTAAGGGAAATAATTTAAATAAAATTATTAGAAAATTATTGTCTGTCATAAGAGCAGACAGTTCTTTAAATTACCGATTTGATAAAATAGTCTATTAACTTTTTCAGGGCTTGCCTCGTGGAGTTATTCTTGTGGTTATCAATATCCTACTGCGTACACAAACGTGTCATCTTATACCACTTGGATTAAAAATATTACAGGAATTGTTTAGCAGATATTTTAATAAATACTTTACAGACACAAAAACTCACCTCAAAGTTATTATCAATCTCCAAAGCAACGTTTTGAGTTTCATACTTTTATCTATAGTCTTCCATGCGATGAAGGGAGAAAGAAATTATTACCTGGATTCTCGGACGAAAAGTCCTTTGCACTTTTTATAAATGTTCAGTAGTTTTTTCGTAAATTGCAATTGAGGTAAGAAGATCTAAAAAAATTAACTCACATCCCTTTTTTACTGGAACAGTAATTCTCTTTTTATTAATATTAACATCACATTTAAAAGAACAACTAAAGTTTATAATATACAAAAAGAGTAATTTACAACTGTAATATTTGACACAGTAAAAAATATTCCTCTTCAATTTATAAAGTACATCAACTTCTGTTTCTTTGTAAAATATTAAAATGATTCTTTACATTTATTATAAATATGAAATTTTTAATAATTCAATTTCTATTAAATATTGTCTTACACAATTTTATTTTCACATTGCACATATTTATATCACTATTGATCTATAAAGTACTCAATAGAGAATAATTCTTGTAGTTTTTATCGCAAAGTATCAATGCGATCCCTTGACAGTTTTTAAAGACTCCTGTATATATTTTGCTAATATCTCCTTTTTAAATACTTCAAATTGTTTTCTGTTTGCACTGTTTTGTCTCTCTCGCCAACTAGGCCTACTTTTTCGTGTTTGTAATCCCCAATGAATTGTGAATATTGGCGATAATACTTTAAATTTATAACCGGATACATACATTTCATATACCTGGATGGATAATGGAATAAATTTTAGAATTAGGTTCATATCTGTAGGATGACGCTAAAACTAGCATCTACTAGTTAAAAGAGTTAATAACTCTTTTGACAAATTTAGTAAATTTAAATTCAGTGAAAGTGTGTATAATGTGTTAATCTCCTTAACCCCTCACAAAAACAAAAACGAATTTTAATAAATTCAAAAAAAATTCTTGTCCTAATTTCAATATCTGTAGGATGACGCTAAAACTAGCATCTACTAGTTGAAAGAGTTAATAACTCTTTTGACAGATTTAGTAAATTTAAATTCAGTGAAAGTGTGTATAATGTGTTAATCTCCTTAACCCCCCACAAAAACAAAAACGAATTTTAATATAAATTCAAAAAAAATTCTTGTCCTAATTTCAATATCTGTAGGATGACGCTAAAACTAGCATCTACTAGTTGAAAGAGTTAATAACTCTTTTAACAGATTTAGTAAATTTAAATTCAGTGAAAGTGTGTATAATGTGTTAATCTCCTTAACCCCCCACAAAAACAAAAAACATTTTAGTAAATGCCAAAAAAATTCTTGTCCCAATTTCAATATCTGTAGGATGAAACTAAAACTAGCACCCACTTAGTTTAAAAACTTTTTTTTAAAAAATATTTAATTTTCAAAATTAAGTGGGCGTTGATAATAAGTTCTAATTGATGTAGAGTTTGCGAATAAATTATATGAATTAGATAATTACCTGTGTGTTTCTAGTGTATCCATAACCCATAAATCTCTCATCATGAGGCGGTGCAACATCTTTCGCAACATAAAATGGTTCATAGAGAAATTCAAAATTCGTAACATCATGGCTTATGTAAATTTTGCCATTTTTAAATTTCTCATAATTTGGATGACCTGAAGTGACATCCATTGCCCACCTAATAAAAAAAACCCACACCATTAAATATTATTCTTCGTTCAAAAATATCTACTACACAAAAGTATTAAAAAAATTTTCAAAAATTTCCAAACCTTGTAAAGTTCGTGGCAAATTGATTGTGAATGAAAACTTTTTGATGAAATGGTCTAGCGAGACCTTTTTTAGCAAGACGAATCAACTCCGATTTATTTTGTGGAAATCTAACTCTGACATCTAATTCATAAGTTGGTATCACATATGCACATTTTTCACAATTAGTGTTTAATAGAAATTCTTCTAAAACATTTGCCATATTATAACTAGGTACAATATCAATATCAGTCAAGAATACATAATCAGATTGACAATTTTTTCTCGCCAAATTCCTCATATGATTTTGTGGATATACATTACGTATCCGCCAATTAGATTGCTCCTCAGATATTTCACTTAATAGAAAATTTAATGTTGCCTCTGGTTTTGAACAATCGCTATTTTCTGGAATTTGAAATGACTTTGGCTGCTTGACAAGTAATTTTGATTTTGGCATTGCCAATGAAAATGTAACTTGATTTTTAATTGGCTCATAACAATGATTGAGGTAAATTAAAAATTTCTGTAGTACTTGAAATTCTTCATCGCCAGCGACAAATAGTGAGACTGATATTGGTCCTGACCAATGGTGTACAACTTGAACTAATGAATATAATTTTTCTAATGATGTTTGCGTGGCAAGACAAACTTTTGATGCTTTTGATAAATCGACAAATTTATCACCCACTAATATTGAATCGAATGTTTTATAAAGACGACGTGAATCCCATCTACCGAGTTGGATATTTAATTTTAAAATATCATCTACTTTGGGTGGTTCCTCGTGTTGTGGGCAGAGCTTCTCAGGTATGTCATCTTTTGGCCATGATCGTAGATTCCATTCTGTAATTGTATTTGTATTCATTTCTTTGGCAATATTGGAAGGAATGCAGTTCTCTGATTGTAGTAATAAAAAAGTCAACAATATGTTCGATAGGACAAGCACTATTACGCAGATAAAGCTCAAATTCCATGGTCGACATCCGAACTGAAACAGAAATAAAAATTGATTTTAAATGGTATTATGTGCCTATTCTTAACATCCGGAACCTTTATTACAAAAATCAGCCTTCGAATGTTCTTTTTATCCAATTGTTTTGAATTATATTGTTAATAATTAAATTGTTTAAATAATATTATGCAATAATATGCGAAAATTAATAAGAACTCTTCATTTTTCAAAAATTAGATTAAATTATACAAATTTTCTCTAACCTGAAACATTGAAGTGCGATCTCAGTTTCAAAAATCCTCTTTCACCAGAAAATTAATATTTCTGATTTCTATATTTTCACTATTCATTTAAAGAAATTTGTTGAAGATTCTCATAAATATTTTATGTTCACTTCCATGAAAATTGAGAAAAAGATTTATTTCTTCTTGAAGTGCATAGCGTATATCAACAATTGTTTTGATTACGTCCTTTGTGTATATCAAGTATAAGAGTCGAATTCCACATAGCGCCGTATCGTGGCGCAGATGACTTGGATCGATTTTGCCATGGAGCATGGGCAAACGTTGCTTCTTCTTCAGAACAAATTTCGATTCGAAAGTTTTTTTTCTCTGTTTTTTTTAACTTCTGAATACATTACAATTTTTAAAAAAATGATGATTTAAATTTTAGCAGCATAATTAGGACACATTATCATATAAAAGTACTTTTTCAAAATAGTTCAGAATTAATTATTAATTTTTTTTCATAATTATATATAAATTAGATGGTAATTATTAATTAATTAATAATAGTAAAAATAGTAGAATTTATAAATAATGAATTTAAATTTTAAATAATTAAAGATTTCAATGTGCATTAGAATTGGAAGGCAAAAATATTTTTGAAATCCGAGTTTTAAATTAAACAATTAAAATATATTTTATAAAATAGTATAAACAAATCTTACCAATTTTTACATAAATAAGGTATTGTAATGAAGAAATATTCCTTTATGATAGTGAAAATGATCACGATGAAGAATGAAATAGTCGTTGACAATTTATTTAATTAAACGCTAGCTAGTAAAGACTATATAGTTGAAAAATTATTTCTACTACAAAATTTTTGTCGGACGTCTTATTTTAAAATTTTAAATGCAATAAATTTGTACAGAAACACTTATTATCGAATTGCGCCTTAAATTAGTCTAATTAATTAGATTATTCTAATTACTGTTTAGTATATATATGGAACTACTTAATTTCTAATTACAAACTAACTATATGTGAAATTTAATAATAATTCTTCTCCCTAGACAAAAATATTAATTAATTTCTGTGTCTTTACCCCCTGAGGTAGGAGATCCTTCATCTTCGTCAAATTTCTTCATACTTCTCAATTCTGGATGTCGATTTCTGTAAATAAAAAATATTATATTCAATATAATTTTTATTTGATTTTTAAGCAAATTTGTGATCCGCATGAAACGACAATAAAATTTTTCTATTATTTCAAAGAAAAGTTTCTTTTATTTTTAGAATATAAAAATGAATATATTAATATAAGAGTAGAAACATATTCTTAATTGAAATATGAATTGGAATTGGAATAATTCTTGTAATATAACAATATCAATATTTTGTGTAACTTTTAAAATTAATGTTAAAAATTTATTTAAAATTAATGTTTGACAAATTTAGTAAATTTAAATTCAGTGAAAGTGTGTATAATGTGTTAATCTCCTTAACCCCCCCCTCAAAAAAAAAGAAACAAATAACATTTTAATAAATGCCAAAAAAATTCTTGTCGCTAATTTCAATTATTTTCAAAAATAAAATGCATTTTTCTAATTTTCAATTGATTTTCAATATTTACTATTTTAATAAAATTTCCCAAAAAAAATTCAATTATTTAAAAAAAGTTTTAATAAATAATTGTATGCAAACATTTAATTATTTTCATAAACAATAAAAATTTCACAGGAATTCAATTATTTTCATAAATAATAAATTCTTTTTTAAGGAATTCATTTATTATTTTCATAAAAAATAATTTAAAACTCTAGAAAATAATAATTGAATTGAAATGATGAAAATAATTTTAATAAACAAATACTTTTATAAATTATTGTTTAATTTAAAAAAAGTTTTGAATTTAAAATTCTTGAATGTATTAATTCCTGTGAAAAATCCTGTTCCAAAAATAAGATTGAAAATAGAAATTGTGCAAATATTTTTTTTCTTTTTCCATAAAAGAAAATAATAATTTTGTTATAAAAATTGTGATTCATAAAAAAAACAATGCAAAATAAATCAATTTTCTATTATAGAAAGAAAAGTAGTAAAAAAAAAAAAGTAATTAAAAGTAAAGAACAAAAAACTGCATAATTTCAATTTGACAAAACAAAATTTTAGTCTTTTAATGAAAAGAAGTGAAAAAAATTCTGATAATTTCTATTTGTCATTAAAATTTTGAATTAATTGTAAAATAAAAATAATTATAACATTTAATTAATTATTAATAATAATAAAGTACATGTACCGGTAAATTGTTCGCAGTTTGTTGTTGTTTGCTTTTTATTTCTTAACTTTTTTCTAATTTTTCTTTTCAAATAATTTCAATTTTAAAATTAATGTATTAAAAATCATCGAATTGTTGCAATAAAGAAATAAAGAAAAAAAAAAAGAATTTTATCAAAAAAATTGATAATAATAGAATTCCTTCAAAGAATTTTATTATTTAGAAAAATAACTGAATTCTCGCAAAGAATTTTATTAATTTAAAAATCCTAATTAAATTCTTTTGAAGAATTTCTTTGAATTTTTTTTTAACTAATGGAGTTTCTTTAATAATTTTAAATTGAAAATTTTGAAAGCAATTGAATTTTATGAAAAAGAATTTTATTAAAATTGTGAGTTTTGAGTATTTGAAAATAATTGAATTCTTGCGCGAAGAATTTTACTATAAAAAAATAACTGAATTGTTTTCCAAGAATTTATTAAAATTTTAGAAAATAAATAAATTTTATATATGTTAAAATATATTTGAAAATTTTCATTCTTTCGAGGAAATCTATTAAAAATTTTTTTGAAATAATTGAATTCCTACAAAGGATTTTACTTTTATTTATAAAAATAATTGAATTATTGCGAAGAATTTTACTATTTATAAAAATAATGGAAATGTTTCGAGAAGAATTTATTAAAATTTTAAGAAATAATTAAATTGTTATGAAGAATTTTATAGAAATACATATTTGAAAATAATGAAATTTTTTCGAGAAATTCAAGTTGTTTCGAAAAAGAATTTCTTTAAAGAATTTTATTAAAATTAAGTATATTCAAAATAATTGAATTCATTCAATTTTTTTCACGAATATATTTAAAAATTGCATTGAAGGTAATTTAATTTTTATATAGAATTTTTTTTTAAAAATATTTTGAGAATATAATTGAATTATTTTTAGAGAATTTTTAATTTTTGTTGAAATTCAATTTTATGGAAATTTTTAAAAATAATTAAATTCTTTCGTGTATAATTTTATTTAAATAATAAATAAATAATTTTGAAAAAAATTTATCCTTACCTAGACTGTTTCGCCTCTTCTTCGCGCTCTTCTCTACGAGATTTGAAGACACGAAATGCTATACACACCACAAGTAGTAGTATTGGTATCAAGCATGCACAAATAATACCAAAAGTTAAACCCGCTTGCCTCGAACTATATTCCTGTTGACCTGTTTAATTAAATTCAAACCATTTGAATTATTTTACACTCCAAAAACTTTAAAACAAAACTTCATAGTAGTTTCGTTGTTACTTAGAAATGACTAGATTTATTTATCCCTTACAATGTAAAAAAATATTTTATTTTACTTTTTATACAAATTTTTAAACTTTCTTAAAAAAAAAAATCTTTTGTAACAATATATTTAAAGCTAACGTCCTGCATGATTAAAATTTCATTTTAAGGAAAAGGAACATACATGAGCAGAGAGGAAACATATCAAGTCTATGCGATTATTTGTATACTTATTAATACTTAAATTCTAGATATAATTAGATATAAAAATGTATTCAGCAAACAATTATATGAACATGTGCCTATAATATAACTAAACATCACTTTCTTTACTAGGACTTTCAGGTTTTTTTATTGACTCAAAAGTAGAATCAGATTCACTTGTAGATTTAGGATCTTTGAGGTCCCATTCCTTTTCTTCGAAATTAATATCGGGCCTATTTGGAAGTGGCTCATGTGTATAATAAACTCCATCGTAGGTACGTCGTTTTCTTGCAGTGCCACTTATATTTGAACTTGAATCACTTGTTGGCGATAGTGTTCTCTCATACGATGATTTTAATGGTGTCGTCTGTCGTATTGTGAATGGATCATTATTAACAGATCCACGATCAGAGAAATGCCATGATTTTGTTGAACTCCCTTGTTGTTGATTTCTTCTTACACAAACGAATATTGCCGCTGCGCATGCAATTACAGGAATTATTATTGCACACAAGATGCCAATTGTCGTCCATGCAGTACGCTGTGAATACTCGATTTGACCTGAATATCGTGGACGTAAAAAATGTTTTTTTAAGTTTTTATATTACGTCGTTACTGTAGTAGTAAATTTTAATTCTTTGCAATATTTGTATTTAAAAGTATAAATATTAAGATGAAAGTTAAGGGAATGTTTATAAATTGTAAAATTTTAATTCATTCTCTTGTGAAGAGAATTAAGATGGAATTCTGAACGTATTTGATCAAGAACAATTATATTTGTTGACTAGTCTCTTATATGCAATTAAAACATCAAGTTTCAAACATATTAATGAAAGAATAATTAAAATTTAATGATAGTTTAACTATGAGCAGTAGACAAATATTTCTTATTGATCCAGCGAGTTGAATGCGTCCTCAGTCATGTTCAGCTGGAAGGCAGAGAGAGAATGACGACAGCGCACACTGTCCGCGCAGCCCTCTCTCCCCCACCACTCGCTCTCGCCGCGAAGTGCCGCGAAGCTTTATATTTCTCACGTCCACTCTTTTCCCTCACTTCGCCTTCTGATGTGTCTCGAGGTGCTCTTCTTCGATTTTTCTCATGGCAAATTTTAATTTTATCAAAGTTTGGATTTACTGGTAAGTTTCTCTTAGCCAATCATCTTCTTCGGTAATTAATTAATTGCAGAGTACCATGTTGGGGAAAAGTATTTCCGAATTTCCGGTCGTCTACCCGAATTATTTCGACATTGCATTTAACAATAAAAAAACTTTTTGTAAGTCTCGCTTAATAATTGATATGTTTCCTCTCTACTCAAATTTTTCTAATGCTTCAGTATTTTTTACTGATGGTAAAAATGTAAAACTAAAATTCAATTTAAATTCTAAAACATATTGGAGATTTTTATCTAGAATTTAAACTCCAGTCCCTATATGTAGGGACAAATTATATAGAATTTTTAAATGAAACAAATGAATCGCATAAATATTTAAATTTATGGAATCATCTATATGTAAAAAATAAAAGAACTGGTGGGCAAAAATTGATAGGAAAAGTTAATGAGAGTTAATCAGTATTTTGCATCTTATCTTCTTAGGTACCTTCGAAGATATTCAATAAATTATTTTTAAATTATTAAAAAATTGATATTCATAACAATTAACGAAATGAACCAAGTTACAAAGAAATCTGAGACTTGATGTTTCAACGGCAAAACGAATTTGAATTCAATTTGGAAATATAGTAACTAAGACTCCTCGGGATCATAAAAGTGTTCAGTTTCGAATAATGGTCATGATAAGCTATTTAAGTTCCAAAGATCGGATTTTGCAGATAAGTTTCTGAGAATAAAGGGAAATTTAAAAAAAAATACTTACGTAGACATTCTGTATATCCATATTCGGAGATGTCCCATTTTCCCTCCGGTAAACACGTCCGCCGTTGATCTCCAATTAAAATGAAATCCTGATTACATTCAAATGTGACTCTCGTTCCAGGAACAAAGAAGAAATTACTCTTTCGTCCAAATCGTGGTGTTTCCAAAATCCCACAAGTAGTAACTAAAAATAAAATGTAATGGTTTCACGTGCTGGGAACTCCCTCCCCGCATAGGATGAATAAACACGTGAATCCACAATTAGTTTGATATTTATCAACACTTACCTCGTTTCGAATTTGTGTCCCTGATGTTCTTCCAACTATTATAATAGTTTTTGGTAAAATCGGCAAGATCTCTGTTCAAGCTCATGGCATAGTCGTATTTACATTGATAATTATCCCCACAAAGCCGTTTTGCATCATCAATATCATCGATCCTGAATTTTTAATGTAATTTAAAATCGTTTATTATGAAATTTAATTCTAATTCCTTTTCACTTAATTCTAATTAAAAAAGAATTCTAATTAAAAGCAAACAATACCTGATAAGAAATAGAACCTAGTTATTCAGTTCTTGAAAAATTACCTTGTTGAATTTAGAAAGTCTTCTGGATTTCGTTTCCATTCGGGTTTAAATGTTCGATTTGCGTAATGACTTGAAGTTTTACCAAACTCACGATTAAAGAGAGCGGCACCCTTCAATGGATCTACCGCGTCTTCAAGTAACCAATTTATCGCAAAGTTATTATGTACATTCTCGAAATTATTCAAATTACCAATCTCCGCCATACTGCCATCGGGATTTTTCAAATCGTCACTTATATCGTAACTCCAGTTGCCCATCAATCCTCTGGTTTTATTCTATTAAAAAGAAGAATTTTGTTGATATTTAGCTTTACATAGAGGGAAGTACATTTACATACATTTTAGGAAAGTATCAGATAGAAAAAATAGGATTTCGTATTTATTTATTTTGTCTTGGTGCAGAGACTTTTGATGTTAGGAATAAATATTTGAAATAACGTTACCATGTAGGTCCAGGGTAGATAAACTCTCGCGCTCATGAAACCTTCGTTCTCAATCACCTCCACTCCGGCTCCAGTGTCAAACATAATGATAACTTCACTTTGATTTAGATTATAAGTGGGAGTGTAAACAAGCACTCCTTGAAAATGCTGAAATTTAAGAGAAGGTCGATCGAAGTACACGCGTCGTCCATTAGCTATAACGTCTAAACGATATCTCCACTGGGCGTGTTTTGGTCTTAAGCGAACTTCGACCGGATAGGAATTATTTCCCCTTGCTAAAAACGAAATCAAGTTGTAACACACTGGCACTAGGATAAGTAGACGTTTCCAATATTTTTGCTCTTCGATCCACTAAAATAGTGATTTGAAGAGCGAAGATATTAGGAGAATATTTAGGATACTATTAATGATAATATTTAGGAGTATTACTCACCCACAATAGAAGTTAATTGTGTTGCTCTCACCTCCCCGTAGAAATTAATCGGCAATTGTTCAAAACGTCCCTGTATGTCTAATTTATCCTTCTGATGATTCACACGGACCAAAACAAATTCACCTTTTCCATTGAAAGTATATTCTAATCCATCGAATGTCGTAATGTGTGGATCGCCAAAAACTGCAGCAACTGCTGGCGCTTGATATGCAACACAATCTTGCGATGGCCTCCTTTCAAAACGAAGTGTCTCACAACCCACAGCTTGCTCCTCTTGCCAAAGACAACAATGATACATTGGCATCATATCATGGAACCAATTGCTAAGAGTCGGAACCTTATTGGCCTCATTCCATGGCAAATAACCCAAATTATGAGATCTGTGTGGTTTTGATCCCCACTGTTGATCGTAGGATAGCATCAAGAAACCGGCTTTATCATAACAGCATTGTTGCTCAGAACCGTCAACACTAGAAAACAATTATTCTAATAATCTAATAATCTAATAATCTAAAAATCTAATTGAAAATCTAATTTAAAATCTAATTCTAATCTTGAATAAATTAAATACATCTGCTATTCAGTTTGATTTTATACTTAGGAATTCCGGTTTTCACACAATGTATCGCTCCTCTATTATAGAAGCAATCGGGATTTGAATCTTTATCGCAGTCAAAGTCGGGGATGAAGCGCCCTTTGTCATAGAGAGCGTGTTCCAAAGTACAGGGACAGAGGGATATTTCAGCGGCAAAATTTTTTAAATAACGATCGTGCATTATCCATTTGTCACAGAGTTTTTGGGGCCATTTGTTTCCATAGGTGCTTGCATACTGGGGACTAAAGTACCATCCTAGTGGAATTGGTTTGCTCCATAAGACACTGAAATTTGTTTTGTTGAAAAGAATAAAGTGTAATAATTGTCAATCGGGAAGGCGGAGAATTTCAACTTACGGAGTAATTGCTATTCCAAAGTGTTCTCTAGGATCCGTTAGGTTTATTTGAAGAAATCCAAAGTACATGTCCTGTTGTAGATAATTATTTCGTCTGCGGTAATTCGAGGGAATTATTGTATAAGTCCCGCTGTTTGCTGCCATGTCCTGAAAATAATTTTCAAATTCAGTCATCAGCATATTAAATCTGTCGTATCAAAAACTTTCCCATTTTACGATATAGGATTAAAATTCCATTATTTTATCGAAATTAAGAATACCTGTATGATGTCAATGTACTCTAATTCGGGACTAATGGTCGTCTCCCGATAACCCCAAAGGGAAATTTGTACACGAGCATCGAGATTTGTTGTCAAATTCTGTGCACTCCAGGTAATTTTAATTTCCATTGGATCACGCTCATGAACTGCGTTGGTGGAGAAAAATATCTTTTCCGCAGCAGTTGCGGGAGTTTCTATAAAAATAGGAACAAAATTCACAAATGTATTCGTCCAAAGAATGCCGTCTCAACCTAAAGGCACCTTTAGATCTTAGACTTACCAACAAAGTACTGTCCTTTCCAGTCATACTTCCCACTACCAATGGAGATCGCAAATCGAATATAACCCTGAGCTTTAACAAACGGTTGAACACAGATGGCTCGATTTCTATCAATAACGGTGCCGGAGACAACTTCTGTATCGAAACGACATCTAACTTTATCATCCATTTCAAAGCAAGGACCAGTTATGTTAATAACAGTTCCACCCAGCATATTTCCACTTTCCGGTGCAAAGACAAGGGGTAAATTAGCTCCAGCTGAAAACATAATTTTAACATAAAATTTTCAATTCTACTAACTGATACTTTTCCAAAAATGCTAATAACTCACCAATATCCTTATTACAAGTGCCAAGCATAATTTTTTCATCAATTCTAAAAATGTGCCTTCCTGGAAATCCATTAGCCCAACCTCTACCAATCAAGTCCCGCAATGTCGATGCTTGCGAGTATGGTTTATATTCATAACTTTGTGTACCATTTCCAGCGTTAAAACCAATCTGTAAGAATAATAAAAAATTTTATTATGAAATTAATAATTGTATACTGAAAATTTAAATTTTCTCACAAATGCAGGCACTCCTCCTTCTCCGTTCGTTGTATCACCACCCGCTTCCGTATGACTTGACCACTTGATTTCCAAATAATTAAAAATAGCATAAGTGAATACTTCATCGGTTGCTAAAATCATTTGAAATGTATTTGTTCGATAGAGGGAATTATCAATTCCACCAGCGAATGACATATTTTTCCATGTAATTATAACAGAGTGCTTTGGATCAAAAGTCTCCGCACCCACAACACCTTCTCTAATGTCCCATTTAACTCGTTCGTACATTTCCCTTCCGAATTGATCTTTTCTTGATTGTAGATCTCTCTCCATTCTTTAATTTAAAAATACAGAATATAATTTAAAAATACTGGCATATATGCTGTCTGTAATTGTTATAATAATAAACTTTCAACTAACCGGAAATAAACACCAGATTTACGCTGATCGATATCAGTTGGTCTTAATTTACCAATTCGGCATTTACTAAAAAATATTCCAATAAAACTTGGATCATTCTTTTTCGGCCAATCTTTATTTGGAAATACCAAGGGATAGGTGTAATGCTCCGGAGGATCACTGAATTCAAGATAACCATGCATTGATATCTGTGTACACAGAAAAAGCATTCTGTTAATAAAATATCAATTTCTCTTGTTCGAAAAGTTATTATAGAAATTATGGTACAGCGGAATTTTTCATCTGGTAAATTATACTTTTATATCTCACCCTTGTATAATTGAGACGAAAACCAAAAAAGGGAAGTTGAAAATTAAAGTTTTTGTGAATTTGTGGCATTGAATTGTGAATGTCTGTTTGATAGTCTCCTCTATCATTATCGCCTCCCTTGTCAAAGTACCAATACATGAATTTCGAACGGATATGACGTAATCTTTGTTCAGTTAATTCGTAGAAGGCAGGACCTATATCATTGTCTGGTGAATATCTGTCGGCATCTTGAGAATCTGAGTCTGAAAATAAAAAAAGTCGGTAAATGTCGATAAAAGATTCCTGTAATGGTTTTACATCAATGTTTTCGTCTCCCCGTCTCTATAGAATATAAAGTTAGAATCGATTTTTGAATTCTCGTAACAAATGTCGGTAATTAATGGTAGAAGATTCCTGTAAAGGTTCTTTCCTGAAAATCACTATAAAAATTTTCGTATCCGTCTCTCTGGGATAGAAAGTTAAGAGAGATTTTCAAATGTTTCCAAGAATGTCGGTAATTGTAGGTTAAAGATTCCTGTAAAGGTTCTTTTCCAATAGAGAGTCCATAAATTACGTAAGACATTTAGGGGGGAGGGGGGGTGTCTGCTATATTTTACGAATAATAGAAAAAATGGCGCTAATGTATGTATATATCTTACTATGGTGGAAGGGGGGGGGAGGGGTCAAATTTTCAAAAAAAAAAATGTCTTACGTAATTTATGTACGGCCCCATAGTCTTTGTATTCGTCTCCCTGTGATAGTAAAAGTTTAAGATAAATTTTTGGAATGTTTACAACAAATGTCGGTAATTGTCGGTAAAAGATACCTGTAATTATTTTTCCCAAAAAAAATTTCGACACCATTTCTCGAGGGCAGAAAATAAGATTATATTTCAAATGTTTTTAGTAATTGTAACTAAAGTTAAGAAATAAGAAGTATAAATAAAAGTAAAGTTACTTTTTGTGACGCATTGACTTAAATTTTTATATATATTTCTATTAAAATCAATTTCTGTCAGTTTTAATAGAAAAATGATTCATTTCATTGGAGTTACAGAAAGTTTACTTTAAAAGAATGATTCACCTATACGACTCATATTATGAAAAAGAGAAAATGATAAAAGTAGATAATGAATTCACATTTAACACGAAAAAATCGATTTTTTTCATCATAAATTAAATTAAAACAACATTTTTCAAAATGATAAAGAAATTAAAAGTGAAAATTTTTAGTTCACCCAATGATTATAAATATATTTATTAAAAAAAAAGAACGTTCTTAGTTTATTTTTTAACTAACAAAAAAATATTATTCGCAACATAAATTTATTTCTTTACAAATAAATGAATGGTGATAAATAAATAATAATAAATAAATAAAAATAAATAACTATAAATAAATAATAATAAATAAATATAAATAAATAACTATAAATAAATAATAATAAATAAATAAAAATAAATAACTATAAATAAATAATAATAAATAAATAGAAATAAATAACTATAAATAAATAATAATAAATAAATAAAAATAAATAAATAAAAATAAATAAATATTAATAAATAAATAACAATAAATAGTAATAAATAAATGTTCATTATGCCCAAAAAAAATTTAAGATCTTCATTATTTAATAAATTAATTAATTATAAATAAATTTAAATAATAAATAAATTCAACTTCAAGTTAAATTTGTTAAGAAAATTTTAGAATTTTTTAATTAAAAAAACAAATATTAAAGTTATTTTAAATATAAATATAATTTTTAGTTTCCATAATTTAATTATGGTTTTTTTTTACAAATAAAATATAGTTTTGTAGGTACATAATGATGTCAGTATTGTTAAAGAATTGTCACACCCAAGATAAAAAAAAAATGTCAATGAAGATAATCGCTTACCGTATCTCACGTATTTTCCTTTCGTTTCACCATTCATACGTTCGGAAATCTCCGGAAATGGACTTTCTTCATTTAAACTATTGGATTTTGTATTTGATTCATTTAAATTATCTAATGATTCCAAAGGTGTATTATCCAAAACAGTTTCTTTTTTTAAAACAGTATCTTCATCATTATTATCATCATCTTTTGTTAAATCATACAATTCCAATGGCACTGATTCATTATTTGTTTCGGCTTTAGATACCTGAGAAAAAGCAGGTGCAAAAATAATGCGTTTTAACAATTTAAAAAAAAAAAAAAAAAAAAAAAAAAAAAAAAAAAAAAAAAAAGTAAAGTTATTTTTAAATCTTTTTCAAAATAACATAATTTTGCAGTCAAAACATTATTTTAGAGGATTTAATTTAAAAATTATTTAATTATAAGGACTTTAATTTAAAAATGATTTAATTATATAAGGATTTTAATTTAAAAATTATTTAATTATGTAATTTAAAATCAAATACTATTCACTTTACTTTAAAATTTCGATTTCAAACATTTTTAATTTCAAAAATTTTTAATTTTAATAATTTTAAAATTAACAATTTTTTATTTTAGCCCTTGTTTTTTATAAATAAATAAATTTTAACATAATTTAAATTAAAAAATTTTTTAATTTTAACAACATTGTAAACTAATAATTTTAAATTCATTTTAAAAATTATAATTTCAAAACTTTTTCATTTTATTAATTTTAATATTAACAATTTTTTATTTTAGCCAGTGTATTAAATGGAAAGACTAACTTTTTTTAATTAAAAAAAAAAAATTATAAAAAAAAGTTTATTTATTTTTAACCGACATACCTCTTCAACATTTTTTACACTAAATGGTTCTTGATTTTCAGGTGTAAGATGAAAATGTTCTTCAAATGCATCACTATGTCCCGAAACTTGAAGAATATTAAACACTAAAAGAACAAATGTAAAAATAATTTTCGCCCCATGAAACTTTTGTAATTGTCGAATTCTCATTTTTGTGAGTGAGAATAAAAAAAAAAATGTTTATTAATTATTTTTTTTTTAAATATAAAATAACACTATCTTTTATGATTTCTAGAGAGAAACTGAAATGAGATTTCTGGCAATAGAGAATGATAACTGTAGCTGATATCATCGACTCCCCAAATAGATAAGGTGCTTATCTTTATCATATAAACTCCAAACAGGTACATGGATATATACAGCATATTACGAAGACCCTTTTTTTTTATACCTAGTTTTCATCACAAGGGCGACGTATTAACAAAAGAAGAAAAAAAATTACGTAATTTTTTATTTTTTTTATTTTAAATTTTAAAAAAAGAAAAAAATGCAAAATTCTTTTTTTTTGAGTTGATGACGATTTGGATAAATATTTTCGTAATTAAAAATAATTTTAATGAATAATTCAACAATTAGTTGAATATACAGATAAGATAGAATGCAATGAGGATAAAAGAAATTTTTATGAGAAAAAGGCTTAATAAAATTTTGTCTCTTTTTTTTTCTTCTATGGAAATTAAAATTGTAGAAAAACAGTTTATTTGAATGTTAGAAAAAATATTTCTACTAAATCAGACTTTGCACTCGATAATTAATTTTAAAAAATGTAGCAAAAATCTTTCAAAATCTTTCAAAATTTTTCAAAAAAAAAGTAGCTATCGAAAAATTAAATTTGATGACTAAAAAAAGCGTCTTATAGTCACTTCACAAAAATGACAAAAATTCCATTAATTCTTAGTATTTTTATTTTCCTGACTTTTTTCTAATTTTCATCAAAAATATAATTACTTCTTTCTTATCCTACTAATAAATTAAATTCCTGCAACGAATTTTATTATTCATGAAAAAATTTAAATATTTATAAAAACAGTTTAATTCTTGCGAAGAATTTTAAAAAAAAATTTTAAATAATTGATTTTTCTCGACTTATTTTTATGCAAATTCTAATTTAAATAATTAAATTCTGTTTAAAAATTTTATGAAAATAATAAATATTAAAAATGATTAAATTTTATTAAAATATTTAAAAATAATTGAATCCCTGTGAGAAATTCTAATATTTTTCTAAATAATTAAAATCTAAAAAAAATTAAATTGATGTTAGAATTTTTGGCTGAATATTCTTCGTAATAATTGAATTATTTCAAATAAAATTACAGGATTCCTACAGAAATCCTAATTTAAAATTCCATAACTATTCAATGATTTCCAGGTCAAATTTTTACGAAATTCCATTGGAATTTTAAATCTAATTTCACTAAATTTAGGCTCTCTAAAAACACTTTAAACCTATTTAATAGTTTATACTCTTTAGTAAAAAATCTAAAATTATCGAAAATTATCAAAAATCCAAAAATCCGAATTTCTTAAAATTCAACATTTTTCCCTCTCTTCTATGCGATTTAGCTTCATTATTTTTGTGCTCTTGGAAAATGCTTGACTTATTAAATAGTCTGGACTCTTTGCCAAAAAATCGAAAATTATCGAAAATTATCAAAAATCCAAAAATCCAAAAATCCGAATTTCTTAAAATTCAATATTTTTTCCTCCCTTTTTTGCGATTTAGCTTTATTATTTTTGTACTCTTGAAAAATACTTCACTTATTAAATAGTCTGGACTCTTTGCCAAAAAATCAAAAATTATCCAAAATTATCAAAAATCCAAAAATCCGAATTTCTTAAAATTCAAAATTTTTCCCCCTCTTCTATGCAATTTAGCTTCATTATTTTTGTGCTCTTGAAAAATACTTCACTTATTAAATAGTCTGGACTCTTTGCCAAAAAATCAAAAATTATCGAAAATTATCAAAAATCAAAAATCCGAATTTCTTAAAATTCAACATTTTTTCCTCTCTTTTTTGCTATTTAGCTTCATTATTTTTGTGCTTTTGGAAAATGCTTCACTTATTAAATAGTCTCTACTCTTTAGTAAAAAATCGAAAATTATCGAAAATTATCAAAAATCCAAAAATCCGAATTTCTTAAAATTCAACATTTTTCCCTCTCTTCTATGCGTTTTAGCTTCATTATTTTTGTGCTCTTGGAAAATGCTTTACTTATTAAATAGTCTGGACTCTTTGCCAAAAAATCGAAAATTATCGAAAATTATCAAAAATCCGAATTTCTTAAAATTCAACATTTTTTCCTTTCTTTTTTGCTATTAAGCTTTATTATTTTTGTGCTCTTGGAAAATACTTCACTTATTAAATAGTCTCCAATCTTTAGTAAAAAATCTAAAATTTTTGAAAATTATCAAAAATCCAAAAATCCGAATTTCTTAAAATTCAACATTTTTCCCTCTCTTCTATGCGATTTAGCTTCATTATTTTTGTGCTCTAAAAAAATACTTCACTTATTAAATAGTCTAGACTCTTTGATAAAAAATCTAAAATTACCGAAAATTATCAAAAATCCAAAAATCCGAATTTCTTAAAATTCAACATTTTTCCCTCTCTTCTATGCGATTCAGCTTCATTATTTTTGTGCTCTTGGAAAATACTTCACTTATTAAATAGTCTCCAATCTTTAGTAAAAAATCTAAAATTTTTGAAAATTATCAAAAATCTAAAAATCCGAATTTCTTAAAATTCAACATTTTTCCCTCTCTTTTATGCGATTTAGCTTCATTATTTTTGTGCTCTTGGAAAATGCTTGACTTATTAAATAGTCTGGACTCTTTGCAAAAAAATCAAAAATTATCGAAAATTATCAAAAATCCAAAAATCCGAATTTCTTAAAATTCAACATTTTTTCCTCTCTTTTTTGCTATTTAGCTTCATTATTTTTGTGCTTTTGGAAAATGCTTCACTTATTAAATAGTCTCTACTCTTTAGTAAAAAATCGAAAATTATCGAAAATTATCAAAAATCCAAAAATCCGAATTTCTTAAAATTCAATATTTTTTCCTCCCTTTTTTGCGATTTAGCTTTATTATTTTTGTGCTCTTGAAAAATACTTCACTTATTAAATAGTCTAGACGCTTTGATAAAAAATCTAAAATTACCGAAAATTATCAAAAATCCAAAAATCCGAATTTCTTAAAATTCAACATTTTTCCCTCTCTTCTATGCGATTCAGCTTTATTATTTTTGTGCTCTTGAAAAATGCTTTACTTATTGAATAGTCTCCAATCTTTAGTAAAAAATCTAAAAATTTTGAAAATTATCAAAAATCCAAAAATCCGAATTTCTTAAAATTCAACATTTTTCCCTCTCTTCTATGCGTTTTAGCTTCATTATTTTTGTGCTCTTGAAAAATGCTTTACTTATTAAATAGTCTCGAAACTTTAGTAAAAAATCTAAAATTACCGAAAATTATCAAAAATCCAAAAATCCGAATTTCTTAAAATTCAACATTTTTCCCTCTCTTCTATGCGATTCAGCTTCATTATTTTTGTGCTCTTGGAAAATACTTCACTTATTAAATAGTCTCCAATCTTTAGTAAAAAATCTAAAATTTTTGAAAATTATCAAAAATCCAAAAATCCGAATTTCTTAAAATTCAACATTTTTCCCTCTCTTCTATGCGATTTAGCTTCATTATTTTTGTGCTCTTGGAAAATGCTTGACTTATTAAATAGTCTGGACTCTTTGCAAAAAAATCAAAAATTATCGAAAATTATCAAAAATCCAAAAATCCGAATTTCTTAAAATTCAAAATTTTTCCCTCTCTTTTATGCGATTTAGCTTCATTGTTTTTGTGCTCTTGGAAAATGCTTGACTTATTAAATAGTCTGGACTCTTTGCCAAAAAATCAAAAATTATCGAAAATTATCAAAAATCCGAATTTCTTAAAATTCAAAATTTTTCCCTCTCTTCTATGCGATTTAGCTTCATTATTTTTGTGCTCTTGGAAAATGCTTGACTTATTAAATAGTCTGGACTCTTTGCCAAAAAATCGAAAATTATCCAAAATTATCAAAAATCCAAAAATCTGAATTTCTCAAAATTCAATATTTTTTCCTCCCTTTTTTGCGATTTAGCTTTATTATTTTTGTGCTCTTGAAAAATACTTCACTTATTAAATAGTCTAGACTCTTTGATAAAAAATCTAAAATTACCGAAAATTATCAAAAATCCAAAAATCCGAATTTCTTAAAATTCAACATTTTTCCCTCTCTTCTATGCGATTTAGCTTCATTATTTTTGTGCTTTTGGAAAATGCTTGACTTATTAAATAGTCTGGACTCTTTGCAAAAAAATCAAAAATTATCGAAAATTATCAAAAATCCAAAAATCCGAATTTCTTAAAATTCAAAATTTTTCCCTCTCTTCTATGCGATTTAGCTTCATTATTTTTGTGCTCTTGAAAAATACTTCACTTATTAAATAGTCTGGACTCTTTGCCAAAAAATCGAAAATTATCGAAAATTATCAAAAATCCAAAAATCCGAATTTCTTAAAATTCAACATTTTTCCCTCTCTTCTATGCGATTCAGCTTCATTATTTTTGTGCTTTTGGATAATGCTTCACTTATTAAATAGTCTCGACTCTTTAGTAAAAAATCTAAAATTTTTGAAAATTATCAAAAATCCAAAAATCCGAATTTCTTAAAATTCAACATTTTTCCCTCTCTTCTATGCGTTTTAGCTTCATTATTTTTGTGCTCTTGAAAAATGCTTTACTTATTAAATAGTCTCGAAACTTTAGTAAAAAATCTAAAATTACCGAAAATTATCAAAAATCCAAAAATCCGAATTTCTTAAAATTCAACATTTTTCCCTCTCTTCTATGCGATTTAGCTTCATTATTTTTGTGCTCTTGGAAAATGCTTCACTCATTAAATAGTCTGGACTCTTTGCCAAAAAATCAAAAATTATCGAAAATTATCAAAAATCCAAAAATCCGAATTTCTTAAAATTCAAAATTTTTCCCTCTCTTCTATGCGATTTAGCTTCATTATTTTTGTGCTCTTGAAAAATACTTCACTTATTAAATAGTCTGGACTCTTTGCCAAAAAATCGAAAATTATCGAAAATTATCAAAAATCCAAAAATCCGAATTTCTTAAAATTCAATATTTTTTCCTCCCTTTTTTGCGATTTAGCTTTATTATTTTTGTGCTCTTGAAAAATACTTCACTTATTAAATAGTCTAGACTC